TCAAAACTCTTCAAAGTGCAGGGATAGAGGGTACATACCTCAATATCATCAAAGCCATCTATGAAAAACTCATAGCAAATATCATTCTCAATGGGGAAAAACTGAAAGCTTTTCCCCTAAGGTCAGGAACATGGCAGGGATGTCCACTATCACCCCTGCTATTCAAAATAGTACTAGAAGTCCTAGCCTCAGCAATCAGATAACAAAAAGAAATAAAAGAAAAAAAAAAGAAAAGAAAAAAAAATGAATTGGCAAAGAAGAAGTCAAACTCTCACTCTTTGCAGATAATATGCTACTTTATGTGGAAAACCCAAAAGACTCCACTCCAAGACTGCCAGAACTCATATAGGAATTCAGTAAAGTGTCAGGATATAAAATCAATGCACAGAAATCAGTTGCATTTCTATACACCAACAGCAAGACAGAAGAAAGAGAAATTAAGGAGTTGATCCTATTTACAATTGCACCCAAAACCATAAGATACCTAGGAATAAACCTAACCAAAGAGGCAAAGAATCTGTACTCAGAAAACTATAAAGTACTCATGAAAGAAATTGAGGAAGACACAAAGAAATGGAAAAATGTTCTGTGCTCATGGATTGGAAGAACAAATACTGTGAAAATATCTATGCTACCTAAAGCAATCCATACATTTAATGCAATCCCTATCAAAATACCATCAATTTTTTTCAAAGAAATGGAACAAGTAATCCTAAAATTTATATGGAACCAGAAAAGACCCCAAATAGCCAGAGGGATGTTGAAAAAGAAAGCCGAAGGTGGTTGCATCACAATTCCAGACTTCAAGCTCTATTACAAAGCTGTCATCATCAAGACAGTATGGTACTGGCACAAAACAGACACATAGACCAATGGAACAGAATAGAGAGCACAGAAAGACTGTCAATGCTATGGTCAACTAATCTTCGACAAAGCAGGAAGGAATGTCCAATGTAAAAAGACAGTCTCTTCAACAAATGGTGTTGGGAAAATTGGACAGCCACATGCAGAAGAAAGAATCTGGACCATTTCCTTACACTACACACAAAAATAGACTCAAAATGGATGAAAGACCTCAATGTGAGACAGGAATTCATAAAAATCCTTGAAGAGAACACAGGCATCAGTCTCTTCAACCTCAGCCACAGCAACTTCTTCCTAAAGACACTGCCAAAGGCAAGGGAAGCAAGGGCAAAAATGAACTACTGGGACTTCATCAAGATCAAAAGCTTTTGCACAGCAAAGGAAACAGTCAACAAAAACCAAAGACACTGAAAGAATGGGAGAAGATATTTGCAAACGACACATCAGATAAAGGGCTAGTATCCAGAATCTATAAGGAACTTCTCAACGTAACACCCAAAGAATAAATAATCCAATCAAGAAATGAACAGACATTTCTGCAAAGACATCAGATGGCCAACAGACACATGAAAAAGTGCTCAACATCACTCAGCATCAGGGAAATACAGATCAAAACCACAATGAGATACCCCTCACACCAGTCAGAATGGCTAAAATTAACAAGTCAGGAAATGACAGGTGTTGGTGAGGATGCCGAGAAAGGGGAACCCTCCTACAACGTTGGTGGGAATACAAGGTGGTACAGCCACTCTGGAAAACAGCATGGAGGTTCCTTAAAAAGTTGAAAATAGAGCTACTCTACGACCCAGCAATCGCACTACTGGGTGTTTACCCTAAAGACACAAATGTAGTGATCCAAAGGGGCATGTGCACCCCAATGTTTATAGCAGCAATGTCCACAATAGCCAAACTATGGAAAGAACCTAGATGTCCATCAACAGATGAATGGATTAAGAAGATGTGGTATATACATACAATGGAATACTATGCAACCATCAACAGAAATGAAATCTTGCCATTTGCAACGACGTGGATGGAACTAGAGGGTATTATGCTCAGTGAAATAAGTCAACCAGAGAAAGACAATTATCATATGATCTCCCTGATATGAGGAATTTGAGAGGCAGAGTGGGAGGTTTGGGGGGTAGGGAAGGAAAAAATGAAACAAGATAGGATCAAGAGGGAGATAAACCATTAGAGACTCTTAATCTCACCAAACAAACTGAGGGTTGCTGGGGGGGTGGTGTGTGTGGAGAGGGTGGCTGCGTGATGGACACTGGGGAGGGTATGGTGAGTGCTGTGAAGTGTGTAAGCCTGACAATTCAAAGACCTGTACCCCTGGGGGCAAATAATACATTATATGTTAATAAAAATAATTTTTAAAAGTACAGCATAAGGAATATAGCCAGTGATATTGTAACAGTGTTGTATGATGACAGATAGCAGCTCCCCTTGTGATGAACATAGCATAATATATAAACTTGTCAAATCACTATGTTGTACCCAGAAAACTAATGTAACACTATGTGTCAACCATACTGATAGAATGTAAACAGATACTGATAGAATGTAAAAAATAAAAAACCAAAGTGAACTATTAATACATTACTTTATAGAATTTAATTGTTCCTGGGTTTATAACAAATAAGTGGATTTAAAACTAGTCTCTCATTAATATGGAAGACAGTTAACTTGTATAGTAAAAGGTATAGTAAAAGTTAAATTACAATAGTAAAAAGGAAAAAAAATTAAATGACTCATTAAAATCACTTAAATGATTGCTTTCACTATAAAACCATTAATCAGGACATAGAATCAGTAAGTGGTATCATGTGGTTGAAAATATACCCAATGAATTCAATACCAAATGAAAGAGTTTCACTCTTACAATCCAGAGACAGTCATCTCTCAGGTCAAGTCAATTTATCTCTTTTATATTAAAACCTGAAAGTCATAATCAAAGGAGGAAAAAAAACAAGGATTTCACAGATTTCTTGGAAGCATAGTGCTAGAACCCATGTCGTATCATATCTTTTGTCAGTATTTAATGATCACTGTAAGAGCTGATACTGCTAGTAAGCTTCTTGATTCTTTATATACACATATTAAACTACCACACATTTCAAAGTGAAATAGATGATGCTTCCTCCTGAAATAGTCATAATTTGGGGTTCAAGTATTCTTAGAAGCATTTATCTGTCAGAAAATACATGGTTTTGATTCCCTTGTGATAAGGTTAATTTCCTTCATTTTCTTCAAGGCCTCTGTATGAGAGATAGGATTGAATTCCTTCAAAGTCCTGAGAGCCCTAGACGATGATTTTGGCACGCTGACTCTCCTATTCTCTGAAACGTTTGGCAATGTCTTAGAGTTTGATCAGAGAAAAAAAAAAATAAAGCCCACAAAGTTTATGAGAAAAAAAGTCATAACTGACTATATCTGCCAAGGCAACTGTATTCATTCAAAAAATTTTCAGTATAGAGATGTGTATCAACTATAGAGTGAAACACTTGGCTTTTATTTTAAAATGTTCTATTTATAGCTCACTGGGTATTTATTTGTCTCAGTCAAAACTGAAATAGGTCAGCTTTCTTAACTTCTGTATTACATATAAAGTTAAATGAAAAAAATTACATATATTAAGTCCAACTGTTCTGAACTCTAAATAAAACTTTCTTTAAAGGGCTAACATCTTGGTTTCTTTTATTCTTCTTATGATTTTTATTGACTTATTAAATGTTAATTAGACATTATTTAATGACATTGTACAGTCTGTTTTGAGTCCATAAGAATTTAACTATTGCCATCTTGTGGTCAACGTTTATAAATATGACACAGAAAGCAATGTCACTTTCCTAGAGAGATACTTTAAAATCTTACCAAACAAATTTTCCTATCGATTGAGAAAAATGATCATTTCATTACATACAATATTTCCCAAAGAGACATAATTTATTAATAATTTTAAGGAATTATAATTTTTAAAAACCTAACTTTAGTATAGTATTTGACCATGAATGGTAACAGTACTCAGTAGAAGGACATCAAGTCAGTCCCAATATTATCTTAGAAACATTCATTTGCTCATATCTATATACGGTCATAATTAAGGTTTAAATACTATAAGAGTTTTACAGGCAAGTTTTCATGGGATTCTAAAACACAATATTAATACTACTATACCATGGTTAGGTTGAAAATGTGGTCAGGAAGGCAAAGTTCTGAGAAGTTGGAGCAAGAGAGGAACAGAAAGCAGAAAAGTAAAAACCTAAAATCTACATAGCATAATTTCAATAATTATCTTGAGTACTTCCTCATTTAAGTCTTTCCTAGAACGCTAACTGCTGAGTTACATTTGCAGTTATATTGGCATTCAATAAATGAGACAAAAAACACAATTACAAAAGCAAGGAAAAAATGTTCTACTGCCCAAAACATTTCTAATACTTCTTCCTAGATTGTGGAAATAAAGTTTTAAAACAGAAGATAATCTTAATGTCTACTGCCAAATTTCAGAATTTAGGTTATATTAAATTTAAATGACTAAGAAGCGGAAGGTAAATAAAGCACAAAGCCAACAGTCTTTCAGAAACACAAAGGCAACATCAAACTACTGTGATGTTGATGGTAGAGATGAAATTCAACCACACAACTTTGAGCAGTACAGAAAAGGTCATGCATATTAACAGCATGTAACGTGAGAGTCCTTAGTTTTCTTACATTGTACTTAATTGGTCAACATCATCCACAACTCTAAATACCCTTTACAAAACACCTTTACAGACATAGCCCCTTGCCTTTATCATATTATAATTTTAAAATAGACAACTATGACACAGATATAGGACTATATATAGATAAAAAGGCATCCAATTGCACAAGAACTAAAGGGTAAAATTAAAGGAAAAATACTACCTAAAAGTTTTAAAATTCCATTAGAAATAGTGTTTATTGGTAAAAAAAAATACACATACAGTCAAATATGATACCAGATTCTTTATCCCAATGGACCAAGAGAAAACAAAAAGTCTATAGACAAGAATGAGATGTATATAAAAATAAAGAATTCTCATTATATACTTATTCAATATCAGGATAAGTATCAAACTATTATATTAGAAGAAAACTAATCTTACCTTGTTGCTGTGAAAGTGAAGTATCAGATTTATTTCCTACACGTATTAAACGACTTTGTGCTGGCCTATGTTCAACTTGCTTAACATCTTGGTCATGCTTTTGTTGGTACTAAAGAATTTAAGACATGAAGTCATAATACTGCCTTTAAAGTTACTTTAAAGACTTCTGAACAAGAAAATTATTTAGATGTTTCTTATATAAAATTCGAATATTAAGCATGCTTTCTAATTGCTAAATGGGTGATGGAGTACATACTACTAATGAAAAGATATTGGAAATAAAATTTTGCAGAAGATTTGGATAATATACACAGATTTCAAATATTCAAATTATTTCTATTTTTACTAGAGAATTCAGAGCTCCTTATAAATCAAACTATCTTAGATATATACACATGATGGATTTAGATAGGATAAAAACTTAATTTGCTTGTAAGCTCCGCCTTATAACCACTTTTACATAAAACGAAAATCTGCATAATGCACTGCAATTTTCGAAGAGCCTTTATAAATAGTAACATCATTTAATTCTCACAAGATAGTAGGTATTGTTACCCTCCTTCACCATTCAAGAAATGTATATTCCACCATAAGCCCCATCATCTCTCTTTCTTACTTATAACCTAACCGAATTTGAAACTGACTCATATTCACACATTCCTTTCACAATCACACATCACGAATTACGAAGCCATTTTCTTTCTTCCTTTTCCTGTTTTATGGGCCTAATTATGAATGAGTTCCTGAAAACATCTATCAGATATGCTTTGACAGGAATTTAAAAAGCTATCTCTGGATTCTTATCAATGACAGTTGACCCAGAGGCTGAACCCAGTCAATCCAGGCTCCTTACTTCCTCCCTGTCTTTGGAATATACATCCCACCTTCTATTTGCCTACTAGCAGATGTTCCCAGAACATAGCCTTGAGAGAGTGAAGTGTTCCAAGTGTTCCTCTGGACTGAATAGCTGACTGAACCAAATGAAGGCTTCCATATAAACTTTTAAGATTCTAGTGGGCGGATACAGAGATCTATTTGTCTTACAGTTGCCCAAGACAAGCCTCATCAATAAGTTCCCTTAATTACTGAACCTGCCACCTACCACTCTGAAGTGGTCTGTTATTATTCGGTCTCTCCTTGCTCTCCATGCATAGGAAGCCAGTTCTGAATTTCACTCAGGAAACTCCTGAGGTGGCCAGTAATACCAACACCGTGCAATGCTATACAATACCATGCAATAAATACTTAGTGAATAAATGAATCAACAGTGAAAAATGCATTGCTATTAAACAGATACAAAACTGTTATGTTGAAGAGTAATTAATCTACTTTTTCAGTACACAAAATTACATGGGCCATTGGCCTAACTCAGTATGAAATTTCATATGCTTTCATGTTAACAACTTTTGGAAATTTTAATATAATAAATAACTCTTGAATACCTACTACAGTGAATTACTGAGCTTGATATTGCATGGGTAAACAAAGTATAAATGATAATAGCTATCTAACTAGATGACAAGCACTTTACATATGTTATTTTTTAATCTTTAAAATAAAGATGAGGAGACTGAGGCTTAGAAAAAGGCTATGTGTTCAAGGTCACAGCTAGAATCCTAAGAGCTAAGATTTGTATCCAGGCATGAATCAGTAAATAAAGGAAACATGACTACAAAGATTATATGCTCCATACAGTATACTATATGCTAAGACAATATTGTTCCCATTCTCATTTTAAGTAAAGTACAAGAGTTTTTAATTGGGTACCTGATGAATATCTTCAGCAGCTCCTGATAACTTAACATTATTTTCTTGTGCTGTCAGAAGTGTTGTGGAAAGTGCAGGATTAGAATTTGGCTGCAACTCCAATTCTCCCAAACTCATTGGACCATGACTAGCACACGAGTCTTCATAACCACCACCTGCTATCAAAGATATAAACAAAAAGTAAAAATTGTTTAATTTATCTTAGAAAAGGAACAATTAATTGACTAAAATTACCAATATTTCTCACTGCTGAATAAGAAGTAGCAGTGTACTTTAACCAAAATAATTTGGTACCAAGTCTTCATTGCAATCAAAACAAAGCTTGTAGAGAATACACAAAGTACCTCAGTGCAGACAAGTCTATGGACTATTCTAAGGTTCCAATCAACAAGTTGCTAATGCAGTCTACACCCAACCCCACTCTTTCACATCAACTCTGTTAAGAAATAGATCTATATCTGAAGCATCATACATAAACAAATTCTTTCAAATGAAATAATATCTTAAAGACATCATAAATATTTTCCATTCAAAGTCAGTGTATTTAAAAAAAAAAAAAAGTCAGTGTTAGGGGGTGCTTGGATGGCTCAGTTGGTTAAGCATCCACCTTTTGATTTCAACTCAGGTCGTAATCTCAGGGTTGGGAGACTGAGCCCCTGGTTGGACTCCATATGGAACCTGCTTAAGATTCTCTCTCTGACCCACCTCCCACCTCTCCCTCTCTGAAAAGGGGGAAAAAAAAAAGTAAGTGTATTGACAATTTCTTAGGTACAGCAAATAAATTACCCTCCGATCTTTTATATTAATCTCTATTTTTAGGTGAGTTTTACAAAAAGCAAAACATACACCTTGAGTTTTAATTTTTACCTTTCCAGATTCAATCTGTACAAAACAATTTCTCAAAATTATTACCTATTCTATTGTCATTTAATTATCTAGCATATGATATGATTAACTTAATAATGATAATAATACTCATCACTCAGATAAACTATTGTTCCAAGCCTTGTATATTGGCTTTTTTATATTCTGATATGTCTTATTCTATTCATATGCCACTTTTCCAAGATTTTCCTAAGGCAGGCAAATGAATTAAGATAAAAGAATTAGCACAAATAATGTTAAAAGAGAAGATATTAAAAAATGTGCTGATAATATGGTTATATATCTAGAAAAATAAGAGACTCTAGTGAGGAAAAAGAACTCTATTAAAATTGAGAAGAGAATTTGGTAATGTGACTGAATACTAGATAAATATCTAAAAATCATTGGTTTTTCTCTATATTATACTAGTATCCACCTAAAAACAGAAAAAAAAATCCTTTACTATAGTGACCAAAACTTTAAAATAATTAAAAATAAGATTATTAAGCATAGAATCCATATGATGAAAATTATTACATCTTATTGACAAGAACAGAACAAGATATGAATATGATATGATATACCATAAGAATATTAATTCTTCCAATATTAATAAATAACAATGCAATTCCAATTAGGGTGTTTTGTTTTGTTTTAGATTTTATTTATTTATTTGACAGACAGAGACCACAAGTAGGCAGAGAGGCAGGCAGAGAGAGAGGGGGAAGCAGGCTCCCCGCCGAGCAGAGAACCCGAAGTGGGGCTCGATCCCAGGACTCTGGGATCACAACCTGAGCCAAAAGCAGAGGCTTTAACCCACTGAGTCACCCAGGTGCCCCTAGGGTGATTTTTAACAGAAAAAAAAAGTTTTACAGTTTATATGGAACAAATGCCTGAGACCTGCCAACAAAAGTATGAAAAAATTTTTGAAGCGGAAACTTGCCCTATCAGATAACAGAATGTGCCATAAAGACACAATAGTCTAATGTTTGAGCTCATAAAGCATTCAGATTACTTATAATAAAGAATCCAGAAAAATATTCCCACCTCTATGAGAATAATATACAAACTGGTTGATATTTTAATTCAGTAGGAAGGAAAACAGCTTAAATATTAGTTGATGCTGACCCAACTAGCTATTTATGTGGAAGAAAATCATATTGGGCTTCTACCTTACATCATTTGAAAAAGCTAATTCCAGATAGACTTAAATATAAATATACTAAATAATGAAAAGCTCGCAAGAAAATCTACAAGACTACAGGTATAAACTTATGTTAGGAGAAACCTAATCAAGCCATAAAAACACAAAGTATAGAAGATAGAAATAACTATATAAAAAATTCTGTTACCTATATGGCAAAGAAAGACCATAAATAATGATAATGAATTCAGTATAAATTTGGAAAAAGATGTGCAATACAGGTGATAGAAAACATCTAAAATATAGAAATAGTTATTATATGGTTTTAAGAAAAATTCAGACCCTAACAGATGGAGAAAGAACTTAAGTAGGTAATTGACAATTGAAATAGTTATTACATGGTTTTAAGAAAAATTTAGACCCTAACAAATGGGGAAAGAACTTAAGTAGGTAATTGACAAAAGAAAAAATCCAAATGGCCAAGAAACATGTGAAGACAGAAACACATAGGCAATCAGAGACTTGTAATTTCCATAGGATTTATTGTGTAAAAACAAATGCAGGGAAGTGGGCATGATATGATCTCGACTTGTAAAATAACAGCACACACACATATCATATATATCTACCATGTATACTATACATGTGAGTGTGTCTATGGACAAAAACAGAAAGATTACATGCCAGAATCTTAACGTGAATTAGCTGGGGTAAAGCAAAATATGGGATAGGAGAAAATGTGAGGATGAGGAACGGATGGCAGTCACTCTAAAAAATAGTCTATAATTTAATATATGATATAATCACATTTTGTTTTATGTAAGATTATATGTGGTTAATGTATGGTATAAAGAAAAAATTCATTAAAAAGACACACAGTAAATTTTGATAAAAGACCTAAATGTAAAAATCCAGAAGGTATATAATCAACTATCTCCCCAAAGCGTTCAAAGCATGTAATAGCTTTCAATCCATAGAAGACCCTATCACTGAACATATATTTACTGACTATGCCCTAGGTGATACAGACTCTGTTAGATGACAGGGATAGGACAGTGAACAAGATAAAGTCTTGTTAGATTACAAATTAGATTACAGATCAGTGTGACAAAAGCAAAATTAGGCAGGCAACGTTAGGGAACTATGCAGAGAGCATGTATGACAGATATCTAACCCAGTAATAAAGGGTCAGGTAGGAATTCCCTGAAAGCTATCATAACAATGCTAAATTTGCTCAACAACACAAATGGTGTCACTTCTAAAGCATGCTCATTGAGTGTGGGCGTCTTGTCTGTATAATATAATTTAGCTCTTTGTAACTATTATATCATTCACATCAAATTTATCTTAACTTGAAATCCCTAATTTTACTTCTCTAGAATCTTACTGCAATGAAAAAGCAACCTTAGACACTTAAGACTTTCAGAGAAGACTAAGTCCACCCAAAATTGCCAATGCCAGCAGCAGCTTTGGGTTTGTCAAATCTAATACATTTTTCCATTTGTATGAAACCCAAAGGTGCCTCAAATTCAACATGCTTAAAGGCCCATTCATCCTTATTTCCTCCTAATTCTATCCCTTCTCCATAGTCCCTCTCTCTCAACTCAGTGAATGGAAATTCCATCCATCCAACCATATGGATAGGTTTTCCTTTCTTTTGCTTTTCTCATATTCAAATTAAGTCTTGTCCATTCTCCTTCTTGTCTTTCAAATCTCCCTTTTTATATTTCCTCACTCTTATATAATGTTTGACCAGCTTTACCGTAATAGCTGTCCAACCAGGCTCCTTGCCTCTAGCCTTAATCCTTTCCAATCTTTTCATCACACTGTACCTCAGATGATCATGCGAAATAAAAGACAAAGATCATCATATCAGTCATTTACTTATAATCCTTAATGGATCTGTGAATATTATAAAACATTCAGAATTGATAGAAATTCAAGACTGAATTTTTCATGGGCATCAATATAAAAGAAGATGGGCATTATTTTCTGTTTGGCTCACAAACGGATCTCTACCATCTCAAGAGTAAATCCAAAAACTATTTCATATATTATTCAGGATTTTCTAGGACCTAGTTTGGGCTCACTACCCCAATCTATCCTAAGCTCTAATTCATTGATAAGGTACTTATATTTCCCTGATAAAGTCTTGCTATTTTCTTTTCTTTTTCATTGTCTCACTGCATATTTGGCCCACAAGATCTCTCCTCATTTACTACACAGCAAACATGTGTTCATCTTCAAGAATCCATTTCACGTAAGCCTCCTCTCATGTACAAAGTCTTTTCTGATTCCCCTCTCCAGATACAAGTGATCTGTACCCCATTCTATACGAACATCAAAATAACTACAATTTATTGCATGTTTATGTCCTCTCATCTATTACTTCTACTAGAGAAAAAAACTCATTATGGATAGGATCTTACGAGGTTTTACATTCCTAGCCCCCAGAATATGGTTAGAGTATAGCAAGCACTCAAAAAATATTTTCTGGGGGAGCCTGGGTGGCTCAGTGGGTTAAGCCTCTGCCTTCGGCTCAGGTCATGATCTCAGGGTCCTGGGATCGAGTCCCGCATTGGGCTCTCTGCTCGAAAGAGAGCCTGCTTCCTCCTCTCTCTCTCTCTGCCTGTCCCTCTGCCTACTTGTGATCTCTCTGTCAAAAAAATAAATTAAAAAATCTTTAAAAAAAATATTTTCTGAATGAATAAGTGAATGAATGAACTGGATGCTTATTGCACTCCACCATTAAGATTCAATTTCATATCGACTTGTGGGAAACCTCTGAGGCTTCATGTATGGGTAGAGTCCTCCCCTGCAGTCCCACAGCAATGTGTATTGTACTAATCACACAGTTCTTTCTTGTATTTCTCCTACAGTAGTTTGTAAACTTCCTTGAGAGTAGATGCCTATCATTTCTGTATCTCAAGTGCCTAACACCATAGTAATATAATATAGTTCCAGATACATAGTAGTATCCAATAGAAGTTTTCTGAATAAATGAGAGCTATAATTGGTAGTGTATTCCAGAGTCCTCACAATTCATTCAAAAAATACCAGTTTACATATTTGGGTTCTTAAGGCAACTCTTCAAAACTAATTTTGCATCTTTTTGTTACTCAACCCAAACTGAGGGCCTCAGTATTAGGAAGAGTGGTAGGGAAATACAGGTTGCAAATAGGATACTTTCTGAAAATGAACAGAAGTGGAGATATGCAAGGTAAGAACTGATGAGCCTCGATAGGTAAAGTTATTTAAAAAACAATATAGGGATGCCTGGGTGGCTCAGTCGGTTAAACGTCCAACTCTTGATTTTGGCTCAAGTCCTAACGTCAGGGTTGTGGGATCAACGCCGGCATCAGGCTCTGTGCGGGCATGGAGCCTGCTTAATTAGATTCTCTCTCTCCCTCTGCCCGCTCCACCTCTCTTTCTCTAATTAAAAATATATATGTACATATATAAGGCATGAGATTAATCACCAGCAGAAATAATGATACATGGTATTCATTCTTCTATAGTAACCACTATGTGCCAAAATACTTAAAACAAGAGGAACAAGTTAGTTCTCTACAGGCATAGTCCTTCTAGGCAGCTGTGGATAGTCTATTTCTATTGAATCCCTATAAAAAGGTATTTTTACATACTCTAGTCATTATTAAAGAGAACACCACTTACCATGTGGTAAGCACTGTGCTGACTACTTTATATGCATTGTCATTTACTATTCCTAATAACCATAAAGGGTGGACACTATTTGTGATAACCAGCCCCCAAGATGGTGTCCTGAATCCTGTCTCCTGGGGTTCATACCTTTCAGTCATCCCCTACTATATCTTATTCCAGGATTGCTCTGTGTTATTGCTAGAATGTGGAAGGAAAGATGGCATGTCACTTCTGAGATTAGGTTATGAAAGACTTTGTGGTTTCCATCTTGATTGCTTACTTTCTCTCAGATCATCTTTGTGGGAAGCCAGCTGCTAGGTCATGAGCAGTGGAACTGGGGCCTCCTGCCAGCAGCCATGTGAGTGAGCTTGGAAAAAAGATCCTCCAACCCTAGTGGAAGCCTTCGGATGACATCAGCCTCAGAAAACAACTCGACGGTAACTTCATGGGAGATTCTGAAAATTACCTAGCTAAGCTGCTACCAGATTCATGACTTTCAGAATTGTGTGAGAATATAAATGTTTCTGTCTTTGGCTGCTAAATTGTGGGGTAATTTGTTAAATAGCAATAGACAACGAATACACTAATATTATCCCCACTTGATAGATGAAGAAACTTGGGCTCAAAAATATATTTTTTTAATTTTACTTTTTTTATTATTTGGAAACTTCTAAGGCAGACATTCTTCCTAATACTAACTTTAAAAGAGAGCCTCAGTTAACAAATGGAACACACAACCCATAAATAAAATGAATGAGTAGGGTTTTTGTGGTTTTTTTAAATGAAATAAGAACTGTAGTTTCAACATCTAAACCACTGTCAAAAATATTTTTAATCTGCAAAATGCACAATTGCAACAGCTTTCAACTACAGCTAATTCACAGTGCAGTATAACTGAAACACACTGGGGGACCCATAATAAATTCTGAACATTTCCTTATTTGGTTTTTGTAAATGAAGCAGATGAATTCTATTCCCAAGCATATAGGAAGCAGACAAATGAATTAACTCAAAAGGTCATTGACAGATTGCTTCATAAAACGTTGCTGTTTTGAAAAGAATTGTGATCCATTCATTCACTTCATTATAGATATCTAAGACAAACCACACTGTAATTTACCAATACATTCTGCTTATATCAATCTAACAAAATACAGTCCCAACAAAATTACTGGGCTCAAAGACAGTAAGTTACTTGCCTCAAAGTACACAGAGCTGGAACTCAAACTGATATCTGAAACTCCAAAAGCCCAAATTCTTAGCCACACTCTGCTAAATTGCCTCATCTATATGTTCGATCTTGTATTATGCCACATAACTTACTGTTCTTCCCTATTAAATAAATACCTGCAGTGTACCTACTATTATAAGCCCATTGTATGGTAGATAATACGCTAGGTGCTAACCAGAGGAATAAGCAGGGACTAACTAGGATATATCCTCATGTATTTTATTCTATAATAATTTAACAAGTACCTAGTTTTTCTCACGTACCTAGCAGCTCTCAAGTGATCTGTGAGAGCCACCTAGTGTCAATTCTGTTTAACTGCAATTTGCAGATAGCGAGATACAAATACAACAAGCAAAGGAGAGGGGGAAGAGGAGGAAACCAAGAAACATACTCGTAACACACTCATAACTACGAAGAACTGATGGCTGCCAAAGGGAAGGTGGGGAGGGTGGTGATGAAACAGGTGATGGGGATTAAGGACAGTGCTTTTTTTTTTTTTATTAATTTTATTAACATATAATGTATTATTAGCCCCAGGGGTACAGGTAAGGAGTGCACTTGTGATGAGCACCCCTGATATATGGAAGTACTGAATCACTATATTGTACACCTAAAACTAATATTTCATTGTATGTTAACTAACTGGATTTAAATAAAAACTTCAAAAAGTCACATTTTATGCCATCTCAAATACTACTCATTTAGGGGTGCCTGGGTGGTTCAGTCAGTTAAATGTCTGCCTTCGGTTCAGTTCATGATCCCAGGGTCCTGGGATTGAGTTTCACATCAGACTCCCTGCTCAGCTGAGAGCATGCTTCTCCCTCTCCCTCTGTTGCTCCCGCTGCTTGTGCTCACTCTCTCTCTCTCTCAAATGAATAAAATCTTTTAAAAAAATCCTATTCATTTAAAAGAATGTAAAACATTTAATGCCCTCACTATGTGCACAAAATGAGAAATAACTCCAATCTTACTTTATATTTATTCTCCCGGAAAATTTAGTCTTGAATTTCTCTCAATTCTGAATGATACAAGGTGTTCACTCAATATAAAATGGAGATTTTAAATACTCTATACCAATGTTTTTCTAACTTTATGCATTTCCTTTTCTGATCCTTGGAAAATCTGCAAACCTCCGGAAGTTCTTTTCACTTAAGAGAATGCAGCAATGGGCATGGAAAAATCAGCAAATGAGAATACATTTGCTCCCCATGAATTTGCTGATTCCATATTTGCAAATTCACCTACTCAATAAAATTTACTTCTAATCCCCAAACCAACAGCTGCAGTGATTTTGTGATCATTCACAGACATGGGTAGACTAAAAAAACTTGCATCACCCATTTACTAGCTGAGGCTGAACCAAGGTGATGCTCTGTTTTCTTATTTCAGCTCTTATACTGTAAACAAGGGTCCCTTTTGCTGTCTATTTACTGTCTGTTCACATCTTTGTGCTTTTTGTTGGAGATCTGTGGTTTCAAGTGGCCCCACTCAGACTGCTGAAGTGCCATCTGGTGTCTTAAGTGCACAAAGCTGTGACAGGCCTTAGAGAGAAAATACATGGATTCCAGAAGCTTTGTTCAGGCCCAAGCTACAGTGTTGCGGACCCTGAGCTCAATGTCAATGCACCAACAATATATATTACAATAAATTTCTTTAAAAAGAAACACACATTAACACAGTTACATATTGATCAGTTGACAAAGATGTTATGATCAGAAGCTTGCAGGAATCTAGGCTGTATTTTCCCCAAGGAGCAATGGGTCAGTATTTACTAATTCAGTGTTTCTGATGACTCCACAGATAGCACAGATAATGAGAATCAACTGTATATGCTAGTGATCAGTATTCTCTCTTCTATTCTTTCTTTTTTTTTTAAAGATTATTTATTTATTTATTTATCTGACAGAGAGAGATCACAAGTAGGCAGAGAGGCAGGCAGAGAGAGGGAAGCAGCCTCCCTGCTGAGCAGAGAGCCCGATGTGGGGCTTGATCCCAGGGCCCTGGGAGCATGACCTGAGCCGAAGGCAGAGGCTTTAACCCACTGAGCCACCCAGGCGCCCCTCTCTCTTCTATTGTTATTTCCAAAGTGTTACAGCAGAAAGTCTGGCTAATGAGGTTCTAAACTAGTCATGAATACACTGAGCATTGTGTCAGAAATCCATACAGTGTAAAGAATGAATTTCTAGAGGATTATCTAATTTAACCTTGTCCTAAACAAGATATGTTCTGTCACAGTTTGGTGTTCTAAATTATATTTTTTCTAATATATAGTAAAATAAAATAAATAAATAAATAAATAAATACATCACTATTAAAAAATTTTAAGTATATGTATGCCTATTACCAAAATTATCCCATGCACCAACCAGAGGCTCACGTACTAACAGTGATACCTGAATCACATCTGGGAAAATATATAGACCACAAAAAAAAAGTCATTACTAAACTTTTCAATAATGAAGACCCTTTTTAATAAAGAAATTTTGCCCCTACCTGAAAATAGCAATTTTCTTAATTCAGATTAGGATCACTATCACAATTATAACACAAAACAGAATATAGCATTCAGCCTGGAAACAGTACAAAGGAAGTGTGATGGGATTCAAGTACATTCTAATAAATGCTACATCAAGAAGCAATATTTTGGTGTATACCTGCAACTGTGTCAAATTGCTGAGATAATGGCTGAGGAGCACATTTTTTATCCAAAAACTCTGCATTAGTGGCAGGTGACTGCATAGAGACAGACTGTCCCAGTAAGATGTTCTCTGCTGCTGTTGTCAGCCTGGGCCTTTGTCCTTCACTAAGTTCACCTGCACTGTTTTCCAAGTCCTATAAAAGGTAGCAACAATTGTTAAAAACACTATATTAAAATCAAGTCAAAAGAGCAAAAATTTGTCAAATACCATGAACCAAAGTACTTGACTGCTTGAAAGGTATTTTAGGAAGTGCTTATTATCACACACACACACACACACACACACACACACGCACACACACACACACTCTACTGAAAGACAGGCTTAAAAAGTTAGTTCTATCAGGCATCTAGCAATAGGCTTTGTTGCCAATATCTCATTTTTTATGAAGTTAAATAAGCATTATCTTGCTTTTCAAACTCCAAATTAGATAGCAAAACACCTAAAAAAATTTTATGATTTAAACTTAATAATGGCACACATTGCATATTGTTCATACAGCTTCAAATTAAAATAATAGAAAAGTTATTTTTCATTCTTCATTAACGAAAACTGCCTGAACTTGTTAGGGTGAATCTTACAGTTAAGTGACATAAACATTACCCTTATCCAAATAATTACATTTTTTTATAAGTACCTAAGTTGAAGAAGACTACTTTCATCATATTAATAAAGTTCTTCCCCCTCAGAAAGTACACAAGTACAAATACATTTATCAAATATATAAAATAAATTTAGGGTCCTGGGTGGCTCAGTTGTTAAGTGTCTGCCTTCAACTCAGGTCATGATCCCAGGGTCCTGGGATCAAGTCCTGCATGGGGTTCCCTGCTCAGCGGGAAACCTGCTTCTCCGTCTTCCACTCCCCCTGCTTGTGCTCCCTCTTGTACTGTGTCTCTCTGTCAAATAAATAAAATCTTTAAAATATATACACATATATATAAAAAATAAATTTTACAACTAAAAGAATTAAGACTTCTATTTTCTTTCCGTATTAAAAATTATGTATGTGATCACTACCACATTTTGTGACTTAGAAATATTCTATGAGTTTACTTACTAAGAACCGAATAAAAATTCCAGTATTTGAAAGCTCTGTTTCTCATTGAAACGGGATTTAATTTCAACCAAGTGTTTTTCTAGAATATATGAAGAAATCACTGCTGAAAGATCTTCGATGTTAACAATAAAATTAACTATGGCTCTGTTAACATAAAGTAAAATCTAACTTCTTAGCTCCACATTCAAGATTTTCTATAATTTTCCCAAATTCTTGTGTATTTCTATCTCCTCTAAGCCCCTAATGTGACTTTTGTTTAGGAACATCAATTACCTCAACAACCTCTAAATAGAAAAGGATTGTTTTGCAATTAATATAAAACCTTTGGAGACCCTTTGGCAAAATTTAAAACGATGGCAGATACACTTTCCCTAGAAATTAATTAGGAATATTTCACAGTGCCTCTCTTACTCTGCCACTACCATATAAAATGTTGGGCAATAAACAGTACCTTCTCTATTATGAATCAATTTTCTAGGGTGCTTGTAATTGCTGAGCTATTTAACACCTTAATACTCTAGGACTCTACTAAAGCCTTAGCTTGCCTACTCACAAAATGCTCTCATATTCATAAGTATCATTGATCTTGGCAACAACCCAGACTGCAGACACTGGTACCCCAGACTAAGAGTAACGTCAGGGAGTGCAAAAGCCCATCTAGGATGAAAACGTGTAGCTGAAACCGGATCAGGATTCATTCCTTCCCCTCTTTCCCTCCAAACACCAGGACTGGATTATAAAACCTCCAAATTCCTTCCTAAGTATCATACCTTTTGACCTCCTTGCCCAGAATATCTTAATAGCCTCTACAGTGCCCAAGCCTTTCCATGGCTTAAACGGTTCTTTATGATCATCTGGTTCAACCAACTTCTCCAGACTTTTCTCTTTATCCAAAGTGCTTGTCACACTGAGTTATTCAACACTTTCTAAATATTTTGATCCATTATTAACTGTAGAGTAATTGTTAGGCCCTTTTCTCCCTACAGGACTGTGAGCGTCCTAAGGGTAGGGTTCTGTCTCCTTCATCTTTGTACGTTTTTCAAGACTGGTTCTGGCACATAGTAGATATTCAGTAAATGGCTGAAGAAAGAAAGAATGACTGATCCTCACAAATCATCTAAAAGGGTTTCCGTTTTTTCAACCGTAGAACAGGAGGGCTGGAGCAGATTGCCTAACTCTAGAGCTCTGATTTCAGGTTAAAGTTACTATAAAGTTGACCCCTGAATAAGTTGAAGAATTAGCGTGCTTTCACTATAAGTAGGAATATTTTTGTTATTTTTCCTGTATTTAGACCAAACCAAAAGAAAACAAAAATTATTAAGGTTAAGTACCTCTGAATGATAGACTGCTTGCTGTGAAACCAAGAAGTCCTGGTTTTGTTTAGCAAGAAGAGAAAGAATTGCGTCTGCATGAATTTTTTTATGGGACATCCTAATCACTTGTCCTTCGCTGGGAGGATCATCTTCCTGAATGAAATATAAAGACAGTTAATATAACAAAAAATCCTATGAAACACTTGCATTTTTCTTGATTTATGATTAATGAAATGTAGCAGCCATCATGAAAATGGTCATATTAGCACTTTATGGAAAGAAGGTAGACTCTATTTTCATCTAGTTCTCATTTTCATTTGACTATACTAACAAGTCTTTAGTATGCCTCAAATAGAAACAATATAAAATAATTTGGTTACACTTCAACTGGACATTTAGTATAATATACATGCAAATTGGACCCTCGCTCTGAAGTGACTGAGTTATCATGATTCATAAATGTTTTATGTAGGGCCATCAAGTTTTTGGCTCACACAGTTTCCTGCTTCATATTTATGCAGCACCCAAAGCAACACCATGGTGTGGTGATGGGGGCAGAGCACTGGAGGGATACTGAAACCTGGACCACAGGCAAAAACGAAAAACTACAGAAATATGTTAAGGCACCTATAGACCTCTGATTGTCCCTTTGCCTGTGGGCTGACCTTTGGTACTTGGCTAGGGAGCAGGTACTGCAGCCCTCCCCAGAGGACCCAAACTAGGCTTCCTGGCACCTCAAATAAGACCTGTCCCAAAGATGCAGGACAGTATGGGGCTCAGAGTCAGAGAAACTAGATTCCCTTATAAATCCAACAATTTTTTTAAAAGATTTTATTTATTTATTTGACAGAAAGAGAGAGATCACAAGTAGGCCTCTTTAGGCAGAGAGAGAGGTGGGAAGCAGACTTCCCACTGAGCAGAGAGCCCTATGCTGGGCTCGATCCCAGGACCCTGAGATCATGACCTGAGCCAAAGGCAGAGGCTTAACCTACTGAGCCACCCAGGCACCCTGTAAATCCAACTATTAACAAGATTTTTAACCCCAGCAGTAGTACTTTTTACTTAACATTTTACTAGTAATGAAATAAAGTTTATTAATTCTAGATTACTGTCAGTCTTTATCCCCCAGCTGTATATAGATAAATGTCTGTTGGTGACATGACTTAGGTTGTTCTTGGATTTTTAGGATTATACTTTTGCACTTGACTTCATTTTGAATTTGTACCATATCTGGGGCACCTGCGTGGCTCAGTTAGTTAAGCCTCTGCCTTCAGCTCAGGTTGAGATCCCAGCATCCTGGGATCAGCAGGGAGTCTGCTTCTCCCTCTCCCTCTGTTGCTCTCCCCACCCCACATCCTCACTCTTGCTCTCTCTCTCCCTCTCTCAAATGAATAAATAAAATCTTTTTAAAAATGAATTTGTAGGGGCGCCTGGGTGGCTCAGTGGATTAAGCCTCTGCCTTCGGCTCAGGTCATGATCTCAGGGTCCTGGGATCGAGTCCCGCATCGGGCTCTCTGCGCAACGGAGAGCCTGCTTCCTCCTCTCTCTCTCTCTCTGCCTGCCTCTCTGCCTATTTGTGATCTCTCTCCTCAAATAAATACATAAAATCTTTAAAAAAAATGAATTTGTAACTTATTTGATTTAGGCTTACCAAAAACATTAGGAGTTCAGTTTCAAATGAAGAAAAAAAAAAGATGTTATCATTTAGTCCCATTTGGGTTTAGCTATTATTTTAAACAAACTTACAAACAAACTTACTATAAACTTAAACATGCTCTGGTCCATGATAAAGTTCTAAGGATGGGTAAAAATACCATAATGACATATTAAGTAAACCAAATGTTAGTTTAATGCTTCTCTGAAAATAAAGACATCTCATTTTTGTCTTCCCCACATATTATTTAATAAAAGTGATTTTCAGGGCACTTGGGTGGCTCAGTGGGTTAAAGCCTCTGCCTTCGGCTCGGGTCGTGATCCCAGGGTCCTGGGATCAAGCCCTACATCGGGCTCTCTGCTCCGCAGGAAGCACGCTTTCTCCTCTCTCTCTGCCTGCTTGTGATCTCTGTCTGTCAAATAAATAGATAAAATCTTTAAAAAATAAAAAATAGAAAAGAATAATAAAAGTGATTTTCACTCTCTTCATAATGGACTCAATTACTTGCAATAGATAATTACTGTGAGACAAGTAATTGTACCATTAAAATCTTACCAAAAAATCTCCTTAATGCATTATTTTACACCCCTGTACATAGTAAAGCAAATTGTTTTTAACAAATTTTGTTACTTGGATATATTAATTTCCAGATTCAGCATCATTATACGATTAACGATATCCTTATTATAGATCCTATTAAGTGTCCTTAATAACATAAAGATGCTACCTCGCCTCCAAAGCTGCTTACAGACTTAGGAAATCTCCAGCACACACAGCCAGCCCCTGTAACTTAAGCTTTAGGATTCAGATAGCCCCAATGAGAACTCAAAATATACAGTTAATAGCTTAAAATGAAAAGTAAAGGTATCACATATCTATGTAAAAAGAGTTGTATATCTGTCACTGAATAGCTATGTGACATGGACAAGCTATTGAACCTCACTCAACTTCATCTGTAAAATGAGATGTCACATATAACAAAGGACATACATGAGAACACTGGGAACTTTTTCAAAATATACAGGTCTAGGCTTCTAACTGGCCACACATGCACACCATATAACTCTCATGACCTACCAAATCCACCTATCAGAAGCTGGAACCAGCATGCTTATTTTTTAAAACCTCCCCCAGTGAATTTAATATATAGTCCTAGTTTACATCACTTCAAGTGGTTGTTTCACAGGAACTTCTGGCATTATGATTACAAAGGGACAGAAGGACATGACTTTTCAAAAGTACACCAATCTCTCTTGTTTTCATCATGATCATGTATAATGGAAAGATACTAATGCCACCAGACTTTACTTTCAGATTTACCAAGCTCTTTGAAACTACTAAAACATGGACAAAGTATATGAAAATTTACATTTCAAGACATGGGACATCAGGTAACAAGACAGTGGGTCCCTGAGATATGGAAACGAATCAGGAGAGCCCTGTGACTGCTCCAGATCACTGCCTGTGGGAGTTTCCAGGCTCCCAGAAAAGTGAAAGCTGAAGGGAGAAAGGGAGAGAACTCTGGAGATCTGCAGAGGGTCCACTTTGAGCACTGAATACTGATCAGCACATGCATGTGAGGTAACCACGTGAGGCTAAACTAAAGACTAGCTCCAACAAGTGCCCAGGGCGTGTACACAGGCTAGAGTAATAGCTGTTCCTACCAAGCGGGCTGGAAAACCACATTTAATGAGGCATTGGCTGGAGTGCCTACAAGGGTCTTGCCTCCACAGCAGGGAACGAATAGCCTTAGAGTGAGTGCTGCTCTGGTCTTGCCTCATCAATCTTTAAAGCAAGACTCAAAAGGGTAAAACTGTCTTTAGGCAATTTAACCATATGCCTGAGGAAAGCCCAAAACTCTTTGCAGATTCCTGTAATTCCTATAAAATATAATTCCTATAAAACACAGATGCAAAAGCCAACACAAAATTTTAGATCAAATTAAACAGCTTTTCTTTAAAAGTTTACCATATACCTACCACATATCTATCCATTCCACTCCTAGGTATTTGCCCAAGAGAAATGAAAGCATACCTCCATATAAAACTTGTACATAAATGTTCATAGTTGCTTTATTTGTGATAGCCAAAACTGGAATCAACCTAAATGTCCACTGACAGGTGAACAGACAAATTGTGGTACATCCATACAACACATTACTACACAGCAATAAAAAGAAACTAACTATGATACACACTACAACACAGATGAATCTCAAAATAACTGTGCTGAGTTCAAGCAACCAGAAAAAAAGAATATATACCATATGATTTCATTTCCGTTATTTGGGAAAATGCAAACGAATTATAGCTACAGAAAGCAGACCAGTAGCATGGTAGACATGTGGGGGGATAAGAGGACTGATAAGAGATGAGAAGAACAAATTACAAAAGGGCATGAGGAAATTTTAGGAAGTGATGGATGGTAATATGTTCATTATCTTGACTGCGGTAATGGCTTTACAGATATATACATATGTCAAAAATTATCAAACTTTTTTAAAAGGAGCAAAAATAACAGCAATGCTTAGCAAAAGCTATAAATAAAGGTAGATGAGAGTTGAGTACAACTGCCTTCCCTTCCTTGGGTGGTTAAAAATATAAAAAAGGGGTGTCTGGGTGGCTCAGCTGGTTAAGCATCTGCCTTCAACTCAGGTCATGATCCCAGGGTCCTGGGTTCGAGCCCCATGTTCTCTCTTCCTCTGCCTACTGCTCCCTCTGTTTATGCTCTCTCTCTCTGTCAGTAAATAAATAAATTAAATCTTTAAAATAAATATATATATATATAGGGTGCCTGGGTGGCTCAGTGGGTTAAAGCCTCTGCCTTCCGCTTAGGTCATGATCCCAGGGTCCTGGGATCAAGCTCCACATTGGGCTCTCTGCTCAGCAGGGAGCCTGCTTCCCCTCCTCTCTCTCTGCCTGCCTCTCTGCCTACTTGTGATCTCTGTCTGTCAAATAAATAAAATCTTTAAAAAATATATATATATTTAAAAATTGCTATTCCTTAGTAATATTTCAAAAGAAAATTCCTACTATCATTTCTGTATTATAGTTATATGTGGATATGTAATAATTGATATTACATATATTATAATACTAATTGATATTACACATATTGCAATAATTGTAATTATATATATAAACACACACATATATGTAAGTAAATATATACATATTTAAAATATATATACATATTTAAAATATATACCTATTTTATTTTTTTTATTTATTTTTTCTTTTTTTTTAATTAAAAAAAAATTTTTTTTATAAACATATAATGTATTATTGGCCCCAGGGGTACAGGTCTGTGAATCGCCAGGTTTACACACTTCACAGCACTCACCATAGCACATACCCTCCCCAATGTCCATAACCCCACCACCCTCTCCCTACCCCCCACCCCTAGCCACTCTCAGTTTGTTTTGTGACATTAAGAGTCTCTTATGGTTTGTCTCCCTCCCGATCCCACATTGTTTCATTTATTCTTTTCCTACTCCCCCAAACCCCCCACGTTGTATCTCCACTTCTTCATATTAGGGAGATCATATGATAGTTGTCTTTCTCCGACTGACTTATTTCACTAAGCATAATACCCTCTAGTTCCATCCATGTCGTCACAAATGGCAAGATTTCATTTCTTTGGATGGCTGCATAGTATTCCACTGTAAAATATATACCTATTTTAAATATATATATATATATATTTTTTTAATATATAAATATATAAAATATATATATTTTAAATATATATATATATATATATATATATTTTTTTTTAAATAGGCTCCATACCCAGCATGGAGCCCAATGCAGGGCTTGAACTAATGATCCTAAGATCAAGACCTAAGCTGAGATCAAGAGTTAGCCGCTTAACCAACTGAGCCACCCAGGTACCCCTGAAATAATATGAATACTTTCTTAAAGATTTATTTATATATGTGAGAGAGAGAGAAAGTCTGTGAGAGAGTGGGAGGGGGAGGGACAGAGGAAGAGAGAGGGAGTAAGGGAAAGAAAGAGAGAGACAAAGAGAGAGAGAGAATATCCTCAAGCAGGCTCCCCACTGAACATACAGGCCAATGCAGGCCTCCATCCCAGGACCCAGAGATCATGACCTGAGCCAAAATCAAGAGTCAGGCACTTAACCAACTGAGCCACCCAGGAGCCCCCATAATCATGTTTTTAAATGGCAACTTCCACAGAGCTAGGTAATAACTAGGAAGTACTGGTACTACTATGTCCTATTTCAGTTTCTTTTTCTTATGCCAAAGAATTAAATTATTTTTAGCACAAAGAATTATAATCCTGATTAGGGAAAAATAACATATATCATAAGAGAGCAGGTTAAACAGATAAAGCCCTGTTTGAAATATTATAAAGGCACTATACCATATGACAATTTGGGCTTGATTTTCATTACTTAATTACATTAACTGTATATTTTTCAACTACTGGAGACACAGAGGTTAATAATTTTCATTCTCATAATTATGATAATGAAACATACAAAAATGATAATGAAATGTGCAAAGCTTAAATTCCTTCATGGATATTTTATTAAATTTTATACCTGTAACTCAAATATCTGAGAAAAAACCCTGATGGATGGCAACAAATTCATCAAAATATTCTTTGTGTCAGAATTCAATACGGAGCCAATAATTTCTTACCATCTCAAGGGCGTCTTGCAGAGTACTGGATAAGCTATCATTTAGATTCATCAGATACAGTCCTTTGTCTCCTAAAACTACAGGTTACATTGTAAAAATTTAGAAAACAGAACATAAACTTAGTAAATAACCTGACCACAAAGCCATAGAACATTACATTTAAACTTACACAAACGGTATGTTCGTAAATAATACTGTTCATAAATAATAATAATTCACAAGCTACTCAATCTCACACTTTTTTAAAGTACATTTTATAACAAATATGAGATTTTCGTTTTACCTACCAGCTTGTCAGAAATTAAAAAGAGTTATAGATATCAGTGGTAACCATGAAACTGAGAAAGAGGCATTCCTAAATACCATGATGTAAGCTTTCTAAAGAGTATGTTGGTAATGTACCACTATTTTAAAGGTGCATATTCTGATTCAGCAATTCCATTTCTAGGAATGTATTCAAAGGAATTAATCAGATAGGTGCACAAAATGTGTGTGTAAAAAATGGTCACTGGAGAGTTAGTATGGAAATACTGAAAGCAATCTACATACCAACCACTATAGCATTGTTTTAATAGACCACACACAACTAAAAAAAATGAGGTATGGCTAGATATATTGATATAGAAAGATGTCCACAATATCTTATTAGGTAAAAAAAAATTCAGGTTTCAAACAACATATATAGTATAATCTTATTTTTAAAGGTAAAAATACACCCCCACACATACATACACACACGTATTTATGTATCTACATATGCATAGAAAACAACAGACTGGAAGGACATACCCCAAACTATTAAGGGTGGTATTATTTTTGGAAGGTGAGATTTGTGAGCAAGATTTTACTTTCTTCTGAAGTTGAGGCATAGAAAAATTAAAGTGCAGAGTTCATATTCTTTCTATTATACCATGTTTAATCTTGAAACTTAAGTAAAAACACTCGGCATAGAAAAGTATTACTGAGGAATTATCACAATCTAACCAGTGAAATTAATTGATACAAGTTAACTTACTCTTGGGAGTCACTCTTTGACCACAGTTAAATAAAATCTCTCCTTCAGAGATGGGTCTATCCAGAGTCTCCGTTTCAGTGACAGTAACGCTGAAGGTGCTCTCTGTTGTTGATGAATCAGAACCTGGCATCTGTGTGGGGGAAGAGGCGTTGGTGCCAGGAAGAAGTGGGGGCTCTGGAGGTGCAGGCTGAGCAGGGAAATCCACACTCTCAGGTTCTTCCTCCTTGGCCACAGACATTACACTAAGAAGAAAAAGACATATTTTGAACTTAGGCCACTGAAGGCCTATATTAATTTTTATATTAAAAAACCAGATTCAAAGGCTTCCCTTAGCAAAGTACTTCTACAATCTGCACTACTATAATTACCAAGATTTATTTTTCTAAAATTGTTTTCATGCTTTAATCATAGACCATCTTGAAAGTTCTACCATCTCTCAGATAAATCTGTACGGTAATATAAAAGTTAACCGATCAGTGTAAATGAAGATTTGCTCTGGAGAGAAATCATTTTCTGTTTTATGAACAATATTATGACAATATATATTTTAATCTGTTTCACAAGAAAATGTTTTAAAAAGGAACTGAAGGCATAAGTAAATCTGGTGAAAATTTTAAAAATTTGAAATTTATGAAGGTTCTTCCTACGAAAGTATAAAGTAGCTTGTGGTTTATAAAGCTTCATCATTTCTGATGTTTTTAATGGATCATATATGTCAATGTAAGAAATGCAGTTACTGAAAGGGAGTATGTCCTCATTTACATAGCTCTCGGATGAAGTTCTTCTTGAAGAGAGCTAGGTTTCTCTTCTTCCAGTGGCAGGTCTGCATCACTCCATGGCTTAGGAAGCTCTGGACCTGATGGCTTCACTTTATCAATGGAAATCTCTGACAAAGTTGGGGAAAAAGCTGCTGCAGGAGGAGGGGTAGTAGCAGGGGTAACCGCTGGAGTATTAACAAGTGTGATGGCAGGCATTTCATCTCCTAAAGATTTTTTGTTTAAAAAGAAATCGAAAGATAAAAGTCAATACACAACTCCATAGGAAGGCAAGCTATGTTGCTTGTGGAATTTCTTAACATCTGGGTGTACAAATAATGGCAATAATAATGATGATGATGATGATGGCCATTAATGGGAAAATTCCCAAATTAATTTAGTAAAGTTTAAGAATATAATCTTGAAAAGACCCATCACTTTTACACTGCCATGAACTTAAAAGTAGTATTTTTTTTTTTTAAAAGATTTTATTTATTGGGGTACCTGGGTGGCTCAGTCATTAAGCTTCTGCCTTTGGCTCAGGTCATGATACCAGGATCTTGGGATTGAGCCCTACATCAGCCTCCCTCCTCAGCGGGAAGCCTGCTTCTCCCTTTCCCACTCCCCCTGCTTGTGTTCCCTCTCTCACTGTCTCTCTGTCAAATAAATAAAATCTTAAAAAAAAAAAAAAAGACACATATCTTTAAAAATATATATATTTTGGGGCGCCTGGGTGGCTCAGTGGGTTAAAGCCTCTGCTTTCAGCTCGGGTCATGATCCCAGGGTCCTGGGATCGAGCCCCATATCAGGCTCTCTGCTCAGCGAGGAGCCTGCTTCCTCCTCTCTCTCTCTCTCTCTCTCTCTCTCTGCCTGCCTCTCTGCCTACTTGTGATCTCTGTCAAATAAATAAATAAAAATCTTTAAAATAGATATTTATTTATTTATTTATTTGAGAGAGCGCGCACGAGGAGGGTAAGGGGCAGAGGGAGAAGCAGACACCCTGTTAAGCAGAGAGCCCAATGTAGGACTCTGGGATCACAATCTTAGCTGAAGGCAGGCGCTTAACCCACTGAGCCACCCAGGTGCCCCTGAACTCAAAAGTGGTCTAAGTGTGTATAAGATCTTATACTTTTTTAAGTTGTTTTTTTTTAAGATGCTTTATTTTTTTTTAAGTAATCTCTAAGCTCAATGTGGGGCTTAAATTTATAACCCCGAGATCAAGAGTCACATGCTCTACTGACTGAGGCAGCCAAGCACCTCTAGATCACATACGTTAAAAAGTGGCAACCAATTTTTTAGTTTCCTTGCAAGAAAGGAGGATTTACTAAAACCTAGTAAGCAAAAGGTGTATGCATATTAATCTACAAAACATCTTATAAAATAAACTATGTAATCTTATGTAATAGTTATCAGATGAAAACTGATGTACAGAAACAAGGTGTCTACCTTTTCCAGCAAATATTTCTTCTGCAGGAAGAGCTAAATCATGATCTGAATCACAGGGAGAAGAATCTGGAGTTTTTACTAATACACATTCCTTAGGAGGTGACGAAGGTGAGCAAGGAGGAGTTGGCTGTGGGGTAGCCACTGGGGTACATACCCTTGCCTAAAATAAACAAAACAAGGTATCGATAATCACTCAAGATCGTATACTCACCCAATACCGATAATGTCCAACAATGAAATGAGCTCATTCAAGATTACAGAGAATTTAAATGAATGGGGAAGAAATGGAGCCCTACCTTGAACTTCTAGCTGTGAGTTTCAAGACTAGCCTGCAGAGAGCCTCAGGCTACTGCACTAGCTCTGCCTCTGAAGTAGGCCCCAAAGAAAGCTAAGGCTCCCTCTTCTAACACAGAGAGGAAGACACAGTGAATACACAGCCGGAGATCAAATGCAAACACAAACTGGGGAGGCCATGTAACAGAAAGGAAGTGTTTTAACTGACAATATATCAAAGAGCAGCCTTTTAGCACAAAAGAACAGAGCTTGTGAAAAGTAATGGAAGGATAAGAAAAAGTGGGGGGGGGGGTGGAAGGGATGAAATGAAGACAATGTGGAGATGGAAAGTACTGAGGAAGGAAAAAGTAAACACTAGTGTGAATTAAGTCTCCTTTCCTAGCCATATCTTACCTACCTAATTCCCTTCCCCAAAGTCATCAAACGTAATTTTGATTGAAGACATTTCGTGTGTGTATAGATTACCTGTGGGATAACTTCCTAAAAGTGGGACTGCTTGGTTAAAGGGTTAATTGCTTTTTAAATTTGAATACATATTGCCAAATTTCCCTCGGCAGGGTTATATTATTGTACACTAACCACAAGAAGATATGAGAATTCCCATTTCCCCAAGGTTTTCTACACAATGTCATCATATAAGTAAAAGTGAGGTTTCAGTGATTTTTTTTCTTATTATCAGTGATACTGACCATCTTTTTATATGTATGGGGCCATTTGTATTTCTTTTTTGTGTGTGTACTGTCTAGACATGTCTTGTAGCTATTTTTCAAATACACGTTTTTCTCCTCATTCTGAAGCATCTGCATAGAGGAGGGTAATTAGCCTTTATTCTGATTATGAGTTGAAAATTGATATACAATTTTAAAACCATGAAGCATATTAGAAATTCTACGGTACTACTTAATAATTAGCATATTCTCAGCCTTTATTTCTTTCCTCTTAACTACATAAAACTACAGCATAAGAGCACTGTTTTCAAATATAATGTTACTAACCATCATAATCAGAGAATCTAAGGTATTCTAATTAGTATTGGTAATGGACAATGATGATAAACAATTAGTTATTGAGTGCCAAATTCCAGGCACTAGATGAAGCTCTTTACATTCATCATCTCACTATATCTTCCACAAAATCTTGGCTAAGATGTTAACAGTATCATAAAGATGTCAATTGTCTCCAAATTAAACTAATCAAAATCGGATCAATTCCCACAAAAATCCCAACAAAATCTTTCATGGCACTTGAAAACTATATTTTAATGTATATTTGGAAGATCAAAGTATCAAGAAAAGTCATGACAATTCTGGAGATAATGAACAATATGGCAGTGAGAAAAGGAAGCTTGCCCTCCTAGATACTCAGCAAGTAGATTCTGGTGAAGTCCCGATTATTTAAACTTTATGTGTCTTCTCTATTATACATATTAAACTAAAGCAACAGAGCTGACAGTTCGAATTCAGATCTCCCCAAGTTCATACTCTTAACATTGTATAGACTGCCTCTTTACACAGATTTTTCTACATTTTCTCATGCAATTGCCCTCACAAGAGTATATGCAGTATATGGGTGGAACACACCACTGTTAATTAGCACAGAGAAATCCATAACTCTGACAACATCTGCATTGCATGCATAACCAATGGGCTGAAAAAACACAGACCAAAACTATGTACCTAATTTCTGGCACACTAACCACAACACACCAATTACATTATAGCAATCTCTTTAAAATTCAAACATGTAACTTTATCTTTATACCTCAAATGAGGTAGTTTAAATGTTTCATCTATATAAAATGATGCCTTCATGATCTATAGAATCAGAAGTGACTATAAAGTTTTAAACAGCTGGTAGTAGTAGTAGAGAGTCTATTTTGGTTTTGTATAATTCCACGTTCCTATAATAGATTAGAAACTATTTAGCATAGTAAGGCTGATGAAGCAAACAACAGAAGTGCCTAAAATATATTTTATCTTTTAATATAATATATTAATTTTAATATTATCATCTCATCTTTTAATCTTAAAGAGTAAAAATAGCAGTTTATATAATAACCCAAAGTAATGTGTGAACATTGACTATATCTTGAGTTTTAAAAAAAAATCTACAAAGGATATTTTTTGAACAACAGGGAAATTCGAATATGGGCTCTATATTATGTAGTATTAACATATCAATGTTAAATTTCTTCAGGAGTATAATGATGGCATTTTGATTATATAATAAAGTATCTTATTCTTAGGAGATAACTGCTAATGCTTTCAGAAGTGAAATGTCATAATATCTGCAACTTTCAAATGATTTTTAAAGAATATATAACATATAAAGACATAAAATTTGTCAAAAAGTTATCAATTGGTAAATATTAGATAAAGGTATACAGACATTCATTGTATTATACTTTCAACTTTTCTATAAATTTAAAAGCTTTTAAAGTAAAATGCTAGGGAAAATATTACTATATCATAGCAAAAAAAAAATCAATCTCCACCACAAGCTATGATCTTATTATGATACCTAATTTAAAATTTGTCCATCTTACTGTTTTTTAATAAATGTACCAAAAACTCCCCAGGACTCCAAGTCATGAAAGGAGAGTCACTCCTACCAGCAAGTACGTGTTGTTTGCTGAAACATCCCCAGAAACACTTGTAGCAACAGGACCTTGCTTCTTTGCTTCTCTGTCACCCAGCATGACAGCAATGGTCTCAGCAAGAGCCTCATTCACAAAATGACTAATCATATCTGAATTCACAGGAACCCCAGCATCAACAAAAAGCTGGAGGGCACCATTGCTTGTTCCTTCCACTAAAAAAAAAATAATGAAAGAATTTCAGCATAAGTGTGCAAGAAACATGCCTGCAATCCAAATCTTTAGTTATTAAAATTTTAGAGATGAAAACATAACGTGTATAAGGAAGAGGAAGAATAAAAATGAAAATAAAAAATATTACAAAAGAGAATACGATGATAACTCACATAATGAACACCCTCTTTAACAAATCATAAAGAGGAGGAAAACACCCAGATGAAAACTTTACTTACATGGTCTCTTCCTACCACTTCAGAATTTAGTGATAGAAAGGACTTGCATCCCCCTGAAATGTTCTCATCTGAAAACAACCCATATTTCTAAGAACAGGGCAACAGGAAACCCTATGATAGATCTTGGTCAAGACACCAAGGCACAGGGGTACCTGGGTGGCTCAGTTGATTGAGTGTCTAGCTTTGGTTCAGGTCATGGTCTGAGGGTCCTGGATCCAGCCCAGAGTTGGGTTACCTCCCCAGTGGGGAGCCTGCTTCTCCCTCCCATTGCCCCTCCCCTCCACTTGTGCTCTCTCTCTCGTATGCTCTCTCTCTCTCAAATAAATAAAATCTTTAAAATAAATAAATATATAAATGAATAAATAAAAACAAAAACACAAAGACCCAATGACTGCAGAGAATTTTAAAGAAATAGTAGCTGCTTCATAAATACAAAGACAAAAACTTCCTTCCTTCTAGTTTCAGATACATCAGTTACTAACATTATAGGCTACTCCTACTCACTTTTATAGTACTTTGCATGCTTGATATCAGAAGCTATATAGGTATATTAATATTCCAAATAGGTTATAATTTTTCCCTTGTATGAATATACATAAAATTGAGAAAAACTTCCTCAACAGACTTTACTAGACTTAAAGTGGGCTATATTTCTAAAGCTCTGTGTGGAAAACATGTAAACAATGGTAATACATTTTGATGGAGATGTAACCTCTCCAAAGAAGTACAACTAAAGGAGCAATATCCACAATTCCTTAAAAAGTGGTTACAGGTGTCTTAGGATCACCTGTTGAGGGATAAGTAATAGTAGTTTACTCTGAAGTTACCATAGCAATGACTACCAAATGTCAAATTGGTATTTGACAGTGTATGTAGATACTTCTTTTCAGTTCTCATAATTTATTGTTTTGGCATGATCAGAAATTAGAACGTTTCTATTATAAAGGCCAAAAGCCCTACCCAGACATAGGCAAAACAAAACAAACACATATACTTATAAATAGAAGAGAATAGAATTTAAATGCCCAATTTGGAAATTGTAAGATTTCCATTAAAAAAAAAAACCATAAATTTCCTCATAACTTTGTTGATTATTTTTTCCCCTTCTTTCCAAAAAGTGCTGAAAGAAAACCTGGGGGGGGGTAGCAGTGGAGGAGGCATTCAAGTCATACTAAACAGGAAGAATTAACTAAATGCAACAATAAATCGTATGGAGTGAGGGAATAGCTATGGCCGGGTGGAGATGAGGAAAAACAAAGAAAAGAGAATAAACAATAACTCCAAAGCTTTGAAGATTGGGCACTTGGAAAATTCGGATCTTAATGTAAACAGAAACAAAAAAGGGTCGGTTGGGCTAGAAAAACTCTGGACATGTCAAGTTTTGGGATGCCAGTGGAGAGACACAACTGCGAGGTTGCAGCCGAAGATGTCGGGCTAAAGGGTGAGCAACTGATCAGGAAAAAAAAAAAAAAAAGATAATAAAATAAAGTCCTAAAGAAATAAAGAAGATAGCAGGAACAACAACAGAATGGATTTTAAGAAAACAAAATGAGTAGGACATTTTAAGAATTAGAGGTGGTCAACAGTGCCCATGCTAGAGCCACGAGGGAAGATAAGGATTTGGAAAAAAAAGGTTATTCCTGACAGTAAAATTCTGTGAGAGAGGAGCTTCACTAGGAGAAGGGCAGAAAGCTCCATGAGGACTAAAGAAAAAGTGGGTAATGAAAAAGTATAAGCCATAAATATAGGCTGGGAAGTCTAGGATTTGGGCAGTTAGAGTCTATGGAAGAAGAAAAGTAGGTAATTCTGGACTGGAGAAGAGGCAAAAAAATAGAAGTAATGATAGAGAGGAATGTTTTAAAAAGAAGAACAAGGGGTGCCTGGGTGGCTCAGTCAGTCAAGTGTCTGACTTTGGCTCAGATCATGATCTCAGGGTCCTGGGATGGAGCCCCTCATTGAGCCCTGCTGCATCAGGTCCCTGTCAGGCTCTGTGCTCAGTGGGGAGTCTGCCTGTTTCTCTCCCTCTGCCCCTCCTCATGGTCATGCTTAGGCACACACCTCTCTCTCTCTCTCTCTCTCTCTCACACACACAAATTAATTAATTAATTAAATCTTTTTTTTTTTCAGGAGACACATCTTTGCATTTTTATTGTGTTATTTGCAAGTTTATGTACATTAGTGAAATGTCATCCAAAAAAGAATAAAAGTAGGCTAATTGCAACTTTACATTGCCACTTTCAGTCCTTGAATTTTTATAGCTCCATAATATCTTCTGTAGTTGTCTGCTTTCTTCATGCTTCCATGATCATGGCTAATGCATGTCACATAGCTGTTGGGAATGGAGAGTCCTGAAAACTGCCCACGTCATTGAATTAAGAGTATCTTTGCAAAGACAATTAAACATCAGAAAATTTTTCTCAGGCAGGGTCAAGTTAAGGTCTTCCACAGTGTTTTTGTAGATTTAACTGCTCTTGGCATTCCAGCGTCACCTAACTTTAAATATGGCAAGGCATACAAGCTATTTCCTGTGCATATTTTATTCAGTTCTTTTTCAAAACCTTCTTTATAAATATGTTTATATTTTGGAGTGTTAGTTTTAGGGTGCTAGCTTTGGTTCCATTGGTGAATTATTTACATAATGGTTTTTTTATCTTTAAAATGAGTAGGCTGCACAAGATCACCTTGATGTTCCAACCTCCTGCAGAGCTCTGGCAGGTACTTGGGAGGAGCACAGCTTCTTGAGCAAGGGAATAGCATGAAGGTAGTCACATTTTAGCAGCCAGAGCTCTGCAGGAGGTTGGAACATCATAATTAAATCTTTTTTAAAAAGAACAAATTTGGAGAACTTATACAATCCAATTTCAAGATATTTTTTAAATTACAATAAGGTATGTATTGACATAAAAATAAACGTACAGATCAAGGCACAGAAAAAAACCCCAGAAACAGATTCATACATATTTAGCCAACTGATTTTTCAACAAGAGTATCAGAGTAATTCATTGCAAGAAAGGATAATCTTTTCAACAAATAATGCTAGAACAACTGGATATCCATATACTGAAAAAAAAAAATCTTTGTATATGGTGCAAAGTAGGGATCAAAATTAACTCAACATGTACCACAGACCTCAATGCATAGTCTGAAGCCATACACATTCTAGAAGGAAATATAGGAGAAAAGCTTAATGATCTTGAGAAATAATATACCAAAAAACACAAACTATAAAAGGAAAATTGATAAATTAAAATTCATCAAAATTAACCTTTTCGTTTTCTTTTTCTTCTTAAAGATTTTATTTATTTATTTGAGAGAGAGCAAGAGTGAGAGATCATAAGCAGGGAGAGCCACAGAGGGAGTGGCAGAGAGAGAAGCAGGCTCCTAGCCAAGCAGGGCTTGATCCCAGTACCTCAGGATCATTACCAGAGCCAAAGGCTTAGCCTACTGAGCCACCCAGGTGCCCCAACATTTTGCCCTGACCCATTTAAAAGATAATGCTGAGAAAACAAAAAGGTGAGACACAAACTAGGAGAACATACTGTAAAGTCTATCTAATAAAGGACTTGTATCCAGAATAAAGAACTTTTACAACTCAATAATAGGAAGACACAAACCTCAATTTAAAAATGGGCAAAAGATTTAAAGGACATTTCCACCAAAGTAAGCGTACAGGTGGCAAATAAGCACACGGAAAAAATGCACATCATTAGTCATTAGGGAAATGTGAAAAATGAGATCTCTCTACATGCTTACGGAACGTCTATAATTAAAAACACTGACAACACCAAGTGCTGGTGAGGTTGGAGAGCAACTGGAGCTCTCAGGCAGCACTGGCTAGGAATGCAAAATAGAACAGCCTCTCTAAAAACAGCAGCAGTTTCTTATCTGTTTATCACAGCTTTATTTATAGTAGCCCCAAACTAAAAGAGTACAAATTTCCATGAACTGGTAACTGGATTAACAAATTATGATAGATCCATACTATTACTATATGCATAAAACACGATTGTCAAAGCTTTATGTTAAATAAAGGCTGACACAAAAGGCTATATATTATATGACTACATATATATAAAATTCTAGTAAAGACAAAAATACAGTAATATAAAGCAGATCAGCAGCTGTTAGGGCCCAGTAGGCATGGGAGGGGGTGAGGAACTGACTACAAAGTGGCATAAGTGAACTTCTTGGAACGATGGGAGTGTTTTTTTTATATCATGATTGAGTGACTAATGCACAGTTCTATTGATCAAAACTCATCACACTGTACACTTAGAATTGGCAAACGTTATGGCAAGTAAACTATACCTCAAAAAAGCTAATGGATAAAGAGGAGGTGAAAGAGGGGGAAAAGGAAGAAGAAAGGGAAAAATGATAGAAAAGAAGGAACAGGAGGAAGGATGAGAAGGAGAGAATGATTTGCGTTCCATAAAGAGGTTCGTCCATCCATTCAGTGTCAAAGGCTAGGCACTAAAGGAGAAACATCCGTAATCCTGAGTAATTTATAGTCTAATGAAACAGATAATGTAAGCCAATTGTAATCCAATCTGATAGTCCCCCTAACAAAGATATGTACAAAGTGCTACCGGAAGTAATGGAGAGATTTGGGGTGGGAGGGATGGAGGGATAGAATAATGTCAACACTGCAGTATGAAATACAGAGGTGAGAGAAAACTTACCTCCACTATAGAGAACAAAAGGGAAAGGATATTGGAAGTAAGAGCCTATCTTTTGTCAGCTGAAGAATACTTGACCTCTAAAATACATAAACCCATGACTTGAAGGTTTTATCTTTTTTTTTAAAGATTTATTTATTTAATTATTTGAGAGAGAGAGTGAGAAAGCGAGCACGTGTGCACACACATGTGCAGGCAGGGGCAGAGGGAAAGAGACTCTGAAGCAGACTCCCCGGTGAGTGCAAAGCCCAATGTGGGGGTCTATTCCACAACTCATGAGATCATGACCTGAGCCAAAATCAAGAGTCAGATGCTCAACCAGTTGAGCCACCCAGGTGCACCAAGGTTTTATCTTTCAATACCAAAAGAAAGTAAAAGATTCCATTTCACTTACCGATGTCAGAAGTCAATGGTTCACTTGCCTCACTGACTGAAACACTGACATCAGGTCTGGCCTGTTGCTGGATTGGAAAGAGCCCAGAGATAATTCTCGACATTATCTCTTGTTCTACCCTGAGGAATAAAAGTTGAGGATTCTTAAATTTGATTGAATGTACAAAGTGTTAGAAATAACACCCCTAAAAATAAACTTTACCAATGGACACAAACATTTACACATCAAAGTAGTAATTCTAAAGGTTTAATTTGGAAAAAAAAAAATAAAGGTATTTCCCAGTTGAATAAACCACATGAAACAGAATCACCATGTGGGAGGCAGATTTAAATTTGATTTAATAAACTTGCAGATTAGCCTAATGAAAAGTGTAACAGACCTCTTAAATTCATAATAAGGTTTAGGTCAAGGATTATCGGACGTATCATGCACCTAAAATGTTGGGTTCCCTACTCGGAAAGCACCCATATAAAAGCACACAAGATCAGAATTAGAAAAGAAGTCCAGCTGCCCTCTCTTCAAAGAAATAAATATTTGGACTACAATACAGGGTAGTTTTCCTCTTAAAAAGGAAAGACAATTTATTTCCAAGGTCATTTTTAGGAAATGAAAGAGGAAAGAGAGAAGGAAGGAAAAGGGGAACACAATAGGAGATCACTTCTGTACATTTCTTTACAGCACCCAGGAGGCTGATGAAAAATTATTATACACGTATAGATAGTCATTGCAGAGAAATTAGAAAATATGTAAGTTACAAAAATAGATACGGCTCACACATAATCTCAGACTCATGGATAAACACAACTAACAATTTGGTATATGTTTTTCAAATTTTTTCCTATGTACATTTATTTTTGGTTTTGTTGTTGTGTTTTTTTGTGGTTTTTTTTTTTGTTTTTTTGAGAGAGAGTACATGTGTAAGTGGGGTTGGGGGGTGGGAAGGGGCAAAAGGAGAGGGGGAAAGAGAATCTTTTTTTTTTTTTTTTAAGATTTTGTTTATTTATTTGACAGAGAGATCACAAGTAGGCAGAGAGGTAGGCAGGTGGGGAGAGAGCAGGCTCCCTGCTGAGCAGAGAGCTCGATGTGGGACTCCATCCCAGAACCCTGAGATCATGACTCGAGCTGAAGGCAGAGGCTTAAGCCACTGAGTCACCCAGGTGCCCCAGAGAGAGATAACCTTAAGCAGACTTCACACCCAGCATAGAGCCCAAAGTTGGGCTTGATCTCATGACCCTGCGATCATGACCTGAACTGAAACCAGAGTCAGATGCTTAACCAACTGCACCACCCAGGTATCCCTGCATATGTATTTTTGAGTGCGGTCTTTTAATTCTTAATATCATTCAACATCATTAAATAATTCTTCTAAGTGCAATCTTGGTAAGTATCACTATTAAGTTTAGTTTATGCTATAACTTCCTTAAAGTTTCTCACAGGTGAAAACAGGGATAAAAACAGAGTTCAGAGGTGCCTGGGTGGCTCAGATGGTTTGGGCATCTGCCTTCAGCTCAGGTCATGATCCCAGGGTCCTGGGATCAAGTTCCACATCGGGCTCCCTGCTCAACAAGGAGCCTGCTTCTCCCTCTGCCTACTGCTCCCCCTGCTTGTGTTCTCTCTCTTGCTCTCTCTCTAATAAATAAATAAAATCTTTAAAAAAAACAGAGTTCATAAGTTATAGAAGTAACAAGCAGAACAATGCCTTGTTTACAGTAAGCACTGTATGTGCTAAGTAGTCTGTGGCTGAGTAGCAGAACCATAATTATTTCCTTAGGAATTTCTGGAAGTGAATCATGGGATTAAAGAATATGTACATTAAAAAAAAAAAAAGAATACGTACATTTTGAAGGCTTTTGTTACAGCCTCTTTTGCCATAATAGACAGCCTAAAAACAAATATTGAAGAAAAACAATACCTTCAACAACTAGTTAAACCCTCACATCACATCAAATAGTTCCCAGTGACTGTAACAAAGGAAAAGTTCAATAAACAAAAGGAGACAAGGAAGATTTTCAACTAAAATTTAATACTTTCTATCTGTTACTACGATTCTGTTCACACCAACACCACTGTAAACTCACCACTGAATTAAGCTATTTTCCAATGTTTCTTTTCTCTGAATTACTTTATCCAGAACATCAGTGGTGGGCTGAAAAGTAGAAGCAACTGGTGGAAATGGAGGACCATTATATTTTGTAGAAACAACTTTAACACTTCTGTTAAACTCCAGAATTGGTTCAGAGTGTTCTGGAATTTCATCACGTTTTTCCTCTTCCTGGTAATAATAAAAACAAAATTATTACATTCATGTATTTGTTTAACATTTACTGAATGACCAGGGTAGGCATGGAACTTAGGTTGGTAAATTAACCAACACTTCTACATTAATCAATAGCATTTCTAATTAGGTGGCATCAAGTTATTTACAATATATACATTTGTCATACAAATTGCCTTGAAGAAACCTTAATTATACAATTATTTTGTCTTTTTAAAACCCACTGTTCATTTTAAGCAGTCATAAAACAAACTAGATAACTTGGTTTTTCCTGGATAAAACATTAACACTTCCCTCTAGAAATTTATTATCTTAATTTATTATCATAATAAATTAATGCTTCTAAATATCACTGCTTCCTCTTTCTGAACCTATAATTTACATCTACAAATGCAGTTAGGTTATCTTATACATTATTTGCACCATCATATGATCAAAGGAATAATTTCTGAAAATTTTAAACTTTTCATTATGAAAATATCAGACATGTTTAAAAGAAAACAAAATAGTGCTCATATACTATATTGGTTATGTATAAATTATGCATATCCCATTTACTTGTTCCAAGCTTTAACAATTATCAACCCACAGCTAATTTGTGTCACCTATACACACCCCCATCTGCTTTACCTTTCACATATAATTTTGAAACAAATCACAGATCTCATTTTACCTGTAAATGGTTTAATATGTATCTCAAAAAAATTAGAAGTCATTAAAAATTATAATTCGATTAATATCCTCCCATTAAAAAATTAACTCCACAACTAATAAGTGGCAGAGCCAGGATTGGAACAGTTGGCTCTGACTCCAAACCATGTGTTATTTCTACAACTGTTTCTTTCACTTATACATGGGGGGAAAAAAAGTCGTCAAATGTCTTTGCCAGGCATTAGAAATACAAAGATAAGTAAGATTCTTGCCTTTGAAACATTCATGTGCAATTCACATGAGAAAACATACCAGTGAACAAAAACCTTTAATATAGTGCATATCTCTTAATATTCTAAAATAGGGTTTGATTTTATGATGAATAAATCTGGCTTTAGTAGTGAAAGTTCTGAAAGAAATATGAATAAATATCTTGAAATTGTACTGGCATTTTATTATTCAAGTGGTTTCTATGGTCTATGATCTTTTCTCCCATCCTTTATATTTTACTTCTTCCTATTTTTCCCCTTCTTCTATTTTACCATTTCCATATCATTTCTATAGCTCTTCCTGTTATACGGACTCTTCTCTTGGATTATAGACCCCTCACAACTTTTCCCCTCAATATGAGCTAACTGGTGATCTTGCCAATAATCCAGAAGTCAGACAGACAAATGTTTAACAGAATAAAGAAAGGATAGATTGGAGGGAGGGAAGCCAAAGGAAATGGAAAGGAGGAAGAAAACAGGAAGCAGGAAAGAAGAGATGTAGATGGGAACCAGCTGATAATCATTACGTTTCACTGAGGCAGCTAGAGGACACAGATGAAGAGAACACTATACTATAGAATACTAACTTCATAATTTTAAAATAAAAATACATTTAGCTCAAAAGTAAAGGGAAGTTTCTCAAAGCACTGTAACATAATATTGATGGTGAAAACATACTCAACTATCAGGAACAAGGCAAGCATGTCCCCTCTTACCATTCCTTTTCAACACCATACTAAAAGTCCTTGCTAATGCAAGTAGACAATAAAAGGAAATAAAAGGTGTTTGGAAGGAAGAAATAAAACTGTCCTTGTTTGAAGAGGACATGATTGTCTATATAGAAAATCTGAAAGAATTGATAAAAAAAAAAAAAAAACCCAAACAACTCCTGGAAATAATTATTGATTATAACAAGTTTGCCAACAATGAACAAGTGGAAAATGAAATTAAAAGCACAATAGTATTTACATAAGCATCCAAAAAAATGAAATACTTATGTATAAATCTAACAAAATATGTACAAGAACTTTTTGAAGAGAAGCACAAAATTCTAATGAATGAAATCAAAGAACTAAATCAATAAAAAGATATTCTATGATTTTTTTTTTTTGTAGAGTTCAGGGAGAGGGAGAATCTTATCAAATCAAGAGTCAGATGCTTAACCGACTAAGCCACCCACATGCCCTGAGATATTCTATGTTCTTAGATAGGAAGACTCAATACTGTCAAGATGCTGGTTGTTCCCAACTTGATCTATAGATTCCATGCAATTCCAATAAAAATCTCAGTAAGATATTATGTGGCTATTAACTAACTGACTCTAAAATTATATAGAGAGGCAAAAGAACCAGAATAGCCAACACAATACTGAAGGAGAAGAATAAAGTTGGAGGACAGACACTATTCAACTTCAAGACTTACTATAAAGCAATGGTAATCAAGCAGTATGGAATTGATGAAAGAACAGACAAACAGATGAATGGAACAGAATAGAGAGCCCAAAATTAGAACCACATAAATATAGTCAATTCATCTTTCACATAGAAGCAAAGGCAATACAATGGAGCAAGGATCATCTTTTCAACATGATCCACAGGCAAAAAAAACTAACCTAGCACAGACCTTACACCTTTCACAAAAATTAACTCAAAATGGATCAGAGACTAATTGTAAAACACAAAACTATAAAACTCCTAGAAGAAAACTGCGATGACTCTGGGTATGGCACTGACTTTTTAGATATACCATCAGATGGGTGATCCATGAAAGAAATAATTGATAAGCTGGACTTCATTCAAATTAAAAACTTCTGCTTTGTGAAAGCCAACATCAAGAGAGTTAGAAGACAAGCCATAAATGAGAAGAAAATATTTGCCAAAACACATCTGATAAAGAACTGTTATTCAAAATATACAAAGTACTCTTAAAACTCAACAATAAGAAAACAACCCGGTTTTAAAAGTAGGCTAAAAACCTTAACAGACAACCTTACCAAAGAAGATATACAGGTGGAATATAAGCATATGAAAAGATGCTCCACATCATATGTCATCAGGGAAATTCAAGCTAAAACAACAAAGAAATACCACTACACAAAATCTGGCCAAAATCCAGAATACTGACAACACCAAACACTGACAAACATGTGCAGCAGCAGGAACTCTCATTCCTTACTGGTGGTAAAGGAAAATGGCACAGCCACTTTGGAAAAAAGTTTACTGGTTTCTTACAAATCTAGACATACTTTTAATATACAATCCAGCAATCATGCTCCTCGATATTTACCTAAGGAGATGAAAACATGTTCATGAAAAAAAATCTGTGCACAGATGTTCATCACAACTTCATTCATAACTGCCAAAACTCAGAAACAACCAAGATATCCTTTAGTAGGTGAATGAGTAAATAAACTGTGGTACATCCAAACAATGGAATATTATTCAGCGCTAAAAAGAAATGAGCTATTCAGTCATGAAAAGATATGGAGGAAGCTTAAATGCATATTACTGAGTAAAAGAATCCAAAAAGGCTACACACTGTATGCTTCTGACTCCATCACATTCCGGAAAAAATAAAACTATGGAGACAATAAGAAGGTCAATGGTTACCAGGGATTGGGGTGAGTTAGGAAAGAATGAATAGGTAGAACACAAAGAATTTTAGAGAAGAGAAAATACTGTTTGATACTGTAATAGAGTTAGGAAAGAATGAATAGGTAGAACACAAAGAATTTTAGAGAAGAGAAAATACTCTGTTTGATACTGTAATAATGGATACGTTTGTTCAAGCCCATAGAATGTACATAATCAAGGGTGAACTCTAAAGTAAACTAAGGATGTTGAGTGATTATGATGGGTCAATTTAGGTTCAACAATTTTAACAAATGTACCACTCCAGATGCTAAGAGTGGGGGAAGCTATACATGTGTGGGGATAGAAGGTATATGGGAAATCTCTGAACTTTCATCTCATTTTTGTTCATTTTAGAAACTAAAACTGCTCTAAAAATTATATACAGATACATATATATAATTATTTTTAATTACATGGAAGAATACTGCTAGAAAAATAATTTCTCACATTTTCTAAGCTTTGTTACCTGTATGATATCAATTACTTCATCAAAGTTTGTTCCTGGAAACTTGACCTCTTCTTCATCTACCGTCATAAGTTCTGGGGTCTAAGAAAGCATTTTCAAAAAGATTTTGTTGTGCTTAATATGGTTTAAATTTATACATAATTTACCATATTTCTACCCATAACATAAGCTTATAATTACATAGCTCTATTTTTTTATCTTAATATCCTACTTAGAATTGATTTCACTAAAAAAATGAAATCCAAGATAGTACCTGAGCCATCAGGTTTCGTTTTAATAGCTCTCAAAAATTAAATATAAATTTTTGTCAATGACTCCATCAACAATGCAACTTAAGCCAACCAATCAGGTTGCTAGGATTATGATTTCTCTCCTACAGTTTTGTTTATATGTTAGATATGTAAGTATACATATATACAAACACACAAAAAGATACAGTATCAAATAAATTAGAAAGTTATAAATACTAATTTAGCGAGATACTAATTTAGCCTGTAGGCCTCACTTGATATAATCTAGTCCCCAAAACCACATTAGCCCCTCCCTGAGAGAAGAATGATAAACAGTCCAAAAACTTATTTGTAACCATATGCTTTAATAAACTTCTGGTAAAAAAAAAAAAAAAAAAAAAAAAAGTTATTGATGAAAAAATTAAATTAGGCACAATTGCCATTTAGGGTCAGTTCTATTTTACTATTTTATTTTAAATATTTTATTGAAAGCATGCAAGCAGCGGGGAGAGGGCAGATGCAGCTGGAGAGGCAGGCTCCCCACTGAGCAGGGAACCCAACTGGGGGCTTGATCCCAGGATCCCAAGATCACGACCTGAGCCGAAGGCAGATGCTTAATGGACTGAGTCACCCAGACACCCCTGTTTTACTATTTCTGATCATGAAAAATTGTTGGTGTTCTCCCTCTCCTTAAACCTATATCCTTGAGGACTACATCTGCTTACAACAGATGAAAGCTGGGGGAAGCTGCAGTGTTATTCAAGTGTGTAGTAAAGTTAGAGCTTCATTATTGAATAGAAAATAAATACTAGGGAGAAATGCCTATTTTTGTATCATGTCAATACTATATTGACAAAGTAACATCCCAAAACATGAACTCTAAACATCATTATGAAATTCATATTCAGGAAAACTATAATTTGATTCCTGTTTAAATCAAGCTTTTTCTCCAAAGAGACAGAAATCCTCTCTTCACATATGAGACAACTTAAATTACCCAAAAACTACACTAAGGATTAACACTTTCACAATGTTCATAAATGTAAGGATCTTAAACAAACTTTCTTTTTCAAGTTCATCAGCAATACTAGATTCATTCTGAATCTCTTCCTTAAAACCTAAATTATTATGACATACAATGGAAGACTTTGCATGGAATAATATTAGTTAAACTTCATAGTCAGACATTACTCAAAACTATCTGATATATTTCTGAATACCTGTATCCAAGTTTTCAAAGGAGGACATGCTTCTTTGGGACTAGGCAGAGATAGATCGACATCAGCACTACCATTCGAAATGCTATCAATATCCACATTGGGTAACACCTAAAACAAAACACAAACATCCAGCTTTCTGTTCATCATTTTGACTCAAATACCTGTCAGTCTATACATCAGTAACATATATTTAACTTTTTATAAAGAAGTCAATGGATAACAATTTTTTTTAAGTTATGATAGAGTATTTTATAAAATTTAGAAAATAAAGGGGAACACATAAGACCCTATTCAGATAACTTTATTTTCAATCTTCCCTTTTCTTTTTACTATCCACTTCTTACTATTTCTGATTTTTCATCTTAATTAGGTTATAAGCACCTTTCATGCTCCCATATAAACTTAATAATTATATTTTAGATATATAATATTTTAATAATGCCTTAATTATTTAACAATTTTCCTGTTGGTAAGCATTTATGACATTTCTAATATTTCTGCTATTATATATATCACCACAAAAACCTTCTTCATATATATAGGGTTTCCCCCCCTAAACTTTTTTCCCCCCTAAACTGGCATTATTTCATTATGCCAGATCACTAGATACTAGATTAATATAGAGCATGAATATTTAAAATTCTTGATAATTAATGCCAAAATGCAGTCCACATGAGTTCTATTCATGTCGTCAAAAACATAATTGTCTCAGCAATAAGTTTTTAAATTACTGTGAGATATATTACTGTTATTTTAATTTGGATTATTTTAGTAACTAGAAAGATTTAAAGTATCCATTTTCTTGCTCATAAACTGTATTTCCTCTTCTGTAAGATACTATTCAGGTTCTTTGAATATTCCTGGATTTGCACTGCCTTCTTATTAACTTACAGAAGTTTTCAGATTTAAGAATTAATCCTTTATGGCATAGTCCTTTCATATATTCTAACTGTATGTTTCCCTTTTTACATATGAATTTTTTATATTAGCTTCAGTTTAGATTTTATAGATTCAAATCTATTCTTTTATTATATGTAGGTTTTCTTCTCTCATATCTGGACTTAGCTTCAGCTTGGATAAAGATTCTATTTGATAAAGATTCTATATAATTATCTTCTCATCCTGCTGCTTTTACATTTTACAGTTAAACTTTTGTCTGTTGCCTATTTAGAATTCATGTGCCATACAGTGGGAGGTTAGAGTCTAAAACTGATCTATTTTCCACATTATTAACCAACTACAACATATATTATTTCACTTACAAGACTCCTCTTTCCTACTGATACATGAAGTAATTACTACATATTACATTCTTTTTTTTTTTTTTTTAGAGAAAGCAAGACAGCACGAGAGAGAGAGAGAGAGCACTCGAGTTGGGGGTGGTGCAGAGGGAGAGAGAGAATCTTAAGCAGACTCCATACACAGCTTGGAGCCTAATATGGGACTCAGTCTCACAACCTTTAGATCATGACATGAGCTGAAATCAAGAATTGGACATTTAACTGACTAAGTCACCCAGGTGTCCTATATTACACTTTTTTTTAAACAACCAAGGCTATTTCTGAAATACTTCATTGTACAGGTCCAGTACCCCAAAACCCTTTATTCTTTCAAATATCAAAATGATCCTTAAGTTAAAGAAAATAAACAAAAAATTAAACACATGGTCTGTGTGGGTGGGGGGGCTAAATTACAATTTGACTTAAATTATATATCAACTTAGGAAGAATTGGCAACTTGAATAATTAATCTTCACATATAAGTTCTCTTTCCATTCATTCAAATCTTATATATATTTAAAGTCACACTCATTCTTTTTAAATTAATTGTAGGGACGCCTGGGTGGCTCAGTGGGTTAAGCCACTGCCTTCGGCTCAGGTCATGATCCCAGCGTCCTGGGATCGAGTCCCACATCGGGCTCCTTGCTCAGCAGGGAGCCTGCTTCTCCCTCTGCCTCTGCCTGCCACTCTATCTGCTTGTGCTCACTCTCACGCTCTCTCTTTATGACAAATAAATAAATAAAAATCTTTAAATTTAAAAAAAATAAATAAATAAAATTAATTGTAATATACTGTTCAGTTGTTCACTTTGGAATATCATCATGTCACTTGAACATGAGCCACTGGCTTAAAAAAGTAGCTTAGATCATACAGAACAAGGATAGAGAGGTTACATTAATATCACAGTTTTAAAATATAAAAGACCCACGATGAAAGTAAAGTTTTTATGAAGCAATGTAATAAATTTTAAGTGTTAAAGTTAAGCCGAAGATTTTTTTCTTCCTTAAAATTTTCTATTCATGCACCCTGACATACCTGTACAGTAAGCTGAGGAGGATCCTTTTTTTCCGACTTCATTTCTATAATTGCGATGTTAGGTTTCTTTATTCCAGTTTCCATCTTTCGAGATGATGGAGGAAGGGAAGTAGTCACTGTTACAGGGTGTGGCTTGTTTACAATTACTCCAGTGGGTGGCATGGAATCACTCTTACTTTGGGTCTGTCCTAAAAAGTTTGGGGAAGAGATGAGTCAACTATTTCAGAAATGAAGGGAAAAATCAAATACACAACCCAGATCTTTATGGCTGAATTCTCTCTCATCTGAAAAGGAAGTGCCATCCACAATCATCTTTCCTTCTATTATCACTACTGTTGACATACTCACCGTGTCATTCTTTCAGCAGCAACTCACACTTATCAGGCACTCATGCATGCCAGACTCTTCACATACACTATCTAATTTAACCCTCAAAATAAGCCTCTGAGGTATTAATATTATCCACATTTCACAGTTGAGAAAACACGTTTAGGAACAACATAATTTGCCAAAGGTCGTAACAGTAAGCAGCAAAGCCAAGACTAAAGTGTAATGTGTTATACTGTGTGTTATTTTTATTCTCAAAACTTTATATAGCAACAATGGACAGGAATAAAACCGATAACGAAATACTAGTGACTCGTTACCAAGACATAGCATGTACTCCCACTGATAGCAATTACCACAGCTATCAGAAACTTAGCTTGCACTTCAAAAGTTCCATTTATTTCCTATATTTCAAAATAAAGAGGGACAGAACAGGGCACTCTTTAAAAGCATAGTCCGACTGGGTTTGAATCCCAGGCAGACTGACTAGGTTTGAATCCCAGCTCCACTCGAGTTATATGGCCTCTGACAAATTTCTTCATTCCTCTGTGCCTTGGTTTCTTTATCTATAAAACCGGTACATTACCATGTGTTTTTACAGGGTGGATTAAATAAATTCATATATGTAAAGTGCTTAGATCTGTACCAGGTACACAGCAGGGACTTTATAAGTATTAGCTACTCTACTAACAGAAGGCATGTTTGAACAGATACAGTTACCAGGTTGACATGCTATTAACCCATAATTTCAAAAATTCTCTCTTCTGCTGGAAGATATATCTAAGTCCTTCATCAAATTTAAGAAAGAAGAACAAAGACAGTAAAAGAAAAAAATAATAGCTAACTAGATTTGAAGAGCTAGTGTGGAAGCAAAAATGATTTGTTGAATTTTTACAATGAGTCTGAGAGACCTCAAATTAAAGTAGATAACCAACTACTGTGTTTTAGAATACCACACAATTTTTACTTACCACAGCCTAGTTCAAAAGTACATACAATTACTTCAAAGTACTTTGCTGGAGACAGGACATTAAACCACTTAAAATTTTTGATTTATTTAATTATTATGAAATCTATAACATTCTAAACTTTTTTTTTTTTTTTACTTTGTCTCCTCTATAGCAATGTATTCTAAAATACCAAAGGAATGTTTCCTGTGAATGAAACTACAGTGGGAGCCCATTATTTAAGAGATTGCTATTACATGGAGTAAGACACATTCGGAGGCCCTGCCTACAAATATCACAGAGAGAGGAAAAGGTAAGAGACTATCACGTCATTTTGAAAGTTCTGCCACTGCTGACAAGAATTTAAAATTGGCTCTGTGTATTTTGCTGGGACTTACCTAAAAGAATGGCCATAGGAATTAGATGACCTTCTAGTGTACCGGAAACAGTAGGCATTTCTCTGCTCGGGCTGAACAAGTACTGCTGATCACCGGGAGGCAGCACAGCAGGCACAGAATGTTGGGGCTTGGAATCCATTTTCATAGGTTTTGTTGCATAAAAGTCAGTTTGTGTTCTTATTGACTTGACTTTAGTGCCTGTAATAATAATATTCAGTGGCAGAGATTTTAAAATATTATTGGAACACCTATCCAGCTAGAACTACAGTAACTCTTCTTTACAGAAAGATCTTATTCTATATAATAAGGTGTAATTACAAGGCCTTAAAATAGAAGTAACACAGAAACCAGGGGTTGGCAAAAACGTTCTGTTAAAAGGTTAGATAGTAATATTAGTCTCATGGACCTTGTGCTCTCAGCTGCAACATCTTAATTCCGCCACTAAAACATGAAAGCAGTCATGCTACAATCACAAATAAATGAGTGCAGCTAGGTTCCGATATTACTTCTAAGAATAGGCAGCTAACTTGTAGGCCATGGTTTCTGAGCTCCTGAATACACGTAACAACTTGCTCAACACGTAACAACTTACTACGACAAAACAAATTCAATGATTTAATGATTAGGGAAAAAATGTTGAATAAAAGATTAAGAAGACTACTCAGATTCAGACTGTACTATTTATTTAACTCATTACGTTTTTTTCCTATGGGTACAAAAAGTTAATGATCATATTTGGAATTGGAATTTTTCCTTCTCATTACACCTTTACTCATGACATAATTCTGAATAACCAGCCTTTATCCTCTGAAATTATCCACAGTCAAATTCTATATCTATTAAAACCTTACAGGAGTTAATATCATTGTATTTTTTCCATTCTTATGAATTAAATCCATATAGACATTAAATCCTGAATTCTTTTTTTTAAAGTTTATGTATTTATTTATTAATTTATTTATTTTAGTTAACTCTACGTTTAATGTGGGGCTCAAACTCACAACCCTGAGATCAAGAGTCACATGCTCTTCCAACTGAGCCAGGCAGATGCCCCTGAATCCTGAATTCTTAAAAATTCAGGATTTAAAAAAAAAAAAAAGAAATTTGTCTGATTTCTATGGAACCTGAGGAAAGTGAAGAAAAGTAAAAACATAAAGGAGAAGAGGCTATCTTCTAAATTCCTGACATTACTACATTTTTACTTTTAATATGGGAGTAATTTTATGAATCTAGACTTTTAAATACAGCTCCATGATGCCAGGAAGAAACATTTTAGTACCACATCTGTATTTCTTTTTTCATTCTGTTGTCTTGTATTCATTCATTCAATTAAATGAATTTTTCTTGAGTGCTCATTTAAAATATTTGTTTTCAGCATTTCATAGGCATTGCTCCAGACACAGGAAATACAGTACTGAATAAACCATCTGTATTCATAGAGTTTACAGTCTAGTAAGGAAAACAATCAATAAACAAAAATATAACACCAGGCCTTTTTCCAAAGAAGGTATACAGATGGCCAATAGACATATGAAAAGATGCTGACATCACTCATCATCAGGGAAATGCAAATCAAAACTACAATGAGATTATTACCTTATACCTGTTACAATGGCTAAAATAAAAAACACAAGAAATAAGTGAAGGTGGAGAAAAAGGAACCCTCATGCATTGTTATTAGGAATGTAAGTTGGTATAGCTGCTATGGAAAACAGTATGAAGTTTCCTCAAAAAATTAAAAATAGAAATACCATATGATCCAATAATTCCACTATTGGGTATTTACCAAAGAAAATGAGAACACTAGTTCAAAAAAGATATATGGAAAAAAAAAAAAGATATATGCACCCTTATGTTTACTGTAGCATTATTTGCAATAGCCAAGATATGGAAGCAACTTAAATGTCCATCGATAGACAAATGAAGATGTGGAATATATGTACAGTGGTTTATTACACAGTCATAAGAAAGGAGATTGTGCCATTTGAGAAAATGGATGGACCTAGAAGGTATTGTTCTAAATGAAATAACTCAGACTGAGAAAGACAAATACCATATGATTCTACTTATAAGTGGAATCTAAAAACAAATAAAACAAAAAGCAGAATCAAATCAGTCAGAGAAAGACAAATAACCTTTGATTTCATTCATACGTGGAAATTAAGAATCAAAACAGATAAACATAGGGGAAGGGAAGGAAAAATAAAATAAGATGAAAACAGAGAGGGAGACAAACCATAAGAAACTCTTAACTATAGGAAACAAACTGAGGGTTGCTGGAGGGGAGGTGGGTAGGGGCTGGGGAAACTGGGTGATGGGTGTTAAGGAAGGTGCTTGATGTAATGAGCACTGGGTGTTATATAAGACTGATGAATCAATGACCTCTACTTCTCAAACTAATAATACAGTATATGTTAACTAAATTGAATTTTTTAAAAAAACAAGTAAACACAGAAGAAAAGACCAGAAATTTACCAGATTTTGTAGTGAGATTACAGAGAATATAAAGCTTATAAAGTCTTTTTCTGTATTTTCTGTATTTTTAAAATTTAAAATAATAAACAAAATATAAATTATTAATCTTCAGGTACATCAATAGCAAGGATAGTTGAGGCCTCTATCCCATAGAAAAATGTTTATTTTTCCTTTGAATGCTCAATAAATATAAGTTTTCTTTGTTAAAAACAAAAAACCCAATAAACCAAAAAACAGAATCAGACTTATAAACAGAGAATAAACTGGTAGTTGCCAAAGGGGAGGTAGATGGGGGTTGGACAAAATGGGTGAAGAGGACAGGGAGATCCAGTCTTCTAGTAGTGGAATGAATAACTTATGGGAATAAAAGGCAGAGCATAAGGAATACAGTCAATGGTACTATAAAAGCAATCTAACAGGCCAGATGGCAGCTACCACAGTTGTGGTAAACAAAGCATAATGTATAACCTTGTCAAATCACTAAGTTATACACTGAAACTAATGTAACATTTGTGTCAACTATACTCAAATTTTAAAAAAGCACATAAAAAATAAAAATTAAAAATCATATATATAGGGACGCCTGGGTGGCTCAGTGGGTTAAGCCTCTGCCTTTGGCTCAGGTCATGATCTCAGGGTCCTGGGATCAAGCCCCACATAGGGCTCTCTGCTCAGTGGGGAGCCTGCTTCCCTCTCTCTCTGCCTGCCTCTCTGCCTACTTGTAATCTCTCTCTCTCTCTGTCCAATAAAGAAATAAAATCTTAAAAAAAAAAAAAAAAAGAGAGAGAAAGAAAAGTGTAGGAGGTAATTTTTTGGATAGCATGGTCAGGGTAGACCTCTCTGAGGAGCGAACATCTAAGAGCAGCAATCCAAAGAGCTGAGAGAGTAAGCCATGCAAACGTCTGAGGGAAAAGCTCTCTGGGAAGAGAAAATGACAGGCACCAAGGCCCAAGAATAAGCGTGTTTCCACAGTTTCTTAGTCACGTCCATCATTAAAAGGGTTACTTAAAATTGTTTTTGGATTTTTAAGTATTTTAAGACCTCAAGTTATTTTTTGCATAGGCTGTCAAAAGCCCAAATATAATAGCAAAGTGCCAATAAACAAGCAGAAACAAGTATCATCCATAAACTTTATACTTACTAACACCAGAAGGATTTCTAGATAAACTGACACCCTATATGATCACCTAACTTTTAAAAATGAAAGGAATGAGAAGCGAGTTGGGGGAAATTGGAAGGGGAGACAAACCATGAGAGACTGTGGACGCTGAGAAACAAACTGAGGGTTTTGGAGGGGAGGGGGGCGGGGGGTTGGGTAAGCCTGGTGGTGGGTATTACAGAGGGTATGTATTGCATTGAGCACTGGGTGTGGTGCATAAACAATGAATTCTGGAACAATGAAAAGAAATAAAATAAAATACAATGAAAAAAAAATGAAAGGAATGGAAAACTAAAGCAATGCCACAGCTCCAACTTCCAGAAAGAATAAGAAACAAAAATGAGTTGGTATCCCCTAGTTACCGCATACTGTTGAAGCTTACTGGCTGCCAGAGTACAAGCTGAGAAATTTCAAAATGTAACCACAGTCAACAGACTCCCTATTTAATTAAGAATTACATTTAAATATTACTAGAGAGGAGTGCCTGGATGGCTCAGTCGGTTAAGTGTCCAACCCTGATTCCGCTCAGATCATGATCTCTGGACATGGGATCAAGTCCTGCAGGGGGCTCCACACTCAGTGGGTAATCTGCTTGAGGATTCTCTCTCTCTCTCTCCCTCTCCCTCTGCCCTTCCCCTCACTCATGCATGCACATGCACATGTGCTGTATCTAGAATAAATAAATCTTAAATAAATGTACTAGACTAGTGAAATAGTAGATATGAGTCAAAACATACAGTAAAAATGAAGTTATTATTAGTGGTGTACAAAAGTACCCAAAATTTTTTTTCACCTTTATTATATAAATCCTTTTATGATCATTTATAGCATATGACTGATCTTCATTCTTTCATAAAGAACATGATAGAGCAATATCCCAGGGAAATGTCCACTTCCCCTGGATTATAATTTAAATTATTCAAGATACCACCTCATAAATGCAAACTTTATCATGCTTTATATGAAGATACCACCTAATCCTATCTTATCCCACTTATTCCTATCTTGTGCCTTGAATTGGTCTATATTTTCTCCCTACTTATTCCCATTTTATGCCTTGAAATAGTCTATTTCTTCCTACTCTTAGAAGAATTGTTTTCCATGCCTAAGCATTATATAATTTGAACTGTATTTATAAGTCATAAAAAAGAAAAGAAAAAGTTAAACATTATATATTAAACTGACAGCATAAAAAATAAGCTCTACCACAGAAAAATGAGGTTCCTTACCTTTAACTCGTTCTATTACTTTCGGTCTCTGTGGTTTGGACTTAGGAGATGGAGAATTAAATCGGAGATATGGTCCTTTTTTAAGAGTGCTGCGATGGCCCTGATAAATTGGTTTTCCATAAATTTGTAACATATAATCTTCATCTTGTACCACTGTGGTTGCTTTCAAAAATCCCTAAGCACACAAAGTTATTCAACTCACCAAAAAAATAATCACCAAACAGATCTCAATTTTCTAAAGCTTTCTTTGCCAGCTTAAGTAAGATAATAAGAATTATCAGGTCAGGAAAGTCCTCTATTTTAAATGGCTCTTAAATTCTAGATACAATTTTCAAACTATAGTTTTAATGTTTTATGGTTTTCAAAAACATGAAAGGTAAATATAAAAGCCATCCACTCAAAAAACATAAAGGTTCTTATACTACTAAGTATATTTTTAGCCCCACAAAGTAAGGTTTAAACACATTTTATATAATTATACTCAATCACAATAATATAACATAAATCAAGTCTTTAAAAATGATTTTTTATATATTTTTTAAAGATTTTATTTATTTACTTGACAGACAGAGATCACAAGTAGACAGAGAGGCAGGCAGAGAGAGAGAGGGAAGCAGGCTCCCTGCCGAGCAGAGAGCCCGATGCGGGACTCGATCCCAGGACCCTGAGATCATGACCTGAGCCGAAGGCAGCGGCTTAACCCGCTGAGCCACCCAGGCGCCCGATTTTTTATATTCTTAATTCCACCTTCAATCTTTTGGCATTTATTGAGGATCTGTACTAAGTGCTCCGTACTAAATTAGATGCTTTATTGATGTGTCCAACAATCCATGTTTGGTATTAAGAAAGTTACAGCCTAATGAGAGCAGCCAAAAACATACCCTCCACAGCATCTAGTACCAAATCTCACAATCACTAGGCACTAGACATATTCGCTAAACTGGAAAATAAACAAACAAAAAAAAATGTATATTCATATGTATACATGCAAAGACAAAATACAATTTTGAGTAGCACAAATAAGAGAATCTAATTTTTGGACTAGATGACCTCTAGATATACCTGCTATAACTAAAATATGATGATTCTAAGTGTGAGATCTCAGAAGGAAGAAATTACGTATTTTGTGTACTGCTTTCCGCATTATGAATTCCCAAAACCCTCAATATCAATAGTTTAAAGATAGTTTATTTTTATATAGTCCTTCATATTTTTAAAACATTCTCATATTCAGTTCATTATTTATAGCTTAAAGGAAATGAAATAATTAATTATAATGCAAACTTCACATCACAAAACCAGAGTAGGAACTTACTTCTTTTCTCTCTTTCTGTAGGATTGAAGCAGGCATGCTCTTCATGAGTGGATTTCTAAAATGCTCCTCTTTTTGCTTTTGAGAATGTTTCCTATGAAGTACAGAATTGTTTACTGTTTTGTCTTGCATGTTAATTTTAATATCTTTACTCATATTCTGAGCTTTCTTGGTCCTTTGAGTCTTCTGATCAAATCTCTTTTGTTCATAATCTTTTCTTGCCAGTTCATCCTTAACAAAAGCAAAGTTTAAATTACTTAAAACATATCCAAGTAGTGCTTTCACAGCTAAAGTATCAGAATTTATTTTCCGCTATTATAGAAATATACTTTGGCAGTTTCAAATACTTTGTAAATAAATTACATTGGCTTACATATGAATAAAAACTCTCTAGAAGAATAAAGAAAAACTAAAAAGATCAGTGCCTTATGGAGCAGGGGAATGAGAAATAGTATTTGAGGTACAAGAGTAGGAGGGCAAGTTTTCATTATAAACCTTATAGTTTTTGATGTTCGAACCATAGTACTGAAGTAAATGTTGAAAAAGTTAAATTAAAAAAAATTTCAAAAAGTAAACAACTTTGTCATAAAACTCTGTAATAAATATTTATAAATTAAAATAGCTCGAAGAGTTAAACAAACATACTTTGTAATGAATTCACAGTAACAGAGTGACATATATTGCCAATTGTCTGCAAAGCCAAAACCAACCTCCAAATCTTCTATTTAATTTTTTTTTTGGTGCATCACATAATATTTCTTCATAACATTAGAGATATAGATTCTTAAACAACAAAGTTTAAAAATACATTTTGGCATTTATTGCTGTGGCAACTGAACCAACACATCGTCTTGCTATGATTGTGAGGAAGCATATACACACATCTTACAGCCAGAAAAAAACACTTTGCACCTAAAGATGAAAATAACAGGGTTGCTTTGTCTAGTTCTGTTCCCTCAAATGTATATACATTTTAAGAATTTCTTTTAAACTACTGACCCTCTAATTAAAACTCTCCTAGATTTTTGCAATGCTAATCTCTGAAGATCCACCCTGAGCTTTGGGGTGTGATAAAGTGGTACCTGTTTCATCTGGAACTGACTTTTGTAAACTTAGTAACCTCAGAAATCATGTGGGGTATTTCCCTTTACATAATGTTGTTGTTTTCACTTTGGCAAGCCAGTGCTTCTAAATCTGCAGTCTTGAAATGTTTTTTAAATACACTTTTTTCTTCTTCAAATACTTTTGCTAAATTTTCTTTCAAATTACTCATATTTTAGTTATTGTCCAACAATTTGCCACATAAGAGCCCTAATTTATGAGAAGAAGCAGTTGCTAAGTAAAATGAAATTACTAAAAGTATTAAGTAAAGAGTGAAGAATGAAATGAAAAATTATAAGTAGACTTATACATAAGGAATGTTTTGAGAGTAAGTATGATACTTAGAAATTATCTCTTGAGAATTCTCTTAATTCTGTTTTTTCCAATACCTACCTGAATTTCTGCAGAAATAGTTTTAATCCACTCATCCACTGTCTTTCTGATCCGAATCTTCTCTGACATCTCTCTACAAAAGGAAAAAAAAGAATTGTCTTAAATTAGCATTTAATGTTCTGAGAATAGGACCTAGATCAAGACTCTTATCTAGTTTTAAATCTACTATGTAGCCCAATAGCCTTCATCTGAAAAGGAAAAACCAACGTTAATAGTTTTCATCAAATGTTTGAAGGATGTTTGAACAGATCCCAGAAGATACATATCATAGAGAGAAAAAAAGATTTAAAGGAAAATTTTACATCTGTAAAAAGTAACAGCCACATGTATATAATATCTAATTATAATGAGTCCACATTGTCAAAGGAAATAAAGAACCTTTTCAAAACACCGAAACACATTAAGCAAAATGAAGCACATAGAAAAACAATTACGAAAGCCTATGCAGGGGCACGTGGGTGGCTCAGTCATTAAGCGTCTGCCTTCAGTTTAGGTTATGATCCCAGAGTCCTGGGATAAGCCCTACATTGGGCTCCCTGCTCAGTAGAAAGCCTGCTTCTCCCTCTCCCACTCCCCCTGCCTGTGTTCCCTCTCTCACTGTCAAATAAATATATAAAATCTTAAAAAAAAAAAAAAAGAAGAAAAAAAGAAAGAAAGCCAGCCAGCCAGCCAGCCAGCCTATGGGGCTGGAAGCTTCATAAATAACCTTGGGATGCAAACATCCTATCTTACCTGTTAGTAGACAGAGCATTGATAAACGAATACATGGCAGCTCCATCTTTGGCACGAATAATAGCTTCCAGGTTTTCTTCAAGGACTTTTTTATTGTTTTGTACTCCCCTCAAAATCTTCTCAGCATCTTTCAAGATGGATCTTTTATTGGTTGTTTGAAGCTTAATGGAATTCTGTGGAAGATCAGCAAGCCCTGACATAATCAGAGATTCTTTTGGCTTAAAAGAAAAAAAAAGCAAAAATGTTACCATATGAAGTTCATATTCTTATTTTAATGCAAATGAGAGCTATTACTATAGTTGGGGCCAGATACTATACCAAAATATTCCAAGGACTCAATTTGTCAAATTAAAGAGCTATAAAAGAGTGCTTGCCTGATGGTAACTACACTTATTATGGTTAGCATTTCATAATGTATGTTTATCGAACCTCTATGTTGTACTCCTGAAACTAACATTGCATGTCAACTATATTTCAATTAAAAATAAAAAATTAAAAAACAAAGTTGGCAATTAAGGTTTCTTTCCATTTAGAAGTACTAATGTGAACGTTACATGAAATAGGGCTGGAAGTCCACGGAAGTGCTGGGCAGTCCAGTGGCCAACCAAAGTTATTATCTGGGAAAGAAAGCTAAAACAATATAAGAGCAAGCTGGCTCAGGTAGGCGTGGCAGACACTTTGGACTGGATAATTGGGGTCATTCACCGGTCTCTCTCCCCTTTTTCTCCTCTCTAAGAGAAGCTGGAAATCTAGCAGTGGCCAATGAGCCATGAATAGAGACCACTTAGTGAGGTCTTCTGGAAAAGTTTTGTAAAAGAGAACAGACTGGGTTAACATGTCTTTTTCAGTACTTTCTCTTCATCTTTCTGCTTGCTTTCTGTCGTGCTGTTATATTTCTTCATAATTTTTACCTTTACTAATCATCATCAATTTTAATATCCTGTTTCCACTTTACCTGGAGTATACCATTTGTTTCTTTCCTTTGTTGGCCAGGATCATGAGAAAAATCATCAGACCTCTGTACAGTCAATTTAGCTGCTCTTAGTTCAGAGGAAGGAAATCTTGGAGAGGATAAAGTGTCAATGCTATGAAAGATTTAAAAACAAAGTTTCCTAAATTATCATAAATTCAGTAAACATTTGAATACATAAATCTGAGATATCTTCTTAGTTACATATTACTAAATGGTGTATTATTAAATTGTATAATTAAATTAACCAGTTAAGTGATTAAACATATCAAACACAGAAAAACACAAGATACAAAATTACTCTGACCAGACTGGGTTAGGCATAGTAGGAAAAGAGCAGAAAAAGGTTTTGCTTTGAAGAAAAGAATGTCCAGAAGCTCTTCTAGAAGGGTGGAGTGGGTGCCTGGGTGGTTCAGTGGGTTAAAACCTCTATCTTTGGCTCAGGTGGTGATCCTAGAGTCCTGGGATCGAGCCCCATATTGGACTCTCTGCTCAGCAGGAAGCCTGCTTCCCCCACTCTCTCTCTGCCTGCCTCCCTGCCTACTTGTCATCTCTGTCTGTCAAATACATAAAATAAAATCTTTAAAAAAAAAAAAAAGGGTGGAGTAAGATCTCTAAAAAGCTACTCCTCCTTAAGAGCAAAGAGAACACTAGCAAAAATGGTCAAAATCAGCTTTTTCAGAACTCTGGAAATGAAAAGACAACTAAAGGAATATTTAATCAAGAAAATGACCGACTTTCAGAGTGCCTGGGTGGCTCAGTCGGTTACGCATCTGCCTTTGGCTGGGATCACAATCCCAGGCTTGTGGGATCTAGTCCCACACTGGGCTCCCTGTTCAGTGGGGAGCCTGCTTCTCCCTCTCCCCCTGCCCCTCCTCCTGCTCATTCTCTCTCTCTCTCTCTCTCAAATAAATAAAATTTAAAAAAGAAAAAAGAAAATGACTAACTTTCAGTAAGAACAGCAAGCTTTATGGCATTTTTAATTTGTCTCACTCCAAGAACCCTTTCCCCAATTCTCTGGCAGCTTTGAAAATTAACAGCTTCACAGCCCTTATAGCTATGAAAACCAACAGCCTAACAACAACTCGAAAGAGCAGAACAGGTTTGGAGCTCCTTAGAAAGTCCCACTCACAGGGTTTCTCTTTATTTGACCTGACTCAGAGCTAGCTCAGTGAGAAACCCGAACCACAGGTCAAGTTTTGAAACCAGCAGCAAGTGTTTAACTTCTCAGCTGCCTGAGGTGGCTATAGCAGTTGAGGCAACAAGAGGGATGCCAATAAACTAAAACTCAGGGGAATGAGATGTCCACAGTGGAGCTGGAAGGGCCCTAACATGCTACCAGGGATCTAGAATGCCATGTGCATGTACAGGGCTCTGTGAATGTCCAAGTAAGATCTGAGAAAAGCCTAATCTCTCACATCTGGCTGACACCGAGGCTTTGTGCAAGTTGGAAGTTAAGGTTAAGACAGACTTATAGAGTGCCAGAACACTGAAAGTATGCTCCGACACCATACACATGCATATGTGCACACACACACACACACACACACACAGAGCCCCTTGACACTCAGAGAGAGACTTACAGGTTCAAGATAGTTAAGGAAGTCTCTTTCTCATTAGCAGACTTAACTCACCAAATAGAGACCTACCACACATGACAAAGAACACACACTTTACAGAACTCACCTAGGAAAGTCACTAAACAAACAGCAATAACACACCCTAGTGGATGGAAGAATCTGATTTTCAGAGTTGCCACACTATATTATTTGAAATAGTCCAATTTTCAACAATAAGTTATGAGACACACAAAGAAACAAGAAAGTATAGCTAGGGGCGCCTGGGTGACTCAGTGGTTTAAAGCCTCTGCCTTCGGCTCAGGTCATGATCCTGGGGTTCTGGGATTGAGCCCTGCATCGGGCTCTCTGCTCATCGGGGAGCCTGCCTCCTCCTCTCTCTCTGCCTGCCTCTCTGCCTACTTGTGATCTCTGTCTGTCAAATAAATAAATAAAATCTTAAAAAAAAAAAAGAAAGAAAGTATAGCTAAACAGGAAAAAGCATAGTCGATACACACTGCGCTAGAGGAATTCCAAATATTGGATTTATTAGGCAGGAACTATAAATTAGCTATTATTAAAGGAAACGATGTTCAAAGAATTAAAGAAAATATAAGAATGAGGTCTCACCAAGTAAAGAATATCGATAAAGAGACAGAAACTATTTAAAACAAAGAACATATAAACAGGATTTCTGGAGTTGAAAAATATAACTGAAATATAAACTTCAATAGAGGGCCTAAGCAGCATATTTGAGTTGGCAGAAAAAAAATTCAACAGCTTAAAGATAAGTTATTGAGATTATCCCATCTGAGAAACAGAGAAAAAAAAAGAATGAAGAAAATTTAAGAGGAGTGCCTGTGTGGCTCAGTTGGTTAAGTATCTGCCTTTGGCTCAGGTCATGATCTCAGGGTCCTGGGATCGAGCCCCACATCAGGCTCCCTGCTCAGTGGGAATACGCTTCTCCCTCTTCTTCTGCCCCCTTTCCTGCTGTACACACTCTCTCTCTCAAATTAATAAATAAAATATTTAAAAAAAAAAAGAAGAAAATTTAAGAGCCTCACAGATCTGTGAGATACCATTAAGAATACCAATAAACAACATAGTCCTAGAAGAGGAGAAAGATTATGTGTACTGTTTAACTATATAAAGAAACAGTGGCCCAAAAAGCTCAGAAAACAACTCAGAAAGTATAGTATAAGAAACAAGAAGATTAATGTCTACTTAATATAAAAGAAGACAACATGGAGAAATAGTGGAATAAAAAAATATATAAAACAATAGAAAACAGGGACGCCTGGGTGGCTCAGTGGGTTAAGCCGCTGCCTTCGGCTCAGGTCATGATCCCAGCGTCCTGGGATCAAGTCCCACATCGGGCTCCTTGCTCAGCAGGGAGCCTGCTTCTCCCTCTGTCTCTGCCTGCCACTCTATCTGCTTGTGCTCACTCTCTCTCTCCTCTCTGACAAATAAATAAATAAAATCTTTAAAAATAAAAAAAAAAACAATAGAAAACACATAGCAACAAGACAGACATAACTCTTTTATTAGTAATTACATTAAAAGCAAATGGCCTAAGACTGTATTCTTCACATAAAACCACTAAAACTGTGGCTTACTTTTAATTTTTATTACCACAATTTATATGACATTCAAGATAAATAAAAATTTATAGATTAAATAAATAATATAATATATAATAAATATAAATAATAATAAATAAATATAAGTAATTAAAATAAATATAAATACTTATTCATAAATAAAATTTATTTTATTTATTATATAGTATATAATAAATAAATAATAAATAATAATGAATAAATATAAATAAATATCAAAATTTATTTATGAATAAAATTTTATTTATAAATGTTTATATTTTTATTTGTTATATTATTGATATTTATTAATATTTATAAATAGAATGTTTATTTATTTATAAGATAAATAAATAAAATTTATTTTATGTATCTAGGTCATGACCTAGATGTACTTGATTTTTTAAAAACTATGAATGTAAAATTTCAGGCATACACAAAAGTAGCAAGAACAGTGCAATGACTTCCATACACCCTTCTTTATATTAATCAGTAACTCATGGCTATCCTCATTTCATCCATATTCTCAACCCAGTTTCCCCTATCCTGCATTGGATTATTTTTGAAGCAAATCTCAAATATCATTTCATCAGAAATAAATAATCTGGGGGCACCTGGGTGGCTCAGTCAGTTAAGCGTCCAACTCTTAATTTTGGATCAGGTCAGGATCTCAGGATCACGAGATGAAGCCCCTCTGGGGGACCCATGCTGGGGGTGGAGCCTGATTAAAATTCTCTCTCTCCTTCTGCCCATCCCCTCCCCCCACCTCATGCTCACCTTCTCTCTCTCAAAAAATAAGTAGAAATAGAAATAAATAACTGCATTCATTAGAATTAATCTACATCTTGAGAAATTAAGATAAATTCAGTTTATAACTATAGTAAAGGGGTAGATATATTAACAGCAGAAAATAGTAAATCTAGGATAACTTTTTTTTGAAGATTTTATTTATTTATTTATTTATTTCAGAGAGAGCGCAAGTGAGAGAGAGAAAGAGAGAGAGCACATGAGTGGTGGTGAGGGGCAGAGGGAGAGAGAGGAGTGGACTCCCTCTGAGCAGGGAGCTGGATGCTTGATTCCAGGACTCCGAGATCATGACATGAGCTGAAGATGCTTAACCAACTAAGCTACCTAGGTGCCCTCCAAGATAACTTTTTAAAAGCAATGCTATACATTTATCAAAATTCCTAAAGAAAATTTTGAAATATAAACAAAGTTTATAAAAAAAAAGATTTATCTGAGAGACAGACAGCAAAAGAGAGCACGAGTGGGTGGAGGGGTGAGTTGTGGGAGAAAAAGGTAAGGTAGCTGGACACAGCTCCATCCCAGGACCCTGGGATCAAAGGCAGACACTTAACTAACTGAGCCACTACACAAAGCTCTTTTTAATATAGCTTTTATTCCAAAGTCTTGTTTTTTTACCTGTCACTTTTCTCAACATTCCATCCTATTTTTGACCCAGTTAGTAAGGTTTTATCTGAAGATTCACTTTTTCTTGTTGAAGAATCATGGTTATTCAAAATCTGTTCCAATAGTCTTACATTTCCTGTAATAAAATAAATACAGTATCATTTTTCAAGTACTAAGTCATTTCCTTTTTATACAATAGCTCACATATATTTGTACTCTATTAGCTTCTTTGGATGATTATCTATCTACTCAATTCACTTTAAAATGTCAATTTTAAATACACTCACCCAATAAAACTAAATATTTATAACTCATGTAAACTACATTAGTAAAATTTTAGGTCTGAATTTATTTCCATCACATAAAAAAGGAATTTGATGAGCCACGACATCATCAAAAAACCCAGTAAACTGCATAATTTTTATCAATAGTTAAAGGGAGATTTAACTGTTTCTTTATAGCAATTGTTAGTTAAATCTTCCCTTTAGCCTCATCTTTAATAAAGTTACATAATAACTTTTATCTCTAGGTGAGGTTAGTTTATTAAAGATTTTAGTATCCTTAAAACTCTTTAAATGCATCCAAGACAAGACTCAAATTCATTTAAGTGATTCTAAGAATAAAAGCTTATATTTAACACTTTAACTTCTTTTACTAGAAGGGCTTTAAGGATCTTTAACAAATTATTTCCTCAGGTCACTTATAAAAGTTCTTGTTTCCTATTAAATAGTTAATACTGTAACACTTTTTCCAACTGAACACAGTAACAAATGTTAAATTTCTCTGAGTTCCACCACTGAAATTCACACCTAAAAACAAAATAAGGAAACATGCTCTAAAATGATCAGCTTTTACCCTATGACCCTGCAATTGCACTACTGGGTATTTACCCCAAAGATACATTTACCCCAATGTTCATAGCAGCAATGGCTACAGTCGCCAAACTGTGGAAAGAACCAAGATGCCCTTCAACAGACGAATGGATAAAGAAGATGTGGTCCATATATACAATGGAGTATTATGCCTCCATCAGAAAGGATGAATACCCAACTTTTTTATCAACATGGACGGGACTGGAAGAGATGCTGAGTGAAATAAGTCAAGCAGAGAGAGTCAATTACCATATGGTTTCACTTACTTGTGGAGCATAAGGAATAACATGGAAGACATTGGGAGATGGAGAGAAGTGAGTTGGGGGAAATCGGAGGGGGGGAAACGAAGCATGAGAGACTGTGTAATCTGAGAAACAAACTGAGGGTTTTGGAGGGGAAGGGGGGTGGGAGGTTGGGTATTAAGCCTGGTGGTGGGTATTAAGGAGGGCATGTATTACACAGAGCACTGGGTGTGGTGCATAAACGATGAATTATGGATCACTGAAAAAAAATAAAATTTAATTTAATTTTAAAAAGTTAATTCACCATAAAAAATGATCAGTTTTACCTTTAGCAAAGCGTTATTTTTTTATTAACAAAACCTGTTCATTATATGTTTAAGTAATAATCTATAGAAAATAATCAGAATTATAACTGTATACCTCTACCTCCTGCAAAGAATGTAAAGAAGCTTGATGTGCCTAGTAAATATCATTTAAAGAAAAATACTAAAGAAAGAGATGTAGTTACTACTAGGCACATAAGAAAATAATAAATCAGGAGTATGGAAATCTGTTCCTAATTTGACGTAGGTCTAATAAAAGTAGTAGATGCTAGTTATGATTGCTTTATTACCTCTATGACCTGACATCTCCATATTTTCTTTCTCTTCTTTAGGATTTTCCCTCTTTGATATTTTATCATCCTTTGAAACAGGTATAGGAGCAAACCTGCGAGGTGCTGGTGTCTCCAAAGGAGATTTCTGTTTATCAAAACCCATATCTTCAACCTCTCTAAAAGGTGCTTCAATAGAAAATAAAGAAAATAAATTCAACTTGTTTTAAAAAAGCATTAATATATAGAATATTACTCTTCCCCATTTTTTAAAAATAAAACTAAAATTATGTAGGATATACAAATTAACAAGTACATAGAAATAGCTCTCAACCAGAATTCAAATATAACCCATAAAAATTTTACACTTACAGCTAATAAAGAAGAAAAAAATCAATATGACAATATTCTGTGCTATTTAAGCTATGGTGAAAACGGCATAGCCAGACACTACTCATGGCAATGAAAACTAATAAAACCATCTGGCACTAAGTATAGGAAGTCTTAAAATGTTTATATATTTTGACCTAGTAATCTTACTCTTGGGAATTTATCCTAAGAAAATAACCTAGAAGAAAGAAAACATTAAATACATGATGATTTATGGGGCGCCTGGGTGGCTCAGTGGGTTAAAGCCTCTGCCTTCAGCTCAGGTCATGATCCCAGGGTCCTGGGATCGAGGCCTGCATCGGGCTCTCTGCTCGGCAGGGAGCCTGCTTCCATCTCTCTCTCTCTCTCTCTCTCTCTCTCTCTCTCTGCCTGCCTCTCTGCCTACTTGTGATCTCTGCCTGTCAAATAAATAAATAAAATCTTTAAATAAATAAATAAATAAATACATGATGATTTTATCATGGTATGTTTATAAGGAAAAAAAACCCTAAAATCTGCCTAAATGCCCAAGAACAGGATAAATGCCCAACAAGTAAATTGTGACTATTCTTTTATCATTAAAAATTAATATTATGGGGGCACCTGGATTGCTTAGTTGGTTAAGCGACTGCCTTTGGCTCAGGTCATGATCCCAGGTCCTGGGATCAAGCCCCACATCTGCTCAGCAGAGTGTCTGCTTCTCCCTCCGTCTCTCCCCTCTGTCTCTTGTGCTTTCTCACTCACTCTCTCTCTCTCAAATAAACTCTCAAACCTACATTGGTGGGAAAGCAAGCTGATGCAGCCACTCTGGAAAACAGCATGGAGTTTCCTCAAAAAGTCGAAAATAGAGCTACCCTACAACCCAGAAATCTCACTACTGGGTATTTACCCTAAAGATACAAATGTAGTGATTCGAAGGGGCACGTGCACCCAAATGTTTATAGCAGCAATGTCCACAATAGCCAAACTACGGAAAGAACCTAGATGTCCATCAACAGATGAATGGATAAAGAAGATGTGGTATATATATATGATGGAATACTATGCAGCCATCAAAAGAAACGAAATCTTGCCATTTGCAATGACATGGATGGAACCAGAGGGTATTGCTGAGCGAAATAGGTCAATGAGAGAAAGACAATTATCATATGATCTCCCTGATATGAGGAATTTGAGAGCCAGGGCGGGACATTGTTGGGGGATAGGGAGGGAAAAAATGAAACAAGATGGGATGAGGAGGGAGAAAAACCATAAGAGACTTTTAATCTCACAAAACAAACGGGTTGCTGGAGGGTTGGGGGGAGGGATAGGGTGGCTGGGTTACGCACATTGGGGAAGGTATGTGCTACGGTGAGCTCTGTGAAATGTGTAAGCCTGATGATTCACAGACCTGTACCCCTGTGGCAAATAATGCATTATATGTTAATAAAAGCAAATTTTAAAAAACTAATATTATGAAGATAATTACATAAAACATGGGAAATACTTCTGATATGCTAGTAAAAAAGCAGTACAAAATCATATTTATGCTAAATTGCAGTACATAAAAATAATGTATGCCCAAGAAAAAAATATTGAAAAATAGAAAGTTTAACTTGTTGAAGTTTAAATTTACTCATTTTTTCCCTTATATTTCTTTTACTGTCACTAAGACATACAAAGAAAGCAAATCAGTACACAACCAATAAAACATACACTTTTTCCCTTAAAATTCAAGTCTAAAAAAACAAAAATTTGAGCAATTAATTCTTCAGAACTGAGTATGAAGTTAAGTGTCCATGTCTATGGCTGGAGCATACTGAACCCCGAGTTGTGGCTGTAGCTCTGACCAACCCACTCTCAAGTCCAGTGACCTGGAGCAGGCAAGTCACAACCTCCCTGTACTTCATCGTCTTTGCTTTCAACTTAAAAATTGACTCATGCCACTTTCACAGCAGTTTTGTAAGGACCACTCCTTTGTGGAAAAACATAAAGCAACTTACAAGTATAAAGAATCTTCAATACGTCTATAAAACAACAATGGTATAACAAATCAAATGTTGGGGATATTATACTACACGGATCTGGATATCATTAAAGGGATAGCCCTTGATTTTCAATCAATTCATTCAATAATTTAGAAACACATTTGTTCATTTGGTTTTTGTTGCTTTTTTTTGGTTTTTGGGGTTTTTTTTACTTTTTGTTTTCTAAGTAGGTGCCACACGCAGCGTGGACCCCAGTGTGGGGCTTGAACTCACAATGCTGAGATCAAGACCTGAGCTAAGATCAAGAGTCAGATGCTCAACTGCCTGAGTCACCAGGGACCCCATTTATTCATTTATTTTAAATTCCAGAGGTTTAATACAAATACACTATGCACTTCCTTTGTTACTATAAACAAAGATTTTTAAGATTCTATTAAAATAGGCAAACTTATATTACTAACTAAAAATAATGTGAAATAGTTTATTACTGTACTCAGGTCATTTTTCTCCTCACAGAATCAAGAAAAATGGAAAATACACAGCTTGTCAGAGAATTGGAAAACTGATTACAAACATTGATATGAGATGAGTAAAATTTTTCTAAACTTATAAGTGCTTCTGACAATTTGTGAAGGTTATTTATTAAAATCATTAGGTAGGAAATGATCCCTAACTAGACAGAACGAATTTTGAAATGACCTAAAAATTACCTAACCTAAAAGAAAACTAATTTTATAAAACAAAGACTTAGTCTTCTACTGCCTATTAAACAAGTTTTGGGCTGACATATTATAAAGAACATTTGTAGGTAACATTTTTCATTCACAGAGAACTAGACATTTTTACCTTGTTTGGAAGCAAATGTGTTCTGTGAAGATAGATCACTGCCACCATTATTAGAAAAGTCTGGTTTTCCAGAATACTTTTCCATTGCTCTAGAAGGGGGCATAGCAACAGGCTGAAAACTACTGGTCTTGAGCGCAGCACTAATGAAATGAGTCTGGAAGACATACAATTATTAATTTCAAATACCATTTGAAAGAGTTAGATGACAAACTACACTGAAATTTATTAGAGGACTTGAAAACAATATGTTAGATTTAATAAACGATAAGAATACATACATTACATGTAACTATCCACTGTAGCAGTGATGTCACTGGGTTAAGCCTGGCTCTGTAATGTGACCTTGATCATTTGAGTTAGCTATTCTAAACCTCAGTTTCTTCCTTTCTACTTCAGAGATGGCTTGGGGACCAGTGAGGCATGCTAGGAAATGACCAAAAGGAAGGGGCTCTAGTCCTAGACATCTACTTCAACCAAAGAATTTCAAACCAAAATTTCTCCTCTTTTATATCCTGGATGATTTCGTTTGAAGGGTTAAAATCCTTGCTAAGAAGCACTCAAATTTGTAGTATTAATAATATATATGCATTTAAGTACAAATGAGAGCTAAAATGACCATTTTCAGCACTATTTATTAAAATATCTGGAAATTATATGTATCTAATAAAACTGATTTCGAAAGTCTTATGAGGTAAAGGAAAATCTAAAAATATTTACATTTTTACAGAAGTCTTAAAAATGTATATAGAGAAAAAAAAATATGTAGAGATCTGGGGCACCTGGGTGCCTCAGTGGGTTAAAGCCTCTGCCTTCGGCTCAGGTCCTGATCCCAGAGTCCTGGGATCGAGCCCCGCATCAGGCTCTCTGCTCAGCAGAGAGAAGGAGACTGCTTCCCTTCTTCTCTCTCTGCCTGCTCTCTGCCTACTTGTGATCTCTGTCAAATAAATAAATAAATAAATCTTAAAAAAAAATGTGTAGAGAACTCTCTACATAAAACAAATGGGACAGACTCAACAAATTTCATTTCATTAAGCATTTATTGAATTATTAATATACCTAATATGTCACTAAAGCTTCAACTTTCCCTGTAATTATAAGCTTTATAAATAAGATGTCTGCATTAGGAAAGATCCCAATCTTCCAAACTAAGAAAGTCAATGAATTAAAAAAAAAAAAAGTCAATGAATAATGGACTTATTAAAAAATGGATAAATAGCAGGCAGGCATATACTATAAGTAGGACCCTCTCTTCAAATCAATGTACTTTTCATATGTGTCATCTTTTACCTGAAGAAAAAAATAAAATGTTTTATAGGTTAAGAAATCAAGGCTCAGAAAAGGGCAGTTATTTGTAGGCTGGGGACCAGCACTCTGCCAGACTCACTCCTAGCTTCTCACCATATTGCACACTCAATTTCAGTTGTACATGGAGTACTTACTAAAACCTTACTTTGTATGGCCATAATTATTCCAATAAAAATACTATCTTCAAACACATGGAAAGCTCAAGCCAAGCTCTAATAAGTTTGCGGGTTTTTTTAAAGATTTTATTTATTCATTTGACAGAGATCACAAGTAGGCAGAGAAGCAGGCAGAGAGAGAGGAAGGGAAGCAGGCTCCCTGCTGAGCAGAGAGCCCAATGTGGGGCTTGATCCCAGCACCGTGGGATCATGACCTGAGCTGGGGCTCGATCCCAGCACCCTGGGATCATGACCTGAGCTGGGGCTCGATCCCAGCACCCTGGGATCATGACCTGAGCTGAAGGCAGAGGCTTTAACCCACTGAGCTACCCAGGCACCCCTCTAATAAGAAGTTTTGAGAATTACAGTGTATTAGTGTTTGTTCTGTGATAACCTACTGAGCTATAATAAACTTACTTTTGTATATTCTTCTGAACATTATATTTTAATTTTTTACAGTTTTTAAGTTGCACATTAATTAGGAAAAAATAAAAACCAATGCATTTATAATGCTGGTCACTCACTCAAAAAAAAAAAAAAAAAAAGAAGTATACTGAGTACCTGAGTGCTGGCTACTGTCCCAGGACTTGGAAATTCCAAAATAAATAAGAAACTATACTACCAGTTCCTTCTGAAGATAACTCTTCTTTTTATAATAACCCAGAGCCTCATATTCAAAAGGCAATTAAAAATGTTTATGCTTTTGATTAATTAAATGCAGAAGCACTATGTATACCAAATGGTTCTCATCTCATTAGAATCATTAGAGCTTTCTATTCCCAGGCCCCCATCTCAGACCTGCTGTCTGAATCTCTGAGAGGTACAAGCATGTGTATTTTCATAAGGCTCTTCATGTGATTGTGATGCATATTCTCAGCCTAACAAGCAGGGATGTAACAAGTCACTGTAATGCAATATGAGCCCTTTCAAAATGGTATGAAGAGAGGTACCTGGGTGGCTCAGTGGGTTAAGCCTCTGCTTTCAGCTCAGGTCATGGTCCCAGGGTCCTGGGATCAAGCCCTGCATCGGGCTCTCTGCTCAGCAGGGAGCCTGCTTCCCCCACTCTCTCTCTCTGCCTGCCTCTCTACCTACTTGTGATCTCTGTCAAATAAAAAAATAAAATCTTTTTTAAAAATGGTATGAACAGAAATACCACAAAAAAAGGAAACGCTAACTCCGTGGAAATGTCTTCTAGAACTAGTGATATCTGAACTAGAATGTGCAGAGAGAGGTCTCCGCTTGCACAGGAAGAATAATGAACTCAAAAATCATTACTTAAGAATGAAAACTGTTAACAATGTAATGAGCTATTGCAATTATCAATGAATATTAGCTCAGGGAGCCAAGTGATAAAAGACCATGGGATGTGTGCTAGCTTTATTAGAGATACCTGAAGATCTATTTGCTGCTGTTGTAATTTTTCAAGATGCCTAATGTGCTGCTCCATAAACACATTCATTTGCTTTTCATGATCATGACAATGTAGTTTCTCATGTTTATTCTGAATGCTTGTTTGCTGCTCTGTAACACGTTGTAACTGTTTATCAGCCTCCTGTAACTTATTCAGTAATTCTGTAACAGAATTGACTTTTGCCTCCAAATCACTCTGCACCTAAAACAATAAAATCCCAAAAGACATCAAAAATACACTCAGTTACTATAAAGGCTGTTTAAAGTGACTGATAATAAAAATCACAGAAATAAAAAGAAGATAGTTAGCCTTAAGTAGATTTTTCTTCTCTCATTAATAACACATTTGCAACAAAGAATTGTTATGCTGCCAGAAATAAAATACTTAAATGGTAATTAAAAAGAAGCAAATAACAAAACAAATTAGCTTTTGATACCCCCCTAATCTCAGGCTGAATTAAGTCAGCAGCCTGGAGTCCCAGACTAAGCTTGGCCACCTATTAGCTCTGGGACCTGTGCCTACTCTGACAGTTTTTCTCAGTTTTCCATTTGCAAACTGAGGGGGGTTGCCACAGACAATCTCTGAGTTCCTTTCTAGTTCTGAAATAAAGATGACCTGTTGTCCCAGGTTGCCCAGGACTCAGGGTTCCCTGGATGTGATATTTTCAGGTTGAAACCAGGCAGTCCTAGGTTCTCTAGTATTATCACAGCAAGGCAGGGGTACATCTCAACTCCTGAGAGGTAATATACAAGCACAAACAGGAAAACTCAAACTGAGACCAACCAGAATGACACTGGTCTACAGTAGGATACGACCATTTATAGACTTAATTCCTCATAAGTATTTTTACATTTGACAAAGAAGCCGCAAAAATCTGGGGAGAAAATTATACTTTGATCAGCGGGGCTGCCGTAGCGATGGCAGCTGCAGTCGCTGCGGCCACAGTTGTAGCTGAATCAATTCCACTGGGTGAAATTCTTGTCTCCTGAGTAGCAGCGTCCTTTTCTGGGCCTGCATCTTCAAAAAGCTGTACTTTTACTTCCTTAAACACAGGCATGTTTTGAGCTCTGTAAATGAAAAAGGAATAGAAATATATTCAGTAAGCCACACTGAGCCATTTCAAGAAGGATTCACGACAATAAATTGCTGAAGGTGGGTTTGCTTGATTTTTTTTCAAAAATTGAATCACTTGGTTTTCCATATCGGGATCTAATCAGTCACTTGGTTAATGAAATCTATGAAAGGTCACTATAGGCTAAAGATATAAGAAGATAATTCTTGGAAGGCTGGGATATTTCAGAAAATAAGGCTTGCACATATGAAAAAGATGTGGGCACAATTACAAAGATATATAATCAAGAAGGACAAATGCAAAACATGCAGAAAAGGTTCTAAGAATGCAAGTACCAAGTTTTACTTCCAAAGGAAGACAACCCAAGAGAAATTGTTCAAACTGCTAAAAAAAAAAAAATTTTTTTTTTTTTAAATTCTAGCTCATTTCGATTCAATAAATGTGACAGAGTTTGTTAAAACAGGGCATAAAACAGGTTGAAGCAGTCTGGACTAAAAATGAGAGAAATACATACATATTTACAATGAGAGATTTAACTAAGTAAATACTAAGAAAAAAGGGGAAAAAGACTCAATTTTGTTATAGATTTGCCCTGAAAAACAACAACAACAACAAAAACAATGAAAGGAACCAGACAAAACTGCAGAGTCCCTAGGTAAGTCTAAGTAAGATCAGAAGGAATGCCCTCCATCTCTAACTGCTGGATTTCTCTTGGTTTCTAAAAAGACCCAGAGCAGCTCTTAAGCTTACTCCTTTTTTATATTTCCTCATTTCTACTAGGAGCATTTTTCTCTGTCTCAAAATTTTGAAGTTTTCTTGACTTTTCCATTCTCCACTTACCTTCTCACATCTAAATGAGTCACCAAGTTTTGTCAATTATTTCATCACAATTGCAGGAATGGTATCACAGAACTATGGAGTAAGGGGAACCCAATAGGCCACATATCCTAATATCCTAATGTGACAGACGAAGAAACTGAGATCCACAGAGGTAATAGGATTTACTTGACCAAAGTCACAGACCCAGTAAAGCACAGTTGGCTTATGATTCCTAGAGATGGTCCCATAACATCTAAATCTCTCAGAATAATACTTCTCCCTTCATGCTTCTGCCTCTGGTTAAAAAAAAAAAAAAAAAAAAAAGCTTCACCATCTCTTACCAACTATTTCATTCTTGCAGATTTTACTCCTTCAGAAACTTCCCAAACATATCTCTCCACCATTCAAAAATCTAAAATTGTTCCTTAGAGACAAATGACTAGGCTAATTGTTTGTTTGACTGTCCACACACACCATCCCCCATCCCTGTCTCCTTAGCTTCCTATATACACCTGTTAGTTCACACACAACCTCTCAGGAGTCACATTGCTCCTCACTGGCTACAACACACCCTTCCCACATCTGACTCCAGGCTTTTTATCACTGTTCTCTCAACCTTCCTCCACTCAACTTACTATATATCCTGCTCCGTCTTTAAGATCCAACACAAGCCTTAACCTTCTTCAAAAAACCTATCCTTGGGGCGCCTGGGTGGCTCAGTGGGTTTAAGCCTCTGCCTTCAGCTCAGGTCATGGTCCCAGAGTCATGGGATCGAGCCCCACATCGGGCTCTCTGCTTGGCAGGGAGCCTGCTTCCTCCTTTCTCTCTGCCTGCCTCTCTGCTTACTCGTGATCTTTGTCTGTCAAATAAATAAACAAAATCTTAAAAAAAAAAAAGTTTTAAAAAACCTATCCTTAAACACTTTCAATGGATCTCTCCCTTCAATAACTCCTTTTGCTTTTACTGCCTATAGTACACAACTGAGGCTTGATAAGCAGCCACCCCCTGGTTTAAATGTCTGTGCAGAACAGTTTCGTAATATATTAAATGCAATGCTGCTTCCTATCACAGTTCTAATCACTCATTCCTCCATGTATGTCCACATTCTCTCCCCAACTAAGCTCTAAGCAACCCGGGGTGTGGGGTAAGGGGCAGGGAAGGGGTATTTCTTTTAGGCCAAACAGCAACTAAGAAAGAACTCAGCACAGTAGGCACTCATTATGTATCTAACTGATTAAGGGGTGTACTAAGAAAATATAATTCAGATATTCCTATCCTTTAGTATTCCTATCTGAAGTCTGAATGTGAGTTACCCTTTAAGATCGATCATGCTACATGAATACATTAAGTTGACCAACAAGAGAAATAATATTGTAAGATTAGACATCAGCTTCTTAATAGGCTTTTAAATTTTAGTTTTTTTCCAATTATCAAATTAAATGCTCAATGGAACAAATGTAAATAGCTCCCAAGTGTAAAAAACGGGGAAAATATACAACTCTCTCATTCAGAAAAATTATTTCTTCTTCTTCTTCTTCTTTTTTAGAATTATTTCTTATTCCTAAATCCTCTGAACCTGGCATTTAGACCAATACCATGAAGAAACTGCCCTCATGAAGGCCGGTAATAATTTTTGCTTAATTCAATGGACACTTTTCAGTCCTTACCTATCTTTACCTCTGAGAAGCCTATCAAACTTAGAACTTCATTCCCATCGGCTTTATTAACACCACACACTCCAACAACGCTGGATAAACTGAGTAGCATTTAGAAGTTCACTTGCTTTTTTGCATAGCTCTTAAGGGTTTGGTTTTCTTAGAGTCCTACTCTATGCCATCTTTCTTTTCACTCTCCCTGAGTCACTTCAACTGTCCCCAGAGCTCAGATCACCATTATATACTACTTCTACACTATATACTATATAGAATATGTGGCATATTCTATATACTTTGTGAATTTGACCTTCATATTGAATTTCCTACTGGACATTTTTAACCTGGATATCTCATAGATATCTCAACCCCCTGCATATGTCCAAAATGAAATTTATTCCCCCAAGAATTCTTTCCCAAGGATTTCCTTTCTCAGTGAATACTACGACTGACCATGCATTTATACAAGACAAAAATCTGGGATTCATCCTTAGCTCCTTCTTCACTCTCAGATCAAATCATCAATTTCTGTCAATTCTATCTCTATCCTCCAAACCTGTCTACTCCTCTCCAAACCAGCATGAGTCCCACCCTCATTCCACCACCCTCCAATGTACTGAGGACCAACTAAATCCCTCTCAAAGAGATCACCTCCAAATTTGTAGCCAGTTGGTTTCCTGGACTGCAGTCCAGTCCTCTTCCAATTCATCTTTTGATATTGCTATCTAAGTGAGCTTTTTAAGAAATATATATCATACCTTAACATTTTAAGATGATTTGCCCTTTCTCTCCTTTAAAGAAATATAACTTAGGGGTGCCTGGGTGGTTCAGTGGGTTGGGCCTCTGCCTTCGGCTCAGGTCATGATCTCAGGGTCCTGGGATCGAGCCCCGTATCGGGCTCTCTGCTCAGCAGGGAGCCTGCTTCCTCCACTCTCTCTGTCTGCCTACTTGTGATCTCTATCTAATGAATGGATAGAACCTAAAAAAAAAAAAAAAAAAAGAAGAAGAAGAAGAAGAAGTATAACTTAGCCCCTTGCATCCTCTCCATCCACATGTAAGGACATTCTACCCTGTTTTAGACACTCTGGCCAGAATCTTTACTCAGACTCTGGTCTATACTTTTTATTAGTATAGATTTAGAGCAATTATATCAAACAGGACAAATTCTCCATCATTCCAGTTTTTCCCCCCAAATTAGCTATTCTCAACTATGTGTATTCTATATGTCTGTATTCTTTTTTTTAGGATTTTATTTATTTATTTGACAGACAGAGATCACAAGTAGGCAGAGAGGCAGGCAGGGAGAGAGGAGGAAGCAGATTCCCTGCTGAGCAGAAAGCCTAATGCGGGGCTCAATCCCAGGACCCTGGGATCATGACCTGAGCCGAAGGCAGAGGCTTTAACCCACTGAGCCACCCAGGCACCCCTCCATATGTCTGTATTCTTAATATTATATATATATATATATATATATATATATATATATATATATTCTCAACTGTATGTCCTTCCAGGTAAATTTTAGAATCACTTTGCCAAATTCCATCTACCATTCTCTAAAACCAATAAATAAGTCAAGCAGAGAAAATCAATTATCATATGGTTTCACTTACTTGTGGAACATAAGGAATAACATGGAGGACATTAGGAGAAGGAAATAAAAAGGGAAAGGGGGGGAAATCGGAGGGAGAGATGAACCATGAGAGACTGTGGACTCTGAGAAACAAACTGAGACTTATAGAGGGGAGGGGGGATGGGGCGATGGAGGAGCCTGGTGGTGGGTATTGAGGAGGGCACATACTGCATGGAACACTGGGTGTTATATGTAAACAATGAATCTTGGAACACTACATCAAAAACTAATGATGTATTATTGTATGGTGACTAACATAACACAATAAAAAAATTAAAAATTAAAAAATAAAACCAATAAATTTGAGTGACATTGACTACAGCAAAATCTATCTCTTGAGACATAGACTGTCTTTTAACCCACATGAGAGTCATTTTTATGTTTCTGATTCAATTATTCTCTACATTGCAACCGCCTTCTCAAGACCCTTCCTACTCTGTTTTTAATTCTGTTCTTTCATCCTGAAATGGGGAGAGATCTACTGTCTAAGAGGGATTAGTGTTCACTGTTACCTCTCACCATCCATTTGTTCATAAACAACTTCTCCTTCCCTGATCTGAGAGTTCTGAGAGGTCTCAGAGATTTCCATTAGGAGAGTTCTGACTTGAAGGCAAGTTGGTAAGGTCCTTACTGCAGGTCAGCCGCATTAAAAGTGATACTTGCTTTTGGTCCAAATGAGTCAGATGTAATCTGCATTTTTTGGTTCAACTGTAGAACTTGAAAGACTGCACCCTCCTCATGCCCTTAATTTTGTTTTCTCTTATATATTTATAAGCCCCAGAATACAATTTATCATCCAAATTCCTCTCTGAACCACCTCACATATTGGGAATTGTAGGCTGAACAAAGGTAAAGAGGAAAAATATGATGAGGCCAAACAACCAGCTCTTAAACTCTGGCTGGCTCAGACCACACTCTTGTGGTTTAGCGACATTTTTAATTTTTGTTAGTCCAATGTTTCCCAGAGTGTAATACATTTGCCACAGATAGCCGTAGGTGGAAAAATAATAATTTTGTTATTTCAGTAGTTGTATATCATTTTAATTGTAGTATTTAAAAAATGATTTGCCATTTTGAAGTAATATAAAAATTTCCTTTTTGAATAAAATGAGAGTTCAAGATGAAGTAAAAAGTTTACTTATTTTCTAAGGGGCCTTCCAGACTGTTCTAGGTCAGGAGTAGAATACATTTAGCCTAAGAATATGTATCTCATCACATATCTGCTAATGATAAAAATAATAAAAACTGCCTCCAGAGTAGTGGAGATGCATGCTTAGCATGGTGCTGTTGTTAGGGTCAGTTTTGTATTTCACTGGTATTTAAGATGAACTTGGGAGGGACCACTTTGATGGAGTAATAGCCATGGTCTCCTTTCACTCCATCCAGATGCTAACCTTATCCCTTTATTAAATCTTGACCAGGAAAAATCTAAATGTCCTTAGACAGTAAATAGGAAGTATTATGTACTTGACCATTGCTACAAGTAGTACAGTGAAGTGATTAAGAGAGTAAACTCTACAAAGGCAGAGTGCCTAGGTCTGAATCCCAGCCCAGTGAATACTTGCTTAATGGCCTTGGGAAAAATCAATCTCTGTGTGCCTCAGTTTCCTCATCTATAAAATGGGGATTCTGTAAAATTGGGATGTGATAGAATCTACTTCATTGGATTTTATGAGTATTAAATGAGTTAATGCATATAAAAACCCGAGAACAGTACCTCTTTTATAATAATTATTCACAGCTATTGAGTATTTTATATATCAAGCACTACAAAAAGCGTTTTATATATATTTCATTCATCGAAAAGAACGTTTTTCCTATGTCCAAAATGTAATTGAAGCTGATTTTAGAGAACCACATAAAAACATAAGAAATGGCCCACTTATTTTCTGTAAATGAAACTTACTTTTGCTTTAAAGCTGCTCTTAGAGCATCTTTCTGTCCCATGGTGTACCGAGAAATAAAGATGTCATTTGCTGCAAAATTAAAACATGAAACACACTTCAGATTCCTAAAAATTTGTTAAATTTTAGTAAGCTATCCCAAACAGTTTTTTAAACTAATAAGAGAATGGTTAGGAATTCAGCAATAAGATTTCTCAATTTTAAGAAAATGCAAGGAAATGGGGCACCTGGGTGGCTCAGTAAGTTAAGCATCCAATTCTTTTTTTTTTTTTAAGATTTTTATTTATTTATTTGACAGACAGAGATCACAAGTAGGCAGAGAGGCAGGCAGAGAGAGAAAGGAGGAAGCAGGCTCCCTGCGGAGCAGAGAGCCCGATGTGGGGCTCGATCCCAGGACTCTGGGATCATGACCTGAGCCGAAGGCAGAAGCTTTAACCCACTGAGCCACCCAGGTGCCCCGTTTCCTTTCCAATAGTCAAGGATCCAATACTTGATTTTGGCTCAGGTTATGATCTCAACGTTGTGAGACTGAGCCCCATGACAGGTTCTGCACTGGGCACAGAGCCTGCCTGAGGTTCTCACTCTCCCTCTCTCCCTTCCCCTTCTCCCCCTCTCATAAAAAAAGTGCAAGGAACAAATTAAATGAATGCATAATAATAGTAATAACCCTAGACAATAGGGGAAAAAATGTATCAAAAATACCTGGGAATAAATTAGAGACATTCTGCTCAAACTTGAAAGAGAAAACTGCTTAGATAAAAATAAAGCTACATAGAAAAAAGTCACTAAGGGGTGCCTGGGTGGCTCAGTGGGTTAAAGCCTCTGCCTTCGGCTCAGGTCATGATCCCAGGGTCTTGGGATTCAGCCCCATATCAGGCTCTCTGCTCAGCGGGGAGCCTGCTTCCCCCTCTCTCTCTCTGCCTACTTGTGATCTCTGTTGTGATCTCTGTCTGCCAAATAAATAAAATCTTTAAAAGAAAAAAAGAAAAAAAGTCACTAAATATTTCCTCAAAGCAGATTTTTAACTTATTATCTTACAAAAGACTACTCAAAACTTGAATTCAGAGTTTATAAATTTTTTTAATAAATACTTAACACCAAACTTATGCAACAGGTTAGTAATAATAAAATTACCTTTATGACTATAAACCTTTTTCCGGTTTTCAAAGATTCCATTAATAGCTTATTAAGATGAAACAATCAAAATAATCAGAAAAAATAATAAGTCTTTTTAATTAAGGTCTTTTAAAAAAATCAATGAATGTCTTAAAACGTAAAAATATAAAATCCTATCCTTACAAAGAAAATCCTGACACATAAAACGTAAATGAACCACAAAGGCATGCGAAGTGAAATAAGACAATAATAAAACTAGATAGACTTGGGGCGAAATGGAGAGTTAGTATTTAATGAGTACAGAGTTTTGACTGGAGAAGATGAAAAAAGTCTGGAAACAGATGGTGGTGATAACTGCATAAGGGGAATATACCTAATGCTACAGAACTATACACTTAGAGTGATAAATTTCATTGTGTATATTTCACCACAGTAAAAAAAAAAAAAAAAAAAAAAAAGTCTACCTTTTTACCTTTTTGTTTGTTGCTCTCTTCCAGTTTCTCCAAAGGCAACCCTTGCACTGCAATACCCTTAGAAAAATCCTTCGGGATATGAAAGGAAAAATGAAAGGCTAGAAAACCTTTATGATTTATTACTTACCAAGTACTATTTACTAGCTAAGAGACAGGAGGGGAGGATCGTGTGTTTTTATACCCTCGATTCCCAGAACCACCACAATGCTTGGGTACCTCGAAGGTACTCAAGGATTTGTTGAATGAGTAAATAAACAAGCAAGCAATGTGGTCCTAAAATTCAGACTCAGATCTCAATTTGCCACTTCTAGCAGAGGGAGTAACGTAACAATTAAGTTGCTACAGTTTAATGTGAAAATCTGATTCATTTTGAGTCAAATGGAGTGCATGAGGATGGCCAACACAAGGCACATCACAAATTAATCACTGTGTTCTTTATCCCTGAGCTCAAAATGTAGTCTCAGAAGGCTTCTCCACAGGCAAACAGCTTTCTGTTCACATATGTAACCCTAGACTTCATTTCTAAGATTCTATTCAGTGCTAAAACATCTTGACGTTTTAAGTACTAGGTTCATTCAACATTGCTCTTCCCGTTCCTTAGACACATCAATTTTTTTTCCAGCTAAATCAGAAAAGGGTAAAGAGAAAATCATAAAAGGAAGGTTGATCAGGCTATCTCCTGACAAACAATGGTTAACTTTCTAAAAATAGTCAATGAGGCTAACAAATTATATAATAGAATGCATTTGGGACGTTAATACAAAGACCTCCTACAAATGAGTAAGAAAAAGTATAGCATAGAAATATGTAAGTCACAAAAGAATAAAGATGGCAATATACATGGGAAAAAATTCCCCCCTCGGTAATAATAAAATAAAGACAAAATAAAATGAGATGCTTTCTTTACCTATCAAAATGGCAAAGTTTCGTGGTTTTGTTTTGCGGGTTTGTTGGGTTTTTTGTTTTTTTTTTTTTTTGGTCTAATTCTGATGTCTCGTATTGGTAAAGCTAAGAGAAAATAATACCACTAATTCTATTCATGATCTTGCTGAAGAACACATTGATACAGTCTTTCCAGAGGTAATTTATATAATAGCATATCCCTCTGGGAAATTATTTAGAGAATGGAATTCAAATACCATTAATCATTAAATAAGGCATATTCAATAAAGAAACAAAAACACCAACCCAAAGGCTAAGCATTTACAGAGGGACCAAGTACAGCACATAATTATACATTTTTATTGTGAATCTTTTGTAAAGTTGGTAAGTAGACAGTTTTAATTTCATTCTTAGTTTACCAGCTTCAATTTTCAAGATATTATATTATGAAATTCTATTCTTTAAAGACTTGTTAAATTGACAATCTATAGTGATAGTGGTCAAAATCTAATTAGATTGCATGAACAAAATGTATTGATCATCAAATATTTTCAGCATTATAAAGGTCAAGATGAGAATTTCATGTTATTTCTTAAAGACTCCTCAAAAAAACCACACAAAAGACCTTACAATCATTTGGATAACATATAATCATACCTCACTTTTTAAAAATGATGTTGTTAATATTTCTTTACCTTTACCTAACAGTATATGAAGTCTCCGGTCTAGAACCCCATTTCTTAGGTAACAGCAGAGCTTGTTTTCAGTTCCAATATTTCTCTCAGTGTTCAACATCTTAGTAATGAGTATTTTTTATTTTATGGAAGAATTTTTGTTTAATGTCTCAAATACTATTCAAGTCACAATTGGATATAAAACATTTCTCTTGGTAAGTGAAATTAAAGCAAAAACAAGGCCTGTTGCTCATCCAACATAATTTAGGAACACATTACTCAACAATACTGAAAACCTTAACGTGACCATAATTAAGAATTCTTTTGCTTACCCTTTCTGGCCCAGTAGAATTTGCTAATGGAGGCTGCTGATAAGTTCTAGTCAAGTCTGCTGAACCTAACAAAACAAAGGAATCAATTTTAGTGACTTTAAAATCAGAACCATATTTTTGGAAACTGTATAGGCTTGACTCAAGAACTATAAACTCAATATTAACGCTAAACCTAAATTGGAAGCCATTTTTCATGCAAAGAACTTAAACTGTAATTAAAATATATCCTGATGAAGATTTTACAGCTGATATTTTGGAAAATAAGGATCAGTACTGACAATCAAGTGAGATAAATGTTTTAAAATATAGCATTACAATGTTGGATTTGGACATACTATGGGTAGAATTTGCCAGGAATAAAATATGTACATGATATAAAAGCAGGCCTTTATTATGCCACACCTCCCCCAAAAGCAGCACTATAAATGCATTTTTTTTTGTTTTTGCACATATATTAATTTGATACTTATGATCATCAATGAAATGGGCAAAGCATATGTTTTCTTCATTTTCACTGGAGAGACAGGTTAAGTGAGTTGGAACATGGAAGCCATCAAAAGGCAGAAGTTATGCTTTTTTACTATGCCAAACTGAGTAACACCAACCAAACAGAAGGTAGAGCATTTGGTAAAAACCTCTACTGATGAACAGTAAACACATCACACTAGTTAAGTGCGTCCACCATAGATGTGAACAAGAACAATGTGCAAAAACCACACAAAGAATAAGCACAGAAGTGTTTCATTCATTCCACCTATTGGATATGTTTCAATTAGACTGATTGTACTAGCCATTTTCCCAGAGAAAGGGGTCAGCTTTCAAACACCTATTAAAACTAGATGTATCTTATGTTTGAGAATTTAAACATTAAAAATCCCCTAAATTTTGAAACGCAAAAAAGAAATGAAAATAAAGACTAAAGATTTACAAAAGTGAAAGCTATTCAGAGTCACATACCACGTAACGTTCCATTCAAGCTAGCCTCAGTTCTAACAGGAAGACGTTTATTTGCAGACAACGCTGGAGGAACACAGGACAACTCATCTTTCAGCAAAGCCAAATTATCTCCCTGATTTGGAGAAACTACCTCACGAAGTCTCCTCGCTGGTATTTTAACCCTTTTTTTCTTCTCCGGGCTAAACTCAGAGCCTTTCATATTATTGGTAACAAAACTAGTCCCACGGTTCTCAAAAGAAGAATTTCTTCTGGCTCCATAAAACTTCAGAACAAAATTTTCACCGCTTTGAGGACTTGGGGGAGAAGGAACGAGGGAGGAGTATGATAAAGAAAATGTGAATTTCAAGTGATTTTAAAACAGTCATCAACCTTTAAATAAAACAACGTCTAAACACTATCCGCAAAACTAGAAATTTCAGTTTGGTATTTAATCCAGGATTAGAGACAACTAGAACATCATATTTACCCATCAATCCCACTCAGTCCATTAATGCACACGCCCGTGAATCTGAGAGTGGGGATGACAAGAGAATGGCCGCATGAGCAACAATAACCAAACAACAGAAAGCACTTCCAAAGCCAAGAGCTGGCAGTACAAAACCAAACAGATGTGCAGGCGAGATTAACATCTGTTGAGAAGCGGGAGTCAAGCACGTAAAACTGAAATGCTTTAAAAAAAAAAAAAGCTTAATAACTTTTGAGAATTTATTAATAACTAAAAGTTATTTAAAATAGTTATTAATAACTATAAGCTTAAGAAGCTTAATAACTTTCTTCAGCCAAAGAGTCTTACACACCCCTCCAGATGCAAACATCGGACACCTAAATTCACCCCTCTGCGTCTCCCGAATGCTTCGCAACCCGGCAGTCACAGGTGTAATCTGACAACAGCTTCAGTTGCCCGCGAGTCAACACCCACTTCTCTTTAAGTCGGCGCTTGAGACACAACACGCATGCGCGCCAAGAAAATCATCCAAAACACCCAACCAAAAAGCTGACCGCCCTCTGGTGTACCTCCATCCCTCTCCGGGTGGAAACAAACTCCCAACGTAAAAGATTTAAAAAGGTGCAGATTTGATTTTATTGTTTTAAAGCAGTACATTGCCCCACCAGACTTAAACACTGAATAAAACTGGAGGTTCTCATCGGAGACCCGCACAGGTCCCGGCTTAACTGACAATACCACTCCTGTTGACTAGGGACTGTTTACAGTGCAGCTCCTGGAGACCGTTAGGGACCTGGGATTAAGTAAATTAGTTTTACAAAAACTCTCGACAGATTCGGGTAGTTGTTGGTGAGGAAGTCAGGAATAGAAAGCACTGAGTAAGTATCCGATTACAAAACTTAATCCTTAGAGAATTTTAGAATTCACTGGAGATAGCGCCTTTTCCTCCAAAGTTCCCTGCTTTGTAACGAATCCGCGTCTAAAGTCTAAGGGCTATTTGACATCGCCTCTCCCACGTGTTCTCTCCCATCCAGCGACTGCGGCGCCCTCCCTGACCCAGACCCTTCGCCCCTAGAATCGACTGGCAGCGCAGCCCCCCAACCTCGCACTGGTGTCGGATGCGAGAGCCTGTGCTCAAGTATGGTCTCTTTTCTCTGCCCTTAGAATCTCGGGTTCCCAGGCGGAGGGCGCCAGGCTACGCTCGGGAAGGTGGCGGGATCTCTGGAGGAGGCCGCCGCGTGTACGTGGGACTTGGGGGTTGGGGGGTGGTGGGTGGTGAAGAGACTGGCAGGGCGTCCCCAGAACGGGTTTGGGCGCTGCCCGGGGACCGTATCACTGGGGCGAGGGTCGGAATTTGAAGCTCTGAGCCACCCCCAATTCGGATTTCGGGAGTCGGGGTCTTGTTTTGGAGCACTGAGTTAAATTTAAAGCATCCACGCAGTGACCTTGAGCTGACAGACAGGAGACCCTCCTTTAACTGAAAAATCTTCTGTAGACAGAATACCATGATCCCGCACCCCTTACCTGATTCGCTGATTTTTGAGGACGCACTATTTAGACGTTTCCCTTTACGCATTACGAAAGGTTTTTTAAAAATTAAAGCAAAAAATAATCTGTAAAAGTTAAATAAGTTTATTTCTGCATCTCATCTCTTTTCATAGAAAAAAAATCTTAGAATTAAAAGGGACCTTAGAGGCTCAGCTTTGGAGAAACTTTTGATTATTCTTGATACATTTCTGTAATTATTTGTCTTTATTTCTTATGCCAGTTACAGTTCTCTCTTCGTTATGGGGCTCTTAGGTCCCTGTTTGTTCACTATTTGTTTTATAATGTAAGTGAATTAAAAGATAACAATATCAGAGACTTTGAAGATGACTTAACTCCCTTATTTTGTAGCTGAAACTTAAATATGAAAGAAAAAATGACCTTCCCTCTGTCTTCTCTAAGGTGTGACGGTAGGCAAAGAAACGTATTAAAATTACTTGAATTGATTTGGATCTTACAGACCCCTTTCATATCAGACTTGGGATTAAAACCCAAGTAATCTTGCCCCCATCTAGTCCAATGCTCATAGGCTCACTTTTCAGGCCTGGAAGCCATGCTTTAAACCCCGAAGCAATAATTCCAAAGTATTTTTTCCCTGTTTAGTAGTTAGCTGAGTTAGGGTTGCCAGTTAATCAGACATAACTTACTAAACCTGCTGCAACTCTAAACCAAAGGGATATGTGGCAGAGCCCCATTTTTGTATTGATCAGACAAGTTCAGATCAATTTAGACATCTGAACTATCAAAGACAATGATAGCGCTGAAACAAAAAAATATGGCTCACAGAATTTTCTTACATTTCTTTTGTGTTGTTACCATCTTTATTTACTTCCTCTTTGCCACTCTCATATCTCCATACATACATATGTAAATAGATAGACTTTTTTTGGTGACAGGTTTGCAAGTAAGTTTCAGACATGACCTTTAGCCCTAATTTCTCCAGCATGTATCTCCTTAAGACCAGTATATTACATAGCTGCAATAAGATGATCACACCTAATAAGGTAACTTTCAGATTTCTCCAGTTATCCCAAAAATGTCTTATTTTTAACTCAGAATTTTTTTTTTTTTTTTTGGATTCAAGGTCCAAAGTTCATTGTTTGGTTGTCATGACTCTTTAGTCACTTAATCTAGAACAGCCTTCTACCCCTTTTCTTTATGACTTCAATTTTTTAAAAGACTAGTATAGTTGTCTTACAAATTGTCCCACATTGTGGATTTTTCTAGTTATTCCCTCAGGATCAGAATCAGATCAAACATTTTTGGCAAGAATACTACATAGTCAATATTGTATCTTTATTGGTTATTGTGGGGACTGCCAGATCTTTCCAATGTAAAGGGACTGTTTTCCTTTGGTTTAAAGTAACCTATGGAGATATTTTGCGACCATGGATATATCCTGTTCCCCAACTACCTTTCACCCAGTAGTTTTATCGTTCATTCATGATCCTTGCCTGAATCACAAGACTACCAATTTTCAGTACCAGTCATGCAGAGACTAGAGTCAGTAGTTGTGATAATGGCCCAGGACATCAGAAGAATCACTTATTGTAAACTAAGTTTGAACAGAATTAGAAATTTTGCTCCAGACATGGTACACATCTGCATATGATCCAAAAAAGAAATAGAGGACATCTCCCCTGTCACATCCTCGTCCTTTGGTTGTTTTGTTCTGTTTTTAGAAATTTCTAGGAATTGTTTGTCCTTGTGTGTTTACCTGAGCATACTACCTGGAAAGATTGGGATGTTAAGTACTTATTAATACATATAACACATATGCTAAGGAATTGTAACCTCAGAATAGATTGAGGAAACTAATTTCACTTATTGAAAACAATTTAGCCGACAGACGTTTAGATTTCATCAAACAGACTTAGAGCTTGTAGAGGCCTCAGCAGTCATATTGTAATCCCCTCATTTTTCAGGTAAGAAATCAGTCATTGGAGACATTCAAGCAAAGGTTGGACAACTAATTTTCCGAACAAAAGGAAACTCATGCATCAGAAAAGGTTTGAATTGATGGCTGATAAGATTTCTCTTTACTCTTTTTTTTTTTTTAAGATTTTATTTATTTATTTGACAGAGATCACAAGTAGGCAGAGAGGCAGGCAGAGAGAGAGGAGGAAGCAGGCTCCCTGCTGAGCAGAGAGCCCAATACAGGGCTCAATCCCAGGACCCTGGGATCATGACCTGAGCTGAAGGCAGAGGCTTAACCCAGTGAGACACCCAGGCACCCCGATTTCTCTTTACTCCTAAGTTCCCTAGTTTTATTACATATTTTGTTTGACAGAAAAATAACTTAGCATTGTTATCATCATTCTCAAGACCTAAGCCAGAGATTCTAGAAACTTTCTTATCCCTTCCTTCCCTCTGCAGGTTTCACAGATATGACCATAAGGTAACCTCTGATAGGATATTTGCTTCCACAGTAACAAACATTTGCTGTAAAAATTGAAAACTAGGACTGAATCAAAGAAGCCACATTGCTTCTACCTGTTTTCACCATCAGGTGGTTTGTGTGGCTATTGGACTTTGTCAGTCAGCACAGTTTAGTATTAAGTAACTAAAATAGAATGCCTCGAGACTTGGAAGACCCCAAACTAGCAACTAAAAATGTAAACCATTCCCTCAATCATCTCCAGTATTTTCTAGGGACAAGTACCTATAATTAAGTATACCATAATCTTGATATTGTCAATTGCAGAGAAGAGTTTTGGAAACCTCGGCGTGCTTGAGAAAATGGACTGTTAGCTCTTAGTTCAGTTATAGGTCTGGGAAGATAATTGAAAAAATACATATGTATAATTGAATGACTAGAGAAAAGAAAATCATGTTAACATAGGGATATTGAATAGAACTATTTCTCTTTTATTTTCCAATTCTAAAGAAATAGATTACTCATAATATGATAAACTTCAAAGGAAGAGATATATACTATTAATGACCATATATTAAAAATAATACCGAGAAAATAATTTTTTTTTTTAGAGATTTTATTTATCCATTTATTTGAGAGAGAGGGAGAGCATGCACACAAGCAGGGGTAGAGGCAGAGAGAGAGAGAATCTGAAGCAGACTCCATGCTCAGCATGGAGCCAGATATAGGGCTCGGTATCATGACTCCAAGATCACAACCTGAGCCAAAACCAAGAGTCCCAACACTCAACTGACTGAGCCACCCAGGCGCCCCCCCAAGAAAATAATTTTTAAATAAAATTCATACCAAGAACATTTAGGGCACTCCTCATCTATGTGTTGTCAAAAGACTTCCCAGTAACAACCATCATTTGTCACCATGAATTGTATACCAAGGGGCAAGTGGGGTAGAGGCAACACAGTTTTACCAGTCTCTGAAACTTAACATTTAAAGATTTCATACCTTCCACCTTTCAGAAGTCCAGTTAAAAAGTGATTATATATGATTTTTAACCTGAAGAAATAAAAGGATAGGAATAGGAAAAAGAATGGGATTTTGACAGCACAATCAGTGAATATGCAAACTTCTAAGGTTCTTATAAGTAAGAAAATCAGATTCGTTTTCATTTTTTTTGTTTTTTTTAAAGATTTTATTTATTTGACAGAGATCACAAGTAGAGAGGCAGGCAGAGAGAGAGGGGGAAGCAGGCTCCCTGCTGAGCAGAGAGAACCCGATGCGGGGCTCGATCCCAGGACCCTGAGACCATGACCCGAGCCGAAGGCAGAGGCCTCAACCCACTGAGCCACCCAGGCGCCCCTCGTTTTTGTTTTTGGTGTGAGGTGTAGAAACACCAGTGTCCTGAAGTACAGTGAATGTGCTATACAATTCAAGAATTCAAAGGGTTCATGATCTTATGGATGAACTTCTCTCATTTCATTTAGAGGCCTATTGTTCTGTAATGCATGTTTTATTGCCCTTGTATTTATTTTATTTTTACTTATTTAAATTCAGCTAATTAACATATAATATATTATTTGTTTCAGGGGTACAGGACTCTGATTCATCAGTCTTATATAATACCCAGTGCTCATTACAACACATACCTTCCCCAATGTCCGTCGCCCAGTTACCCCATCCCTCCCCCCCTTTCCCTCTAGCAACCCTCAGTTTGTTTCCTATGATTAAGAGTCTCCTATGGTTTGTCTCCATCTCTGGTCTTGTCTTGTTTTTTTCCCCTCTCTTCCCCTCTGATCCTCTGCCTTGTTTCTTAAATTCCGGTGAGATCATATGATAATTACCTTTCTCTAATTGACTTATTTTGCTTACCATAATACCCTCTAGTTCCACCCACATCATTGCAAATGGCAAGATTTCATTTCTTTTGATGTCTGCATAGTATTCCATTGTATATATATACACCACATCTTCTTTTTCCACTCATCTGTTGATGGACATCTAGGCTGTTTCCATAGTTTAGCTATTGTGTACATTGCTGCTGTAAACATTGGGGTGCAGGTGCCCCTTCGGATCACTACATTTGTATCTTTAGGGTAACTGCCCTTATATATTTTTTTAAATTCCCACAAAACAGTGTTTCATTAAACACCTATTTTCACAAAAGTTATCTTACCAGTTCTTGGATCTTTTCTTCAGGCTGTTTTCTGAGTGAGAAGCCAAAAGAACTCTAGTTGTGAGCATTTGCTAAAACTTAGTATACTGCCCACTGAATCTTACTCTTTGGCAGGTATTAGACAGCTGGACAACTTCATTTTTTTTATTAAACTTTTTGAGATTGTTATAGATTCCATCCAGTTGTAGGGGAAAATGCAGACACACCTTGTGCCCTTTACTCGGTTTTCCACAATGGTAACATATTACAAAACATCATACGGTATCACAACCCAGATGGTGATGATACAGTCAAGATATAGAATGTGTCCATTATAGAAGTCTTTCATTTTGCCTTTTTACAGCAATACTCCCTTCTCTCCTACCTATATCTATCCTCTCCTTAACCCCTGGCAATCACTAATATTCTCCATTTCTTTAATTTTGTCATTTCATTGAATGTTAATATAAATTATATAGTGTATAACCTTTTAGAATTGGCTTTTTTTCACTCAGCATAATTCTCTAGAGATTTGTCCAAGTTTTGTGCATTAGTAACTCATTCCTTTTTATTGCTGAGAAGTAACTCCATGGTTCTGGTGTACCAGTTTAACCATTCACCTACTGAGGAACATTGGGGTTGTTTCCAGTTTTTGACTGTTACAAAGAAAGTTTTCCATATACATTGAAGTACAGGATTTTGTGTGACCATGGGTTTTCATTTCTCTGTGATAAATGCTAAGGAATACAGTTACTGGGTCATATGGTAGTTGTATGTTTAATTTTCTAAGACACTGCCCAACTGTTTGCCGGAATAGGAATTACTACTAGGAATATCTGAGTGATCCAGTTTTTCCACATATTCACCAGCATTTGGTGGTGTCACTGTAAATTGTAATAATTTTATGTTTTCCAATTAAGTTCATGATCCATTTTGAGTTAATTTTTATATAAGTCGTATATAAATGAGAGATTTCGTTTGAGGTTAAATTTTTTCATTTGGATGTATAGTTGTTCTAGTACCAGTTGTTGAAAAGGCTATATCCTTCACTTCATTGCTTTTGCCCCTTTACGAAAAATCAGTTCGGCATATTTGTGTGACTCTAATTCTGGGCTCTTTGTTCTGTTCCGTTGATCTGTGTGTCTGCTACTCCACCCATAACACACGATACTGATTACTGTAGCTGTATAATAAGTCTTAAAATCAGGTAGATGTATTTCTCCCATTTTGTTATATATTTTTTTAATTTAGCTATTTTCGTCTCTTTGCTTTCTAATATAAATTTTAAAATAATCTTGTTTAGGGGCGCCTGGGTGGCTCAGTGGGTTAAGCCTCTGCCTTCGGCTCAGGTCATGATCCCAGGGTCCTAGGATCGAGCCCCGCATCAGGCTCTCTGCTCGGCAGGGAGCCTGCTTCCTCTCCTCTCTCTCTCTACCTGCCTCTCTGCCTACTTGTGATTTCTCTCTGTCAAATAAATAAATAAAATCTTTTAAAAAAAATAATAATCTCGTCTGTATTAATAAGAAACCTTCCTGGGACCTTGATAGGAATTGCATTAAGCCTGTCTATGTTAATTTTAGGGAAATGGACATCTATACTATGTTGAATTTTCCAGTTCATGAACACAATATGTCTCTCCATCTATTTAGGTCTTTGATTTTTTTTTTTCATCAGTATTTTGTAGTTCTCAGCATACAAGTCTTGTACAAGCTTTGTTTGGTTTACCCCTAAATTTTTCTTAATGATTGGGTTTTGGGGTTTTTTTTTATTAACATAATAATGTTTTATTAGCCCAAGGGGTACAGGTCTGTTTCTTAAGTGATCGTTAATGGTGTACTTTTCATTGTCCAAGTGTTCACTGCCAAGTATATAGAGATAGAAGTTGATTTTCTGCATGTTTATCTTGTATCCTGTGACTTTCCTGAATTTATTAGTTCTAAGTTTCTTTGTAGATCCCTTGGGATTTTCTTTTTCACAATTATGTCATTTTATTTTGTCAATTTTATTTTCTTCCATAACAGTCTGTATGTCTCACTTCCTTACTTCCTTTTCTTGCTTTACTACACTGGGTAGAACTTCAGCAGTATATTAAGAGTGGTAAGAGCAGATACCCTGCCTTGCTCACAGTCTTACAGGAAAATATTTAGTCTTTCACCATTAATTATAGTTTTTTGTAGATGCTGATTATCAAGTTGAAGTTCTCGTTTCTTTATTTTAGAGAGTTCTTATCATGAACTATCATGAGAGTTCTATCATGAATGGGTGTTGAATTTGTCAAATGCTCTTTCTGGATCAATTGATAGGATCTCATGATTTTTCTCCAAATACTGAACCAGTCTTGCAGCTCTGGAGTAAACTCCACTTATTTAATGTGTATAATTATTTTTATATATTGCTGAATTACATTTGCTATTATTTTGTCAAGGATTTTTATGTCCGTTTTATGAGGATATTTTTCTGTAATTTTCTTTTGTGTACTATGGTTTTAACATTTAGATGATAATAAACTCATGAATAAGTTTTTAGATTTCTATATATGGAGTTGTTTGTTGTGCTATTATCCTTTTGACGTCTGCAGGGTCTATGGTAATATGTCCTGTTTCATTCCTTATAATGATAATGTGATTTCTTTTTTTATTACTCTTGCTAGAGGTTTGTCTGTTATAATCTTTTCAAAGAACCAGCTCATTTTATTGACTTTTGTTGCACTTGTTTTCATTTTCATTAACTTCTGCTCTTTATTATTTCCTTCCTTCTACATGCTTTGGGTTTATTCTGTTCTTTTTCTAGGTTCTTGAAGTGAAAGTTTAGAGTATGGATTTGAGACCTTAACTTTTCTCAGTTATATGCATTTATTTGTCAGTTTTCCTCTTGGCTCAGATTAAACTGTGTCCCACAAATTTTGATGTGTTGTATTTGCAATCTCATTCAGTTCAATGATTTTTTTTTCTTTGAGATTTCCTCTTTGACCCATGGATTATTTAGAAGTAGTGTATTTCCCAAATGTTTGGAGATTTTCCTGTTATCTTTTCGTTACTGATTTCCAGTTTGATTCTGTTGTGATCAGAGAAGACATTCTGTTTAATTTCAATTCTTTTAAATTTGTTGAGTCTAGTTTTATGGCCCAGGATATATGGTTTATCCAGGTCTGTGCTCCATGGGCACTTGATAAAAATATGTATTCTGTGCCGTTAGGTAAAATGTTTTATAAATGTGGATTGTAGGTTGATATATCCTTGTAAATTTTCTATATCCCTGTAAATTTTCTATCTAGTTCTGTTGATTGTTGAAAGAGGAAAGTTGAAGTCCCCAACTATATCCTTCTCTTTTTCCTTTAAGTTTTACTCTGTATTTTGCCACTCTCTTGTTTGGTGCATACACATTTAGGATTGCTCTGTTTTCTTGGCAGATTAATCCTTAAAGTCCCTTTCTGTCTTGTAATTTCCTTTGCTCTGATGTCTGCTTTGTCTGATATTAATATATCCACTATTTTCTTTTGATTGTTTGCATGACAGATTTTTTTCTATCCTTTTATTTTCAACCTGTATCATTATATTTGAAGTAAATTTCTTAGAGACAGCATATAGTTAGCAATGTTTTTTAATCCATTCTACCAGTCTCTTTTAAATGATTATTGAGACCACTTATATTTAGTGTAATTGTTTACTAGGGCTTAAATTTTTTAACGATTTTTATATATTTACGAGAGATAGAGAGCGCACATGAGCACATGAGCTGGGGGAGAAGGAGAGGGAGAAGCAGGCACCCCGCTGAGCGGGGAGCCCAGTGTGGGGCTTGATCCCAGGACCCCAAGATCATGACCTGAGCCGAAGGCAGGCACTCAACTGACGGAGCCACCCAGGGACCCCAGGGTTTAAATTTGCTATTTTTTAAATTTTCTGTTCTGTTTTTCTCTTTTTCTTGCCTTTCTGTGGATTACATGAATATATGTTGACATTTCATTTTGATTTATCTATATAGTATTTTTGAGTATGTCTCCTTATATATCCTTTTTAATGACTGCTGTAGGTACTACATGATATTTACATACCTGATGACGGTCTAATGGTGTCAGCACCAGTTTCAGTGATACACCTACCTCCCTTTGCCTTTACCATATTTATTAATACACATTTAAATTGACAGTAGACAGTTTTATAGTTTTTGCTTCAACTGTCAAACAGTTTAGGACACTTAAGAAGAAAAGTGTATTGTACTTATTCATATTTTTTATTACTCTGTTTTTCCTCTTCCTTGATGTTCTAAGTCTCCTATTATTGTTTCCTTTCTGTTTAGAACCTAATTCTTCTTTAAGGATAGGTCAGGTGACAACAAATTCTAGTTTCCTCCATTTGAAAATGTCTTGATTTCCCCTTCATTTCTGAAGTGTATTTTTTCTAGATACAGGCACTGGGTTGACTAATGTCATCCTAATTGTTTTCCCTTATAGGTAAGATGTCACTTTTTCACTTGCTACCCTCAAAAATTTTTGTCTTTAGTTTTTTAGATGCTTGGCTGTGCTATATGTTGATGTAGATTCTTTTGTGTTTATACTCTTTGGCATTCATTCAGCTTCTCTTGGATCTATATAAATTTATCTTTTTTGCCAAATTTGGAAGTTTTTAGCCATCATTTCTTCTAGTACTTTTACATCCCTGCTCTTTTCTCCTCTTCTTCCAGGACTCTGTTGAAACACCTGTTTGATCTTTTGTTATATTCATATAGATTCCTGGTACTCTGTTCATTTTTTTTTTTCTTTCATTATAGTTTTCTGTTATTCAGATTGGTTAATTCTGTTTTCTATCCTCTGATTTGCTGACTGCTTCCTCTGTCCTTCATTCTGGTGTTGATTACATCTGTTTGTTTTGGTTATTTTTCACTTCTTAAGATTTCCATTTGGTTCTTGTAATATCTTGTTTGTTTCAGGCATATTCATAACTGCTCATTGCGGTATTTTTTTATAATAACCATTTTAAAATCATTGTCAGATAATTCTGAATCCGTCATCTCAGTATTGGATATATAGAGAGAGTCTTTTTTTCATTCAGTTTGAGATTTTCTTAGCTTGTGGTATGATGACCAACTTAGACATTTTCCATACTGTATTATGAGGCTCTAGATCTTGGTAAACCTTCTTCTCTAGCTGGCTCCTTTTGCCACTGCTCCATTAGCAGAAGTAGGGGAGGGGGCATGCTGCCTCATTACTACTAGATGTAGGAAAGAAGTGCAGGGGCCCTGACTCTGTCACTTAAGGTGTATGGAGGTGGTGTGCTCCTCAGTACTGCTGGGCAAGAGTAGGAGTTATGGCTGTCCAGCAGGCCTCCACTGGTATCACCCCGGCTCGGAGGGACTGGAGTGCCTCATTACTGCTCCCCACATGGTCTCCACTGACACTGGAAGAGGGTACAATGAGCTAATTACCAATGGACAGTAATGCAAGCCTTGAATCTCAAAGAGACCTCTTTTGATACAGCCCAGAGGGGAGAGAGAAGGGTACCTGATTACTCATTGAAGTAGAAGTCCAGGTTCCTCATGTTGTTTCCACTGACACTTATTGGGGATGGGGGAGCCGTCATTAAAACCCAGTAAGGATGAAAGTCCTTGCTTCCTAATCTCCCTTCTGTGAAGTTTGGGGGACTTAGTGCCTCATTACAGCTTAGTGAGGGTGGAAATCTAGGCTCCTCAGTTGGCTTATGGTGATGTGGTGGATGTGGGATGCAAGCCACCGTGTTTTTGTTTGCCTGGAGTATACAGTTATTGTTTAAAAGTTTTCTATCTTACAGGCTTCCCCTTTCCTGGCCCTTTGGCTAGAGAGGGCCAGCTTTGGAGAGATGGGGGGTTTTGACTGTGCCCATTGGCATTTGCAGATTGCTGGCTTTTTCAGCTCCAACTCTGTGATATAGGAGACAAAAAAGAGAGAAAGTAAAATTCCCCACTGTTTTGTTTCTCACGTCCCAAAGGCCCTGGCCAATATACTTTCTTTTCTCCTCCTTTTAGAGTCTTGTGTTTGTTTTATATGTCATGTCCAGGGTTTTTAGTTGTACTTAGTTTGAAGAATAGGGAAAAACACATCTCTTGCTCCATCCTTCCAGAAGCACAAGTCCTAAACTGCACTGTATAATATAGACTCTTCTGTCTCTTGACTGGTTGGTGGTGGTTTTTTTTTAAGATTTTATTTATTTATTTGACAGAGAATGATCACAAGTAAGCAGAGAGGCAGGCAGAGAGAGCAGGGGAAGCAGGCTGCTTGTTGAGCAGAGAGCCTGATGCGGGGCCCGATCCCAGAACCCTGGGATCATGACCTGAGCCAAAGGCAGAGGCTTTAACCCACTGAGCCACCCAGGTGCCCCTGGTGGGGCAGCACAGCAATACTTGAAAAATTGTGACCTTCGGTTAACTGTTGGTATTTTTCAGGTATTTTATATGGTAAAAACATAGGCAGTTGACCCTTGAACAATAGCACAGGTTTGAACTACACTGGTCCACTTACATGCAGATGTTTTTATAGTACTTTACTATTAATGTCTTTTCCTTTTTTTTTCTTTTTTTTGAGAGAGAGTATATGTGTTGGGGTGGGGCAGGGATGGGTAGAGGGAGAGAGAATCTTAAGCAGACTCCCTGCTTGAGCATGGAGCTCCATTAGGGCCTGATCCCACAATGCCATGAGATCATGAGATAATGATCTGAGCCAGAATCACAAGTCTGAGCTTAATGGACTGAGCCATGCAGGTATTCCATGTGGATGATGTTTTTGAACAACTAATAGAAACTTTGTATTTATGTAGAGATAGTGAAAGAATCATTATTATCAGAGATCAAAGTTACATTAGCAACCAGTGGAATAGTTAAGATTAAGTACTTGCATGAAGACACCAGAGATCTCTCGGTTTCCTTTAAAACTCTACTAGGAACGAGGCTTTAACAAGTAACCTTTCAAGGTAACAGAGCAAGCTGTTTTAAAACTGGAGATTTGGATAGCAGGCAGGGGCTTTTGGGTCCCATAGCCAGCATTAAAAAATCGAATTCTGTAAATGGTAGGGTTCTTCATTGCCATTAAGGACCTGGGGGATTGTGGAGGGAGGGGGATATAATTACATACTCCATTAGAAATTTATAAAATGAGAATAATAATTTCAGGTAAACTTTGTTTCAGTTCTTTTCATAAACTGTTCTTGTTTTAATTACCTAACTCTTTAGCTAGCCTAAAAATATTTGTTCACAGACTGACAAACTTTTTCTTAATCTTTAAATCAGGTGACTAATAAACATACCTTTAGAATATGGCTGCACAAATACCAGAATCTGATCAGATAAAACAGGTAAGGTATTACAATTAACAAAAAAGAATTTTGCAAAAAAATTAAGGCATAACTGGGTGCAACCATGTTCGTGATCTCACAAAATAACTTCATATTTCATTTCTAGAAATGGATTTTAAATGATATGAAACATTTATTTTTCAAAAAATTTGATAGATACCCAGGAACAAATAAATATTCAACTAGAAAACTGGACTATCTTTTGGTAGATTGTACCATACATGTTTATTTATGCCCATTTAAGTTAGTGAAAGTAACTGTTGATTTCAAGTATTACAGGGTATTTTCCTCAGATATAAAACATCAGTAATTAAAGTTTCAAAACATGTTTGTTTTAAAAAACCGAATATTAAATAATGTTCTGATTTGTTTGTAGTTTAAGGAGTTTCTTGGAACCTACAATAAACTTACAGAAACCTGCTTTTTGGATTGTGTTAAAGACTTCACAACAAGAGAAGTGAAACCTGAAGAGGTATGAAAAATGTGCCCAGCCCACTAAAAATTCTCTAAGCTTGTCATAGAAAATAGAAATGGGATGCCTCTAACCATTTCCCTTGTTCCTAGTTACTACAGGAATTTGGGTTGCTTAATATGTTCCATTGCTCAGAGGAACTGAAGCAGTCTGGGACCCATGGCATTGAATTTAATGATCCCAAATTTAATATGATAGTATGTCATATATATATATATATATATATATATATATATATATATATATACATAAACATGCAAGTTTTTTTTTTTAATTTTTTAAAAGCTTTTATTTATTTTTCAGAGAGAGAACAAGCGGAGGGAGAGGGAGAAGCAGACTCCCTACTGAACAGGGAGCCCGATGTAGGCTCGATCCCAGGACCCCGGGATCATGACCTGAGCTGAATGAAGACAGACACTTAACGGACTGAGCCACCCAGGAGCCTCCCCACCTTTTTTTTTTTTTTTAATTTTTTTTTTTAAATAAGATGCCTAGGGCTTGCTGAGTTACTGTTCCGTAGCAGAGATTCTTACTAATTAGCTTTCAGTCAAGATGGCCTGGCTAGAAAATCTTGATATGGCTCTTCTGTCTGACCCTGACAACTCTAGTTAATTTTGAAAAAAGCGGAGCTTGAATATGGTGGCTCATATTGCATAGGTGGACTCTGCAAACTCAATCCTGTGAGAAACTTAATTTTTAATATCCTCATCAAAACATTTATATTGGGGGGCGCCTGGGTGGCTCAGTGGGTTAAAACTTCTGCCTTCGGCTCAGGTCATGATCCCAGGGTCCTGGGATTGAGCCCCACATCGGGCTCTCTGCTCTGCAGGGAGCCTGCTTCCTCCTCTCTCTCTCTGCCTGCCTCTCTGCCTACTTGTGATCTCTGTCTGTCAAATAAATAAATAAAATCTTTAAAAAAAAAAAAATTTATATTGGCTAAAAGTGACATAAACTTCCTCCAGTGTCAGATTGATCACCATTCATGCCAAGAACATATAACCAGCAACCAACAAGTCCTTGTTAAATAAGTGACAGAGCTTAAAATAGTCTCGTTAAAGTATAATATTCTCGTTAAAGTGTAATTCTCGTTAAAAAGAAATGTTGAAATTTAAGAATGTGCAGAATGGAGTTTCTCATTTAAAAGGAACAGACTTACTCCTGGGCCTACGTTTTAACAATCAGAATGAGGGATGGAAAAAGCAGGGACATACCATTGTTTTTAGTGCTTACAAACTGATAGACATTCAGTATATGTTAATTCTTGTAAATGGATAAAACTAACAATTGAAAGTTATGATCACCTGCTACTCATTCATAACCATTTAGTTCTTATATATTCAAAGAAAAGTACCCCATGGTTGTTCATTTAGAATATGTGCACTTTTTAAAAATTAACATTTCTGTGTTGCCTCTTGGATCTTCTCTATTTCTAGACCACCTGTTCCGAACACTGCTTACAGAAATATTTAAAAATGACACAGAGAATATCCATGCGATTTCAGGAGTATCATATTCAGCAGAATGAAGCCCTGGCAGCCAAGGCAGGACTTCTTGGCCAACCACGATAGAGAAGTCCTGATGGATGGACTTTTGATGAAAGATTGGCAGCAGCGGTTGTGATGGAAGAGAGGATTCATCTTGATAGAATCCCAGGAAAGCAGTAGCCACCCTATTAAACTGTCAGTCATGACTCTGGCAAATGGAAACAACTGGAGAAACAAAATTGCTGTTTACCGAGAATAATCAAAATAGAAGGTCTTATTGTTCAATGAAAATAATAAGATGCAACATTTGTTGAGGCCTTAAGATTCAGCAGCTTGGTAATTTCATTAGAAAAATAAACCATTGTTTCTTCAATTGTGACTATTAATTTTAAAGCAAAATAGGTATTCAATCATGTATGAGATAGAAACAAATTTTTATTACTAAAAGTAAAATAAATGGAAATATCACTGAACAGTTGTTTATACTATATATATAGTACCATAGTATTCTGACTGGACTGTGGGTACGTTGAAATGTTTTTCAATCACGATCATCCTCCAAGTATTCCTGTTCATTCATGTCTGCCTCAAATTGCTGGTAAATACATAGAATAGTTACTTGCTAATCATTTCAACACACTATCATTTCTTGCCTCCCTTATTGTGTCAGGGTGGGCATTATACATTCGTATCCTAGCCATATTTTTCATATGTGTACAGGAAACATCCCATCTGAGACTACCTTGGGAATGTGTAAGAGTTGACTAATATGCTGTAGTGGAGACTGTTTTGTGTTTTGTTCAAAAGCTGAGTCCAACATGAATGATTCTGAGTCAGTCCAACATTATACAGTGTATTCTCAGCCATGACATGTGATCAGTGCAATAAAAAGTGAACCAAAGTTAAAGTAGTGTCTTATGGCAAAATGAATCCGAAAACAAATCCAAGCATCTGCAGGAAATTCTAGTTGATGCATAAATATACCAAGAAATTTGATAAAGGTTAAGTAGACTAATACCCACTAGTAAATTGGCTTATGAGTGGATTTCATATGGTACCAATCTAAAGTTGCACTTAAGAGAACACTAATTTAAATTAGCCTATATGTTTCCATTACCAAAGTGATTTTTATGTTTTGTTGTATTTGAAGCCAAAAAGTGTTATTCTGCTTTGATAAATTAATGGTTTTCTGAATTACATCTTATTTTTAAGCTATTGCATCATTTAACTAACATACCATTTAACTTACAGGCCTCTGTTGACATTACAGCCAGTAATCATTAGGTCTTTAAAGGTACAAAGACAAAATACTAACAGTGCTACCTTTAAAGTTGAAATGTTGAAACATCTATAAGACTCAAAATACACAATCCACTGTAGTCAAAGGAACATGAAAAAATAAGCTTGTTTCATCATAAGGCAAGAAAAGCAACCAAAAATTAAGAAATTTTACTCATATAATGCTCCCATCCAACACAAACTTTGCTATTTTTATGTAATCAAGCCTAACATGGTTATTTACTGTGTCCATTTAGGAAAGACAATTGAGTATGTGCTCACCTGGCAAATAAGGGGAATTTTGTGCAACAGCATCTCAAATACCTGAGGAGGGAGTGTGTGTTTGAAAACCTTCAGAAGTTCCTGTGGTTGTCCACACACTAAAAGGGCAGTGCTGAGATGTTCAACCCCCAACTGACACTCTCCTGAAATGGATAAGGTTTAAAGCAAAATGTTAATGTTCTTTCAAATAAACATTCCACAGATTACCAAGAAAGCACCAAGTGTTAAAATGGAAAAAAAAAAAAAAAAGTGTCAAACTGCGGATTACTTATAAAAAGAGTAAAGATTATAAATGGGGAAAATGTTGAGCTGCCTATTAGATTCACTGTGATCAAGCTGCAAGATGAATAATGTTGCGACCCAAATTACTATTAAAAAGTGCACTCTTGATTTAGAAATGTTTGTGTTCTACAATGTGTGTTTGCAAGACCAGGGGTATTGAGTGTTTTTTAAAGATTGTCTTCTGTTACTGATAGGAGATAGGTTACCGTTTTTGTTTTGTTTTTTTTAAGATTTATTTATTTGACAGACAGAGATCACAAGTAGGCAGAGAGGCAGGCAGAGAGAGGAAGGGAAGCAGGCTCCCCGCTGAGCAGAGAGCCCAATGGGGGCTTGATCCCAGGACCCTGGGATTAGGGCCTGAGCCCAAGACAGAGGCTTACCCCACTGAGCCACTCAGGGGCCCCAAAGGTCCTTCAAGTTTATACTTTACTACCTTGTATAAAATCATTCCTGTTTATATCATTTAAGTCATTTCCAACTAATTTTGTCATTTTTAAGATATTTTAGCCCATTTATAAAACATCCCAGAAGAAAAGTTTAGTATTAAATAAAATACTAAAACTTCAAATTATAATGATTAATGTGCAATGACTACTCGTTTCTCAAAACCTTTATCATGGCATTAAGCCACTGATTCAAAGTAAAAATCTTGGGTATTGCTATGAATTGTCCAAGATCTTGACTTTGTTTTTCATAAATTCTGGAGGATGCTGCCTCTTAAATGCAGGGTGAAAAAAATCTTTTTAAAAAAGATAAAAGAGCAAGAACAGCTACAGGCACTGTGATGAGAGGAAATCTGCAACACTTGAAAAAAGATACATAAACGGGTATCATGCTTACTTATCCAGCGACATGATTCATCCCTTACAATAGAAGTCCGAAAACAAATTATTTTCCTTTCCAGGTTTAACACCAGAACAAAGACATGATTATTACATACAGCATTTATAAGATATTTATATTATTTATTATTTATATTTATAAATTTATTATTTATATTATTTATTATTATTTATTATGTTATTTATACCATCATTTTACCTAATGATATTGTGAAGCCTTCTCAAAACTATGTGGAATTAGGTGGGGATAAATTGTAATTCAAAATAACAGTTTATGGCCATTAAGTCCAAGGTAGCTCCAAGGTAGCTCCTTCATTACTACATCAGACACAGTACAAGAATGGTCATTTATAATGATTTCATCATCAAAAATTAGTAATTATTGTGTTAAGAATGCAGGATAATTTTTATAAAACAGTTCATTTTTTTAAAGTTTTAATTCATAAAACATTTAGTCACTTGGAAAAGTCATTTACTTAGAATTTTACCTGACAATAAATGAAGTGTTACTGTATTTGGCTTTGCTTCTCCATGTGCCCATTCCCAAGAAACCTGAATGATATGTATATAATATGGTGAGATGAAAAGTATGATCAAGTGAAAAAATCTCTTTAAAGCAAGTTGGTTAACACATCTAGGTTTTTGTGTGTGTGTGTGTTTTTTTTTTTTACCTTTGAAAGAGAAAGAGTGGGGGGTGAGTAGGGGCAGAGAGAGAGAGGGAATTTTAAGCAGGCTCCACACTCAGCTCCAAGCCGGACCTGGGGCTCAATCTCACAACATTGAGATCATACCTGAGGCCAAATCAAGAGTCAGGAGGCTTAACTGACTGAGCCTCCCAGGTACTCCCAAGTTTTTCGACATACCAATACCAATCAAATATTTTTTCAACATATATTATCATAAGTAACTGCTTACAAAAGAGTATTTACATTCTCACCTCTGGATAACCAAAGTTGTCCCATTCGTATCTCTTGGAAAAAAAGTTCTTGCAATTTTTTATTCTTTGCTGGATCCCACAACTAAAAGAGTAACAAAATATTTAACAATGAATAATGCATGTAAGGTATAAGGTTATTGATCAAAATTATTTAATTTTTATTTAAAAAGCACATCTTGAACATAATCTCTAAATCCAAAGTATAAACACAGTTGTTCTTTATAATATTTAAAACAACTTCTTAAGATGGAATTATAATTTCAGGCAATTAAAAAAAATCCATGGCATATTGAAATTCAGTTGAGATGCTTGTAATAGCTCTCATCTGTATTTTACCCAACTTCCTAAGTGCACACTGCAGAAATCCCTGTGTAATTAACTACAACACACCTAGTTTTGTAGGTTGCAAATTTTCTTGCCTAGGGTATTAACAGTGTTTGCTGATTTGGCAAAGGGCATGCTGAGGGGTTGGCAGGGCAATTGGTGGTGTTCAGAAGCATGCTGTGGTTTGCTTCAACCTGGTTCAGGAAGGTGACCAGAGTCACAGGATGGTGTCATCATTGGTACCATGCCCAAGGCTGGTCTTTAAAGGTAGGTAGGGTGGACAATCCTTGACCCAAAATTTCAACTCCCTGGCCTGTCACTTCAGGTTCGGTCTGTTATAGTTGGAGGATTTTTGTGTTTTGTATTTGCTGTCCCCAAGAATTCTCTTTTTAAAATGGGATGAGCCTTTTCCTAACTCCAACTGGTTCTTCCTTCCCTTCCTTTTGCAAGCGCACTATAAAAACCACACCTACGCCGAACGTAAGCGGGCAACGGGTGCGCAGAGAGGCGGTGGGAAATGCCTGCTCGGAGACCCCGAGACCCAGCGGGAGGTCACTCACTATAACGCCCCGTGTCGGCGTCGCTAAGCACCTCACCTGGGCGCCCGGTCCCTCAGCCTTCCGCTGCTGGGCTCTTCTTTCTGCAAACACAACGTGGCACCCGCGGCTCGGGAGCCATCCCGACGCCCGCGTGCGCCCCGCAGAGCCCTCGGCCCGTGGGCCAGCCCTCCGCCCACCCAGCCCGCCGCTGCCGCCGCGGTCTCACTCACTGTCCCGCAGGCGGCGCCTGAACGCGGGGTCGCCACGCCGCTTCCGGTCGAAGTAAACACAGTAGCCCAGGAAGGCGACGGCGCCACAGGCCGCCAAAGCCGCCAGGAGGCCGAGGACCGTGCGAACTCTGGGCATCCGGCCGCGGACGTCTACGGGCTAAGCGTTGGGCGCGGGCCGGCGAGCGCCGAGCTCCGGCCGGCCGGCAGGGGGCGTCGGCGCGGCGCCCATGCGGGCCTCGGGGCTTCCCGTGCGCCCGGCCGCAGGCGTGCGGAGCCGCGCGTCGACGCCCCATCCCGCGGCCCGCCAAGCGAGGAGGAAACCGACGGTCCGAGAGGGCGTGTGGACGAGGTCTCACAGCCACCGAGTCGCAGAGCTCTGTTCGAACCAGGTCGGTCGCACTCCAAATTCTGAACCCTTTACCCAAACGCGCTCCTCTCCCTGTGCCCACGACGCCCATCCGGACAAATCCCAGGGTCAGGAACCTGGTTAGCGGAACTGGGTCCTCCGTGAGCCCGTTCCCTCTCCTGCCAACCGAAGTTGACTCATCACTTCACTTGGGTCTTCTCCTAGCTCGCAGCTCTGCCCACAGAGCACCTGAACACTGCTAGCCCGTGCCCCCTACCTGGTCTGCCGTGTCTCCTGAGAAGAACCCACTCACCCGAAGTCCCCAACCACCGTAGCTCAAGAGCGGGAGGAAAGAATTTGGAAGCAGTAAATATTAGCCCTGGGGCGGGGGGAATGAATATTTGTTGGCTTGGCCCTGACAGCCAAAGGTCCCAGAGCACAATCAACTCTGAGAGACCCATGATGCTTACTAGGCTGGATGCGTTTCTTTCTAATATGTGCTTTAAAATTCAGACATAGCAGGAAGAATGGAGGTATGACTGACCTCAAATACAGAGTTTTGATTTTTTTTTTTAAGATTTTATTTATTTAATTGACAGGGCGAGAGAGGGAACACAAGCAGAGGGAGTGGGAGAGGAAGAAGCAGGCTTCCCGCCCATCAGGGAACCCCATGCGGGGCTGGATCCCAGGACCCCAGCATCATGACCCCAGCGGAAGGCAGATGCTTAACGACTGAGCCACCAAGGCGCCCCGAGTTTTGATTTTTCTGCTGAGCCATAGAGAAGGCATAAGCTAGGTAAGGACCTAAAGAACTAAATAATTTCTTTTTTTTATTAGGCTACTCAACTGGTCTTTACAATTTACTGATATTACTCGTGTGTGCTAACAAGGTGCTCATTACTGCTTGATTTCCGTTGGGGCCCAGAGCAGCCCCAGGCCCTCACAATTTAGGAGTTAACAGGTATAAGTTACATATCATTGTTTTCTTGAGTACTGTATGTTCCTTCCTCCGTCTTCTATTTGGGAACTTGGTCTAGTGTCAAAATCCAATTGTAATCATGAACAGAAGAGAGGACAGCTTCAGCACATCCAGTGCCACTGTGATCTGGGAGTGGTTTTTGGTTCAGAATCTTGGTAATGGGCTTAGCCCAGCTCCAAATGATCTTTTTCTAGGCTGGTTGCTCTTATCTTCTGATAAAACCACTCTACCAGGCCCCCTTCCCATCCTCAACTTCTCTAAACTCATAGTTAATCCCTGAGGTACATGGAAAGGGTTGGGGCCAGGGAAACTGTGGGGACTATAAAGGTAGGAGAATTATTACAGCAGTTAGAAATAAACAGATTACTACAGTTGAAATTGTCACAGAGACCATGTGGGGAAATAATTGAAAAAATTTCAAGCAAATTTCTATGGTTAAGATAGATTTTTCTTAAATGTAGGCACCATTCTTGCTAATTGGGGGATCAGAATTCTTATAATGCTTTGGTCATTTTCCACACTGAGATAGCATTAATAATTGTTCCAAAATCATGGTCCTATGCTGGATGTTAGCTCTCTCTTCCAGACAGCTTTATTGAGATATAATTGGTATACAATAAGTTGCATATATTTAAAATGCACCGGTTGATACATTTTGACATGTATACCTCTATAAAACCATCGCCAAAATCAAGATAGTAACAATATTCACCATCCTAAAAGTTTCTTCGGCTCATACAGTATGAGTATGTTTAATTTTTCCAAAATGATTATACATTTTGCATTCCCACCAACAGTATATGAGACTTCCCATTACTTCATATAGTCACCCACGCACATTTGGTTGGCAGCCTTAATTTTAGCATTCTAGTAGGCCTGTAATAGATTTTTGTTGTAGTTTTACCTTGCATTTCCCTAATGTCTAATGACATCCAATACCTTTTTTAAAAATACTTTTTTAGAGGGACGCCTGGGTGGCTCAGTCGGTTAAGCCACTGCTTTCAGTTTAACTGAAGGTCATGATCCCAGAGTCCTGGGATCGAGTCCCGTATCAGGTTCCTTGCTTGGCAGGGAGCCTGCTTCTCTCTCCGCCTCTGCCTGCCACTCTGCCTGCTGTGCTCTCTCTCTCTCTGACAAATAAATAAATAAAATCTT